TGTAGATTGGACCCGACTGCAAATATCTTTTGATCTGTTTCTCTATCACACTATGAACATTATCGCCTTCGTTTTGGGAGTGTCCGCGTATTAAAAACTTGTGAGTAATAGACTTGACTGGCAACTTGTTCACAGCATAGGCATAGACAGACAACAGATATTTATTTTTTTGTTGTCCGCCACAATTGTCGGAGTAGAAAATTATATCTAATTCTTTGTTAGGATTTTGATCTACCTGAGATTTAATATAGTTAAGTATACAGCTGCCAATTTCAACCGCTCCTCTCTTTGCTTCGGTTTCATCCCAAAAGTAGCAGATGACATCTTTTGCCCTTAGATCGCTGATTGTGAAATTGAGGCAGTTGATCCTAGATTTATAAAAGAATAAGGAAACTTGTCCCTTTGGAATCTGCAAAACTGCTTGCAAGTCGTAAACAGCAGTGATGGTACCATCGGTTCTATTTTTGTCTTTTTCTTTTTCAGTTCTTGCCAAAGTTTTTTCTTCTATATGCTGTTCATATTCTTGGTGCAATTTGCGCTTTTCTTCTTCATCTGAGTTCTTGTACCGTTCACACAGATCACATAAATCTTTTTTAGGTATAAAGAAAGAAATGTTAAATTCAGTGTTGAATATCCTATTGAATGTGGAAGACGTAGCAAAGGGTAAACCATCCTCTTCACGAAGTCGTTTATAATCTCTATATATATCAGCTAATGATTTATCACTTGAAATATATTCTCTTGTGGTTTGCGCCCTTAAGTAGTGAGATTCAACCCTTGGAATAGCATTTATAAAATCTATAACGCTCTGTTTAACTTGAGGATCAATAGTTGGATGATGGTCATGTTTTCCTCTCAAGTCAGCCAGAATAACTCCTGTTTCCGTTTTCTTGGAAAACGCCGTTTTTATGGCTTTATTGCTCAAGTCAAGGGTGGATTTAAAAAACAGCTTGCATACTCTAATTTTAGATCCATCAACCTCAAAATAAAAGGCAGTATTAAGTGCTCTTACGTTTTGTGTACTCGAGTACCGATATTTAGGCTTTATTTCTTGTGAATGTCTTACTATAAATTCTCTCTGCCTTTCAAGATTGCCGAGTCCCCAATATGCACGAAAGAGTTGTTGTCTTGCCATTTCATTGATCTTATCTTTGCATTTGAGCCGACATTTTTCTCCACAGGGGGGGCCTACTTTTCTTTCCGGTACTTCTTTTTTAGATTTCGACGAAGACTGGTAGGCTTTGCCTGAATTTCGCAGCACTTTTGCAACTTTAAACTTCCAATTCGCTGGTTTGCGTACTCTCTTTTTACTTCTTTTTTCTATCACAGGATCTTGGTTAATAATTTCAGCAGCCACAACACGTTGAGGGTCTTCATGCTCTGTACCATTTTCGGTGTCCGACGAATTATCAGAAGATGACGAACTGTCACCAGATGACGAACTCGAGGAGCTAGTGTTGGTGCTGGACGAATTTGAAGATGATGGCACAACTTTAGGCAAGGTCTTACCTTTAGGAACGACTCGGAAAGTGGGATCTGTGTCGGAGTCATCAATAACACTTTCATCGCTGTGTATTGGTGAAATATAATAGAACGGACCATGCTCCTGTTGTTTGGATGTGCTCGGGATAGGCTCGCCTACAACTTCAACGGTTGGTTCAAGTGTCTCATTGTGAGCGTGTACGACAGGAGGAGGGGTCACGTTTTCTTTATCTCTTCCTTCTACCATATTAACTAAAATTCGTCCACGGCTCATCATTTTTCTGAAATATAAAATGCATCTTGTGAGCCAAATCCATTACAAAAGCTATTAATTTAACGTTTCTCCTCCTCTGAACTATGTAAATCAAATTAATTTTGCGGATTCCATCTAAAGAGCTTTAACTTGAAAATGTATCATTAAAACCGGAACCAAAAGTTAAGTGGCCAAGATTAAATTAAAATTATATTGGGCTGAAAATACCTATTACCACAAGCAATAGAATATAATTTTAAACATTTTTTTTTAAAGAAATATAAATGTTAAAAAAATAACTCAACAAAACAGGCTCAACTAGAAAGTAAAAAATGTTTTAACAATACGGTAACAATACAAAATAAAAACAAAATATCAACTCACCTTACCAGCAATACAGAATCAATTCAAAATGTTGTTTAAGTTTACGCGATTTCAATCATCAAAATGGCGACAACTCGAAATAATACTCAATCAAATTTCAACAATACGGATACAATTCAAAATAACTCCACTTAGTCAACCAAACGTACGTACGCTCCGCTCTCATTAACGTTGGCAACTCGCAATATCCCCGTGTTGGTGGGGAAAGAGGGGGCACCGCTCGGTCAACAAAAAAGGCTTCTAACGGCATCTAGCGTCAAGTAGCAGCAATAATTTTAAAGTTTGTTTTATCGGTCGATAGGTATTACGATAAGGAAATCGATGGTAAGCATAACTCTAAAATGGATTTTTTTGAGTTAGCTCTCTTTAGATCTAGCAGTGCGATATGTGGTTTATCAAATCTAGTGTAATGGGCTGGTTTGTCCAATGCATGTTCACACACTGCTGACTTCGACGCGCGCCTATTCCTGACGTCTGAAATGTATTCCTTTACCCTTGTACCAATGCTTCTCTTTGTCTGTCCCATGTATGACAAGCTACAATCAATTTTATATACACCCGCTTGTTGTAAAGGAATGTTACTCTTGATCGGTCTCAAGAATTGGCTCACTTTCTTATGTGGTTTATAAATAGTCTTGATTGAAACCTTCTTCAAGATGTTGCCTATTCTGTCAGTAACTCCCTTCACATATGGTAGAATTGCAGGTTGTCGCTCGACTGTAGGTGGCTTCGTCTGGTTCTTACATGCTGCAGCTCGGCCTTTTGGTGGTCAGTATCACAAAGGTGTTGTGATCTCTGTAACAAAGATTTGCTAACGGTAGCTAACTGTACCGGGTGGTGGTGTGAGTTACCATTGAGATACCTATCTGTATGACTGGGTTTTCTATAAACAGAATGTCCCAAAGTATTGTCAGGATTCCTGATGACAAGTATATCAAGGAAAGCTAAAGAATTATTTGCCTCTAATTCTATAGTAAACTGGATCTTATTATTGATAGAAATGAGATGGTTCAAGAAAGCAGATGTTTTGTTTTTATTTAATATGTGAAGGTGTCATCTGCATACTGGTTATAAATTAAGGGTCTTATTGTAGGAGAGCAACGCAAAGTAAAATCCGAAAATATTAATTTCATTTAAAAATGAATTAATTGTCATTTCATGTTTATTCTGGTCATATGAGGAACTTCTCATTCATAGGCAGGAAATATCATACACCATTAAAAATAGATAATATTCTTACACTGATAAATATTACACTAATATAATGAAAAAACTACTGTAAGGAAAGTAGATTTCATATGAAAGAAAGAGCATCAAAATATAGGGATAAATTTAGGAGTTATAATACCTAAGCCAGACATACTAAAAACTTCTTCTACCTGTCAATCTCCCACCTTTAGCCAGGGTCTGCCTTACATGTTGTGAATAGTTTTGGCTAATTGGTTTTACGACCGGCCGCCTGCCTGACATCAACCCTCTTTGGTAATATTAATAATTACTAACAACTTATTGCAAGATATTTTATGGGTTGTCACTTAATAATGTTCTTGTGTATTTTTGTAGATAATTTATATATTTTTCATAGAATTAATATCTGATTCTCAGATAGCTTGGAATTCCATAAGGAACTGTATTGTCAAATATTATAGTATTTTTTATTGATAGGCCCATAGTAACTAAGAAATTACACATTTAATGTGGAATATTTAGATATTAAAATACATCTTCATAGATTGAATTATGTATATTGTATTATTTCTGTTGAGTTATAGGTATAGATAATATAACTGTGTTTTAATAAGAAATAAGTTCTTTTAACTGGTCTGTGGGAACAAAATTTGGTTAAATTTTAACTAAAATTTAGATTAAAAACGAGAATTTAATAATAAATTTCAATTAATATAAAATATATTTATATATGAAGTCGTGGTGGCCTAGTGGTTAAAAATCCGCCTTTCATGCACGAGGGCGCGGGTTCAATCTTGGCAAGTACCAATGTGATGTTTAAAGTCATATGTACTTTATAAGAGTATTTAGACACCACTGACAGATGAAGGAAAACATGTGAGGAAACATGGACTTATAATCAAATTATAATATTGAAATCACCAACCCGTCTTGAGCGAGCGTGGTGATTAATGCTCAAATGCCTAAATTATAATATTAACTTCCAAAACTTAAATATTTTTTGCCCAAAAATTTTTATTTATAAAGGAGCTGTTTGTGATATTTTAAATGCTAAATGTTTTTAACTCTTTTACCTAAAAAGATAATGTATTTGCAGTTTTTGTTTTTATTTTACTTTAATTTAATTTTTTTTTTTTTGTGTATTGTCTTGTAAGTGGAAAATTGATTGATTTGTATTTTTTGTTATTTTTATTTTATATTACAGTGTTTTTAAATTGTTTGTTTCAATAAATAAATATTATACAGGGTGACTGGTGAATTACTATCGATATTTGAGGACGTGATATTTGACGATCATATATGACAAAATAAAAATTAATATTACATAAATATTAATAAACTTCTAAGTAAAGTTAACCAAAAGTTATGTAATTAATTACGCATCGTATGAACACCCTACAGATTAGGTATACACACACACACACACAGACGCGGCGGCGGCGTAGTGTTGTATCAGCACGCCGCCGCACGCGTCCACACTTGGAACACTTGGAACGTGTACACACTTTATTTATTTTTACGGAAATTTGGTCAAAAATTAAGTACCTATTTTTTTTACATAATTCAAATGAGAATCATGTACCGAGTATGCTCCTTAAATATTGATAGTAATTCACCAGTCACCCTGTATATATATTTCAAGTGAATAAAGCCATCACACCCAGTTTTCATATAATAATTTCTTTTCAGTAGAATGGCAACTCTAACCGATCCCTATGGTACAACCGGTCAATTGACCCTCAAATGGGACCCCAAGAACTTGGAAATAAGGACCATGTCCGTGGAAAGAACCCTCGAGCCTTTAGTGCTTCAAGTAACAACACTCGTCAACAGCAAGGATAAAACCGCTAAGAAGAAAAGACGTTAGTATTCACAGCTTAATAATATAGATTTTTGTTATGTATTAGTTATTCTTGCTGGATGTTGTTATAATAATAGTATGTCAAGTGTAATGTAGGCAGGTCACTTTATTATATTAGTTGCTGTCATTCAGTTTGATACTTACCACTATACTTACATGACTGTAGTTTTATTGAATACTACAGTTTTGACTAGATGTGGACCGTAAAGAAAGTTATGTATATAAAATGAATTTGAATTAGAATTTCAGTATACTAGGTTTTGTATAAGCAGGCAGTATATTTAAATCTTTTTAATATAGGTTTTGACTAGATGTGGACCATAAAGAAGGTTATGAGTTAAAATTTCAGTATACTGATGCATATTGGTTAGTTATTGTAGCTATTGGGCTGATTTTTTTGAGATTTTCTTTAAGTAGGAAGTGTATTTAATTATTTATAATGTAGGTTTTGACTAGATGTGGACCATAAATTAAGTTATGTATTCAGAATTTAAGTATACTCATATACAGGGTGACTGGTGAATTACTATCGATACTTGAGGACGTGATATTTGACGATCATATATGACAAAATAAAAATTAATACATATAACATAAATATTAATAAACTTCTAAGTAAAGTTAACCAAAAGTTATGTAATTAATTACGCATCGTGTGAACACCCTACAGATTAGGTATACACACACACACACACATACACACGTCGGCGGCGTGGTGTTGTATCAGCACGCCGCCGCACGCGTCCACACTTGGAACACTTGGAACGTGTCAACACTTTATTTATTTATACGGAAATTTGGTCAAAAATTAAGTACCTATTTTTTTTACGTAATTCGAATGAGAATCATGTACCGAGTATGCTCCTTAAATATTGATAGTAATTCACCAGTCACCCTGTATGTTTGTTAATTAGCAAAAGCTGTTGGGCTAATTTTGTTGAGATATTGTGTAGCCAGTTACTGCAGAAATATGTAAAAATATAAGCATATCATTCTTTAATCCCTACTAATATTATAAATGTGAAAGTAACTCTGTCTGGCTGTCTTTTACGCTTTCACGCCTAAACCTTTGAACTGATTTTAATGAATTTTGGTACAGAGATAGAGTTGACAAAGAACATAGGATAGTTTTTATCCCAGACTTTTGAAAGGTCCTCTTGGAAACGCGATATAATCGAACTCCACGCGGGCGAGGCTGCGGGCGGAAAGCTAGTAACTATATATATTCTTCTAGTCATCTAAATTACAAATATCCACAATATTTATATTACATATCAGTTTTTCTCTATTTTTTTTTTTTAAATCATTTATATTCATAATAAATACGTCAGTTTTTCCCTATTTTTGTCATATTGACCCCTATTTTGTTCACTACAGCTGGTAAATCGAAGCGTGCGAGTGCTTTAGTGGCGACAGTTGAACGTGCGACTGAGATCTTTATAGAGCGAGGTCAGATAATAGCTTACGAGAACCCGGAGATCACTCAGGAGATGTTGGCTGCTGTGGAGGAAGTTAGGAAGGCTGGTGAGTGTATGACAACCTGATATACAGGGTGACTGGTGAATTACTATCGATACTTGAGGACGTGATATTTGACGATCATATATGACAAAATAAAAATTAATATAACATAAATATTAATAAACTTCTAAGTAAAGTTAACCAAAAGTTGTGTAATTAATTACGCATCGTATGAACACCCTAGAGATTAGGTATAGACTCACACACACATACGCGTGCGGCGTCGTAGTGTTGTATCAGCACGCCGCCGCACGCGTCCACACTTGGAACGTGTCAACACTTTATTTATTTATACGGAAATTTTGTCAAAAAGTAAGTGCCTATTTTTTTTACATAATTCGAATGAGAATCATGTGCCGAGTATTCTCCTTAAATATTGATAGTAATTCACCAGTCACCCTGTATATATATGAGGTATATTTTAGATTGAGAAGAATAAATAATATAAAAAAAATACTAATTACTAACGAACAATTTTATAATTCTTACAAATTCATGAAAGTAATAGGTTTTTAGTGTGATATTAATACACAATGATGATTGATACCTCACAGAATCTAACATGTGATTATAAAATGACTCGCGATACAGAATTTACAGAGCTCTGACTGTTACAACGGTTCCCATGCTATAGAAAGACTCGATACAAGACTACAGATCTTATTAAAAATATAACTAGTTTAATTTATTAGAGGGGAGGGTTGCTTATAATATAAATAATATGATAAGATTTTGCTTGAATTCTTCTATGCTGGACAGAACTAACAGATTTTTTTATGGTTTTACCTTAATTTTTTAGAAATCTTTTTTATATATCATATTCTAGGTGCGGCCATGAGTCTAGCTGCTCGTGAGTTTTCCGAAGAGCCTTGCGCTTCGTCTGTACGTTCGGGAATGGTTCGAGCCGCACGTAGTTTGCTCTCAGCTGTTACAAGACTTCTAATATTAGCCGATATGGTGGATGTACATCTTCTGCTAACTAATTTGAGGACGGTGAGATCATTTATTTATTTATTTAAAAGATACATCAACATCACACATATTCAGCACACAGGAACAACAGATAAAATTGATAAAATCTAGGACCTGATATGAGTGAAAATTACAGACCTACACAACATTTACACAAAGAAAAAAAAACTCATTGTCTACCTGATGAATTGACATGAATGAATCATTGACATATCATATCATATCATATACAAAAGCAGTAGAGCCTAGCTGTGTTCAAACATGGTCTGTCTCGACCGTAAGTACCACCCTCTCATCGAAAGTAGTCTTTAATGGCTGCGTTTTGTATGATGAGTGAGAGAGACGGTTGTATTTTCCCTTTCATTCCTGTCTCTATATTCTACAATAAAAATCGGCAACGCATCTGCAAAAATTATTTTACATATGTCCATGGGCGTCGGTAACTACCTTCTATCAAGTAGGCCGTCTGCTCGTTTGCCACTTTTCTCATAGAAAACAAAATTTACGTTGCTTTTTTTATATACATATATATATTTTTTGTGAATGCACGCTGAGTTAGCCTTTAATTGTAGTGTACTTTGTAAGATCATTGTACATTAAGTTGGCTTCCTAATAAATAAATGTCAGAATTAATATCTACCTTCCAGGTGGAAAACGATTTGGACAAGCTAAAATCAGCGTCCTCTCAATCGGAGCTGTTAGAATCGGCGCGTCAGTTCGGCAGATCTGCCAACGAGTTAGCTGCGCAGGCGGCGAGGCGGCAGAAGGAGTTAAAGGAACCGAGAATGAAAGACGAACTCGCGGCCGCTCGAGCCGTGCTAAAGAAACACTCTACCATGCTACTAACTGCGTCTAAGGTATATAAATGATATAATATCTAGGGATATATCTTAAGATTTATCCATTCAAGAAACTCTATATAATAACAGGAGTTTCCGAACTTGTTTTGGTGACTGTCCATAGTGATATTGACGTACATCAATGAGATAATATCTAGGGATATATCTTAAGATTTATTAGGGTCAGTGGTGTCCTAGTGGTTAAAAGGTCCGCCTCTCATGCATGTGCGCCGGTTCGATCCTGGCAAGTACAAGTGATGTTCCCGAGTCATATGTACTTTATATGTATTTAGACATCACTGATTAATGCATTCCCAAAGAGGGTTGATGTCAGGCAGGCGGACGGTCGAAAAACAATTAGCCAAACATGTAAGGCAGACCCTGGGTAAAGCTGGGAAATTGACAGGTAGAAGAAGAAGGTTTATCCTTACAATAAACTACATATAATAACAGGAGTTTCCTAACTTATTTTGGTGACTATCCATAGTGATATTGCTGTACATAAATGAAATAATATCTAGGGATATATCTTACGATTTATCCTTACAATAAAGTATATGTAATACTAGAGGTTGTGATATGTTTCCTCCCCACTATTTCTAATATGGGAATAAGTCATAAATTTACCTACTGAAACATTTTAACTTCAAATTAAATAATTAATTATCATAGCTTATATATTAAGTATATCTATAAAACCTTTATTATTTTCTGTGTCTCTTACTGCTTCATCAGATCATCACTCACAAGTTATTGTCTTTTACTTTTTGATAGTATGCATAATCGTTTAAGAAATTTTTAACCTATTAAAACTAAAATCTTACTTGTACAAGCCCTTACATTTCCTATTATAGATTACGCTGATGTGTGTTATCCTGATCTCAATGAAACCCTATTGAACAAACTTGACCGTCTCCTAAATAACTCCTTACGTTTTATCTTTTGTCTTCGTAAATTTGACCACATTTCTCACTGTCGAGCAGAGTTCAAATGGCTTCCCATCCGCCAACGCAGAGAATTACGTCTATTGTGTCTTCTTTTCTCCATTCTTTTTGATCCCCAATCTCCTCTTTACTTAAAAGATAATTTTAAATTTCTCTGTGACAATCATGATCGACAGCTACGCTCTAATGACTCTCTCCTCCTCTCTTTTCCCAGCCACCACTCTGGTTTCCTCTCTAACTCCTTCTCTGTAAAATCTATCAGACTGTGGAATAAACTTCCACTAGAAATAAGAAAGGCAGCTACAAGGGCAATTTTCAGGCGTCGTTTACAGGAACATTTTGCTCAGAATCTGTATTAAGTCTCTGTTTTTATTATTGTTTTTGGTATATAATGTATATCTATTGGTTTGTGTGTGTATGTGTATGTATATGTATGTGTATGTATATGTATCTATATATATGTGTATATATTATTTATATATCAATAGAAATTTATATGTATATTTTTACTTTTACATACATACTGCTACCTTCTTCATGTTTTTCTGCTTTTCCTAAGGATTGACTGGCAGAGAATGCCTTCAGGCATTAAGTCCACCTTTTGTATCTACATGTGTAGTTAGACAATAAAGTTTTTAAATAAAAAAAATAAATAATACCCATATAGATATATTTAATGAAATGACATTACATTAAATATAAATTTGCCGCGCTTCGCGTTTGTAACTTGTCGACCAGACGCGTCACTATTCACTAATGGCGGATTATGTTTAAGTTTCTGTTCACTTTATGATTATTAAAACGTCTAAAGAGATAAACTAAAGGAATATAATTGAGGAGGTGATATTAGTGGACTTTAATGTCGTTTCTTTGTATTTTTATAGAAACAAATTGCAGTCTACTTTGAAAATCCTCAATAATATACCCTATATATATGTTTGTCTGTCTGTTCCAGGTATACGTCCGTCACCCGGAGCTAGCCGCGGCTAAGGCCAACCGTGACTTCGTGTTACGCGCGGTCTGCTCCGCTGTGGACACTATCTCGTGTGTGGCGCAGGGAAGACCGCTACCACCGGCCGGTGAGAAGATGAAAACAGATTCAGTGACACACACAGGGACAAACACACACTCAAAAAATACTCATTCCCAAAGAGGGCTGATGCCAGGCAGGTGGCCAGTCGTAAAAACAATTAGTCAAAACTATTCACAACATGTACTTGATTTATTTAAAAGGTACATCAACATCACACATACTCAGCACGCATAAACAACAGATAAAATAGAAAAAAAAAATCTAGGACCTGATATGAATGACTATTACAGATGTACACAACATTCACACAAAGAAAAAAATAAAACTTATTGTTTACCTGTTGAAATTAAGTGATAATTATATAACTATTATAGAAAAAAATGTAAGGCAGACCCTGGCTAAAGCTGGGAAATTGACAGGTAGAAGATACAAAGAGAAGAAAATACACACACAGAGGAATTTTCACGAATTGTGTGTATGTTTGTGTATGTATATTATATATATTGTATTAATGTTCCAGGGTCAAATCGTGTTCCCGTTGAAGGTCCAGGGGAACTTGCTCAAGCTTTGGATGATTTTGATGTGAGTTAATATATAATAAAAGTTTAATTAAATATTGAATCCTATATAGAGAGAGCAGCTTGTATAGTGGAGGTGAGTGTTTAACGTTAGATAGGGTCCTTTAAACCTACTCCTGGGTCACAAGTCACAGTCACTGTTATAATAATAATAATAATATTTATTTGCTCTGAATGTAGATACAGAATATAGGTGTACAAATAGATTTTAATATAAGTTCCAGGTACATTCTACTATAAGGCATGCAAGTATTAGCTTTAAATTATAAATTAAAATTAACTATTCAATTAAAATTACAAATTAAATCAACCATGCAATTATAATCATAAATTCATATTAAATGTTTTACAGATTAAAATTAACTATTGAATAAAATAACAAAGTCAAATTAACTATTCAATTATATTATATATCTGATGATTTGTGATACAATAATAGATTATTTAAGTTATATATTTTGTATTTTATACATTTTTAATTCAGCAATTTCTTACAAAATTATGTGTTATTATCCATTAGTAATTCGTTTACTGAGTAATAGCACTTGTTAACTAGAAAAGAAAACAAAAGGTTTTTAAGTTTTATATAAGTTAATTCTTTTATCTCATTAGGTATTTTGTTATATACAGGGTGACTGGTGAATTACTATCAATATTTAAGGAGAATACTCGGTACATGATTCTCATTCGAATTATGTAAAAAAAATTGGTACTTAATTTTTGACCAAATTTCCATATAAATAAATAAAGTGTGGACACGTTCCAAGTGTTCCAAGTGTGGATGCGTGCGGCGGCGTGCTGATACAACACCACGCCGCCGCACGCGTGTGTGTGTGTGTGTGTGTGTGTGTGTGTATACCTAATCTGTAGGGTGTTCACACGATTCGTAATTAATTACATAACTTTTGGTTAACTTTACTTATAAGTTTATTAATATTTATGTTATATTAATTTTTATTTTGTCATATATGATCGTCAAATATCACGTCCTCAAGTATCGATAGTAATTCACCAGTCACCCTGTAGTAGGGGCTATGGCCAATATGTTCTTCTTTAATAATGCAGTTTTGTAGTTGCTTGTACATAAAAGGTTCTGATATTGAGACAGTAGATTTATAACGCCGTGTCTGGTATCTCTTAAAAATGGAAAAAGGTGCTAATTTGTTTTCACAAAGACTGCAATTTCAAATATATATAAATAAGTAATAATAGATCTAAGGCATCGTTTTTGATCTTTAAAGATACTTTCGTTTTGACAACAGTTACCCCAGAATATAATGGTAAATCTTAAAAAAGAAACAATTAGACCATGATATGCAATTAACTTTTTATCCAAATTATGCAAAGCATATGCTGAGACGTTAAGTTTTTTACAAATCTGTTGAAGCTCCTCTCACTATAACGATGGACCCGACACACGCATATAAATATATGGAATGAAGAGGTTTCGTCTCATATACAGGGTGACTGGTGAATTACTATCGATACTTGAGGACGTGATATTTGACGATCATATATGACAAAATAAAAATTAATATAACATAAATATTAATAAACTTCTAAGTAAAGTTAACCAAAAATTATGTAATTAATTACGCATCGTGTGAACACCCTACAGATCAGGTATACACACACACACACACACACACACACACACACACACACGCGTGCGGCGGCGTGGTGTTGTATCACGTTGTTATTTATACGGAAATTTGGTCAAAAATTAAGTACCTATTTTTTTACATAATTCGAATGAGAATCATGTACCGAGTATTCTCCTTAAATATTGATAGTAATTCACCAGTCACCCTGTATATTGCTATATGCTCAAAACTCATTTATCAATAGACTTTGCGTAAAATATAATGAAGGTTTTAGTCATAATGATATGTTTAATGTTCCCTTACAGTTATAAAAAAAAATGTTGTTTGAAACCCAAAAATAAATTCTCCTAGTTTATTACTTAATATGTATTCCTTTTTCCGTAAGTAAGATAACAATGCGACGTTTCGTTGATTTTTATAACTATTGTATTTGTTTGTTTGTTTTTTTATAAATGGCAGCTTCATTGGTGTATGTTTTTGTAGTTTTTATTTATAATTTAAGTGTATTGTGAGCTGTTTGTGCCTTAATAAAGCAAAAATAAATTAAAAGAGACGAGACGAAACCTCTTAGCATTCAATGGATTCACCGTGCGGGTGCCGGGTCCATCGCGTTGCAGGGAGAGGAGCTTCAACAGTGCCTGGGACTTGCGACCCAGGTGTAGGTTTAAGGGGCCCCTTAACTAACGCGCGTTATACGCTCACCTCCACTGTCCAAGTTCCTCTCCCTACCTAACCAAATTTGAAAAGAACCTACTAGGGCTGCCTTCGACGTACGTTCTAAGAATGAATTAATGTTAGTTCTGGACAGGCCCAAGTCTTTTAGTAGGTTATAGAGAGATTTAGCTGTTATACCTCTCGCTCCCACCTCTACCGCGTACAAATCAACGACGAACCTATTTCGAGTTAGTTCGTTAGTGAGCTCGTAATACTTATTGACCTTGATGGCATGGTCTTTGGGGATGTTGGTTTCCCAAGGCACCGTAAGCTCTATCATCACAACGCGCTTTAAAATACGCGAATATAGAAATATGTCTGGTCTGGAGGCCGACGCACAAATATCCTCGGGGATTTTGTATTGTTTCTCATACGTATCCATCATGATAGTCCAATCCGAAGCCGCTTTAAGGATAGAGTAAGGCTTGACGCTTGATTTTATAGCCCTGGTGCCCTCTCTCACAAAACCTATTGATCGCTCGTTTGTGGTTATTTCCCTTTGCGCTCTGGCTACCGAAAGACTAACCGCTTCACGTATGATCTCTAAAACCCTATCGTGACGACGCGAGTATTGACCGCTGTCCAGGAGAACCTTACATCCCACCAGCAAATGCTTGGCAGTTCCAACTGCCTTTCCGCAGATATAGCAAGTTTTTTCGGTACCTTTACCCCATCTTACTAAATTACTCTGATCTGGGAGAGTCATCTGGAACGCATTGAGATAAAATTTTAGCAAGGCTGGCGACCAGTCATGAATTAGGGTGCGCCATTTTAGTGCTAGTGGAATGCAAAAATCTCCCATGTCTAACCACTCGTTCTGCATTTCTAAACTCATTGCATGGATCTTGTATTTATCGTTCTCGTCTTGCCGAATAAAAGACTTTAATATATCCGTATCTTGGACTTTCCTACTTGATCCTAACCCTACTCTGTTATTTTGCGCTCCGATCATAAATTGTTTATGGAATTGAAGTCGTGACTCTAGCTCTGGGGCATCATTGTCTTTTGGGAGTGATGTAACGACGTCATCATGGGATTTTCCCAGGATATGTCTCTTGGAAACTCTTAGGTGTTTGTAGAGCTCCGATGGTCTTTTTAGATTCATCCCAAAACTATTACGATCCCTGAATAAAGCCGATGAATCAGCCGTTAGCGCGAGCCCGAGCCACAACTTCAACATCTTTATGACGCCTGCATCTAATTTAGATAAAAGGGTTTTACTAAAATCATAGACGAGGAAAGGCCAATTCAAACGTGAAGTTAAGTAATTATCGTAGATCCATGCTTTTTTTACGTTACTGATCTGCTGGCTATCTACCTTGTTGAGATCATTTAAAAAGCTATCTACTATTCCTTCTAAAGATGGAGTACGACCTATATTATCAATCTTACGACCGAGAAACTTGAATGGTGCATTTTCCGTAACCGTAGAAACGCATTGACCGCCTATCGATAGTCCCGGATCGTATGAGGTGTATCTTGTATTCCGCCTACCAAGACACAGACAGTGACATTTACTTGGTTTTGTCCTCAATCCATCCGTCCACTCACAGAATTTATCCACTTCATCCAATAGTACTTGACAGTGTTTGGGGAGACGTGTCAGTATTGCGAGATCGTCAGCGAAGGCTAAAATGGATTCCGTGTATTTGTTATTGAACTTAAACCGATACCCCCATTTTTTCTCATTGCTGATAAGTTTATCTACTAGGATATTGATTATAATATTAAATACTATTGGAGATAAACAGCACCCTTGAAATAGTCCTACATTGTAACTCAAACTTTTTGAAGGGCCTTCTTTAGTTATAATAGAAAACTTTAATTTTGAGTAATACGACGCAATCATATCGCTAACTAAGGGTGGAAAGTTATACCATCTAAGCGCGAATAGCATCAACTCGTGTTGTATCGACCCGAACGCGTTCTCTAAGTCTATCCAACAAACTGTAATTTGCCGCTCGCTTTTTCTAGCATCTTTCAAACTCTCCGACAGCAAGGTATTGTGTTCTAGGCATCCAGAAATCCCGGGTAGAAACCCTTTCTGGTGATTTGGCCTAAAATACTTGTTGCTGAGCATGAATCGCGTCATTCTCGTTTGTAGGACCGAGAAAAAGATTTTAGATATTGTATTTGTTAAGGCTATCGGTCTAGTATCCTTCGGATCGGTAACTCGATCTTTTTTGGGAATGAGGACAAAAATTGCTTTCCCGAAACACTCCGGGATTTGCTTCCTTGACCAGATTTTGCCGTATATATTTAGGAGGTGTTTACGAACCGATGGACATTTTTTAAAGACTATATATGGGATACCATCGGGGCCCGGTGCAGATTTAGATGATTTCCTCTTTATGTGACTACTTATTTCGTCTAACGTTGGTGGTATGCCGTGAAAATCGATATGAGGAATTTCCGGTTTTTGTTCGTTTGGATCCGTATAGAGCCTTACACTTTTAGGCACTTCGTATGTACTCTTGAAATGGTCGTAAATTTGATCGTTGGTCAAGAGAAGCTGTCCGCGTTCTTTCTTAAAAATGGTTTTCGAATACTCAAAAGGGTTTTTATCAAAATCTACTTCCTGTTTGGCCCGGTCAAAATTACCGCGATATTCTGCAGTTTGTGCCGATATTCCTTGAATTAATTTAAGGATTGATCTTAACGCCCTAGCTAGCTGATGACTAAGGTGGTTGTCGCCTAGAGCTTTGGCTATACGTAGATTTTTTATTAATTCCCGTTTTTTCTTCCTCATTTTTATCTTGAACGAATTTTCTTTATTTTTGCGAGCGTAATGATTACGTGGTGGATATTGCTCGTTGAAGTAGTCATAAACGGTATTTTGGAAAGTTTCTACCTGCGAGTTCAATTCCTGCTTCGAGCCCGGATGCTCTAACAGGACCGCTAAATTGTCGTCGTGAACTTTCCAAGTCGATTGTTTCATGTTAGGAATGCTAAGACGTGTCCGGATGTTAATGGACTCCTGGTGGTTTCCAGTTAATAGTTCACCATGGGATACGTGAGGGTCAACTCTATCCGAAGTGATAATTGAAGAACTTACCAACGATTGTCGTGCTTCAACACCATTATGTGTTTTTAGGTGTTTAATGTACCAGGCTCGTCTCTTGTAATTTTTCCCGCACGTAGGGCATTTCAAGTCCGTATTCGCGCCGTTTTCGCCGTTTAAATCGACCGGTGGACAGATCTTCCGCCCCCCCTCTCGGACTGTCCCAGGGGTATTTTTCTTTTTAGGACTTTTAGCTTAATAAATCCCGGGCTGGGCTTGCTAGGCCGTTGCCCTCGGCTGTCTTTCCAGCAGTCATCCGTCTTTCCGGCAGTCATCCGTCTTTCCGGCAGTCATCTGTCTTTCCAGAGTCAGCCCGACTCTCCGGGCAGTCGTTTTATATGAGACGAAACCTCTTAGCATTCAATGGATTCACCGTGCGGGTGCCGGGTCCATCGCGTTGCAGGGAGAGGAGCTTCAACAGTGCCTGGGACTTGCGACCCAGGTGTAGGTTTAAGGGGCCCCTTAACTAACGCGCGTTATACGCTCACCTCCACTGTCCAAGTTCCTCTCCCTACCTAACCAAATTTGAAAAGAACCTACTAGGGCTGCCTTCGACGTACGTTCTAAGAATGAATTAATGTTAGTTCTGGACAGGCCCAAGTCTTTTAGTAGGTTATAGAGAGATTTAGCTGTTATACCTCTCGCTCCCACCTCTACCGCGTACAAATCAACGACGAACCTATTTCGAGTTAGTTCGTTAGTGAGCTCGTAATACTTATTGACCTTGATGGCATGGTCTTTGGGGATGTTGGTTTCCCAAGGCACCGTAAGCTCTATCATCACAACGCGCTTTAAAATACGCGAATATAGAAATATGTCTGGTCTGGAGGCCGACGCACAAATATCCTCGGGGATTTTGTATTGTTTCTCATACGTATCCATCATGATAGTCCAATCCGAAGCCGCTTTAAGGATAGAGTAAGGCTTGACGCTTGATTTTTATAGCCCTGGTGCCCTCTCTCACAAAACCTATTGATCGCTCGTTTGTGGTTATTTCCCTTTGCGCTCTGGCTACCGAAAGACTAACCGCTTCACGTATGATCTCTAAAACCCTATCGTGACGACGCGAGTATTGACCGCTGTCCAGGAGAACCTTACATCCCACCAGCAAATGCTTGGCAGTTCCAACTGCCTTTCCGCAGATATAGCAAGTTTTTTCGGTACCTTTACCCCATCTTACTAAATTACTCTGATCTGGGAGAGTCATCTGGAACGCATTGAGATAAAATTTTAGCAAGGCTGGCGACCAGTCATGAATTAGGGTGCGCCATTTTAGTGCTAGTGGAATGCAAAAATCTCCCATGTCTAACCACTCGTTCTGCATTTCTAAACTCATTGCATGGATCTTGTATTTATCGTTCTCGTCTTGCCGAATAAAAGACTTTAATATATCCGTATCTTGGACTTTCCTACTTGATCCTAACCCTACTCTGTTATTTTGCGCTCCGATCATAAATTGTTTATGGAATTGAAGTCGTGACTCTAGCTCTGGGGCATCATTGTCTTTTGGGAGTGATGTAACGACGTCATCATGGGATTTTCCCAGGATATGTCTCTTGGAAACTCTTAGGTGTTTGTAGAGCTCCGATGGTCTTTTTAGATTCATCCCAAAACTATTACGATCCCTGAATAAAGCCGATGAATCAGCCGTTAGCGCGAGCCCGAGCCACAACTTCAACATCTTTATGACGCCTGCATCTAATTTAGATAAAAGGGTTTTACTAAAATCATAGACGAGGAAAGGCCAATTCAAACGTGAAGTTAAGTAATTATCGTAGATCCATGCTTTTTTTACGTTACTGATCTGCTGGCTATCTACCTTGTTGAGATCATTTAAAAAGCTATCTACTATTCCTTCTAAAGATGGAGTACGACCTATATTATCAATCTTACGACCGAGAAACTTGAATGGTGCATTTTCCGTAACCGTAGAAACGCATTGACCGCCTATCGATAGTCCCGGATCGTATGAGGTGTATCTTGTATTCCGCCTACCAAGACACAGACAGTGACATTTACTTGGTTTTGTCCTCAATCCATCATATAATTATTGTTTCAGGAGCGTATGGTAATGGAACCGATGTCTTACTCCGAGTTGAGGACCAGACCTTCATTGGAGGAGAGGCTCGAGAGCATCATTTCCGGCGCCGCGCTCATGGCTGATAGCTCCTGTACCAGGTACACACACACACACACACACACACACACACACACACACACACAGACACAGACATACACACACACATAGACACACACATACATACTTGTGATAGAACATATATAGGTCTTTGGTAGTGTTGAATAGTAAAGATATTATTACCTGTTTATTAAATATAAAACGTGTTAAAATGTGTTAGAAGTCCTAAGAAGATTCGAACCTGCTACCATATCGCGTTGCAGTCCCTTTAAGAATTGAGCTGTATGCTCATCTTAAGAAACTTTTTTATATATTATCTTATTGTTAGAAATGAAAAACACGTTGTGATTTTTAAAAACAAACGTTCGCCGGCCAAGACATAACTTATTAATATTCAAGACTAATTAGTTCAGAGTTTCTTGTCTTAACAATAGTTGAGAGCATAAAGTGTCAGATTGTCAGTATGGCACTCTTTATATACGTGGCTTGAGGGTTGATAGTTATTTATCTTCTATATATATAAAAATGGATTGCTGTTCCTTAGTCTCGCTAAAACTCGAGAACGGCTGAACGGATTTATCTTATCTTAGTCTTGAAATATTTGTGGGGGTTCAGGGAAGGTTTAAAAGGTGAGAAAAATTTATTCATTTCCGGGAAAACCCTAAAAACAGCCCTTTTCTATTTCCCATACAAATGTTTTCTTTGACATTAGATTTGACAACTAACTAATATGTCAATGATTCTATTCGATTAAAACAGGAAAAACCTGATTATTTATAGCCTCTAGGATGGAATAGAGTTCGCCCGGTCAGCTATACATATATTACTAATGCTGAAATTAACGCGGACGAAGTCGCGGGCAAAAACTAGTATGTATATATATTTATTTAATAATTATTGAACAATATATATTATGTGTTCCAGAGACGAGCGTCGTGAGCGTATCGTAGCGGAGTGTAACGCCGTGCGTCAAGCGTTGCAGGATCTGTTACACGAGTATATGAGTAATGTGAGTTATATATATATATATATTTTAATTTATTGGAATCATAAACAAGTTTACAATATTCATTTCTTATAGCTTAATTAGTACATACCAGTTATTTTAAACTCAACAACGATGGTCACATTATACATAACAAAATAAAAATAAAAATGATTCTGTTGAAGAATTAAATATTAACAAATTCAAACAATTAAAAATTCAATTATTACTTATTCGACGGTTTTATAACAATTTATGAGCGTTACAAACGAAAAAAGTCCAGATATTGACAACAACTGCTCAGGCAACTGCTTATATGTGGTTCCGTCTCTTCTACACTCATATATTCTGTACGACGAATCTGGGTTCAATTCCCATCTTCAAACATGTGTATAGTCCGTTAGACTTCAGCTGAGCTTTGCATTCGTGTGAGTGAAAGTAAAAGTAGAGTTAGACTAAAAACTTTTAGAATTCAAATTTATTATATTTAAATAGATACATAACATAAGTGCTATAAAATAAGCAGAACTTGTAAAAGGCCACATGGAAATATTAAGAAAATTATAAAAAAAATATTGATTAATAAAAATTTTGAAAAAACAATACAAATTCTTATTCACTTGACATTGCGTTTTCAACATTTGATATTGCTATCAGTACAAAGGGTGGACTGATTAAGGTGCGGGGCGTAGTAAAAGCAGAATAAACCGGTTAAAAACTAGAGAAGAACGTTTCATTCAAAATATTGACATCATACCTACACTATGCGTGTGTACTCACACAAATGCAAAGCTTAGCTTAAATCAAACGCACTATACTTGTATAATAATCAAATTCTTTGTATGTGTTGTTTAATATGTATATATAATCTTTCAGGCGGGACGACCAGAACAATCTGAAGGTCTTGAGCGAGCCTTGGAGCAGATGTGTCGCAAGACTAGGGACCTGCGGAGACAACTGAGGAAGGCTGTGGTGGATCACGTGTCTGACAGGTATATACATACATACATGCAGATATATAGAAAGAAAGTCGTGTTAGTTACACTATTTATAACTCTAACGACTGTACAGGTTTGGATGAAGATTGGTGGAGAGATAGATTAGAATAGAGAAAGGACAGTCAGTGTTGGCCTAGTGGTTAAAGGGCCCGCCTCTCGTTGCCGAGGGCGCGGGTTCGATTCTGGCCCGGGCAAGTACCAATGTGAATTTTCCGAGTCATATGTACTTTATAAGAGTATTTAGACATCACTGACATACGGTGAAGGAAAACATCGTGAGGAAACCTGGACTTATAGTTTCACAATTATAAGTTTGAAATCACCAACCCATATTGAGCGAGCGTGGTGATTAATGCTCTAACCTTCTCCTTGTGAGAAGAGACAGCAGTGGGCTCTGATAGGATGATGATGATGACTATAGAAAGGACATGTCAGTTCTATTGATTATTTTGTTACATACCACTTTCCTCAGAATGAGTTATCATTATGACATTAAACACATAGTACATAGTATAAATCTATGTCCACAAAAAACTGGAAACTCTATACTTAGTCTCATGACTAACTAGTACTAAAGATCCAATAAGTCGCATGTGCAATCCCGGATCGTGATTATGCAAATTGTTTGTACGAGTTACGCTCAACATTACTAAATTACTAAATCATGTAAACACACGCATCATCATTCTTGTAAAAAAAAATCTCCATAACTTATAATTTAATTCAGTTAGCTTTCAGTCACCAAGTATACCGGGCGCTCTCATCAATCAATCATATATATACTAGCTGCGCCCCGCGGATTTCCGGGATGTAAAGTAGCCTATATGTTATTCCTGGACGTCAGCTTCCTGTATACAATTTTTTTAAATCAAAATCGGTTCAGCCGTTTGAGCGTGAAGAAGTAACAAACATACACACACACAAACTTTCGCAATTATTATATTAGTAGGATAATATTATATCAAATTAATCAAACTAAGAAGCATTATAAATTTATATCATTTTATTAAGTGTATGAGCGACCAAGTTCCCGTATATTGATATATATATATAATATATATATGTGTTTGTAGTTTTCTGGAGACAAACGTGCCACTGCTCGTGTTACTGGAGGCTGCTCGCGGAGGGAATGAGAAGGAAGTTGAGGAGTACGCGCTTGTGTTTACTGAACACGCGAATAAACTGGTTGAGGTATATATACAGACAGACATACACACACACATAGACAGACATACACATAGACACATACACAGAGACATACATACAAATAGATAATAATAATAATTAATAATGTTTATAAAGTTCTATTGATAATGTTGTTTCTAATGTAAGGATTTATTACACATGCTCATATCAACCACGAAATCATGCTTCTATTGAGTATGCTTATTTAGTAAGTAGGTAGTAAGAGAACTCGTGTTATGAAATGAGAGATCATTAATACTTATAAGTACTCAAATACTACAGGTCGCCAACTTGGTTTGCTCGATGTCAAACAACGAAGACGGAGTAAAGATGGTGCGTCACGCCGCGGGGCAGATAGAAGCGTTGTGTCCACAGGTATAGTCAGATACTAGCACTATATATACTAATGGATATGCCTTAGAGATGAAAATTGTGTCACTCCGAAAGAAAGAGAGGAAACGAAGTTACGGTCTATCTTTATCTCTCTTAAATAATACCGTACTGACTGAGCGTCAATCATCTATGAGGAAAGAGATAGTGCTAGACCGAAAGCATAGGCCATCTTTCTCACTCTTTACAAACCAAACAATTACTGAAGATTAGACGCGCATGTCCATTAGTATATGTCGATGGTACAGAGATTTGAGGTAGAGTGTAAGCAGAATATGTTTGAAAAATAAAATACAAATTTTCATAATTTCCTCATCTAAAACATTGATAATAATATTTTTCGCAAGTATTGATTTAATTTTTAAATGAAACTAATATTTTTATAATTTTTAACTGCCAGACGAGATCTGCCGTGATCACGGTTACTGCAAAGTAAAAAGTCTGGAGTATGTTGTTTATAAACATAATAAAATACGTGAAGCAATTAGAAAATATTAATTTAATTTAAACAGTGATAATATTCGCCCATAATGTTACAGCAGTCCGATCAGACGAACATCTATATACTTTACTAGCTTTTGCCGCGACTCCGTCCGCGTGGAATAGTGACTTCCGGCAGATTTTTGATTCTTCCTACATAGTTCCCGTTCTTTCAGGGTTTTCGGAATGGTCGAGTTCCCGTAGAATTTTCAGGATAAAACCTATGTTTTTTTAATTCACAATGAAGTACTCATAACCAACAACATACAACTTAAACAAATTATTTCGACCAAATTAGTTACCATAAAAACGGTTTTTGTGAGTTAATCTTAAAAGATAGACATATACTGTCGCGGACAGTTTTTTAGACAATTAAAAGGGCTATTATTCTTTAATACATATTTTTTGTGTATCTTGAACCGTTTTCACGGCGCACGCAACGGAAGGCTTCAAAGATGAAATAATTTCTCCCGTTTTTTACATATTTACCACTATATCTTTGCTCCTATTGGTCGTAGCGTGATGTTATATAGCCCACAGCCTTCCTCGATAACTGGACTATCCAACACAAAAAGAATTATTCAATTCGAACCAGTAGTTTAGGAGATTAGCGCTTTCAAACAAACAAACAAACTCTTCAGCTTTATAATATTAGTAAAGATGAATCTAACAACTGCCTGAGCCTCCGAAAGTACCTTAAAACGATTACTATCTGTTTATCACAGCTTTATAAAAGTTATTTAAATCCAGTGGAGATTCTTATTATTATTAAAACAGTGTTTAAGAAGCACTTATTATTTTGTATTGTTTAAAATCTCGTAGAAAGTCCGTTAATTGTCAAATGAAACGCGGCTCTCTGATTGGTCGGTAAACTGTTCATATATTTTTTTCTCCATTTTATTATTATTGAACATTGTCATTTGTCTTTCTGAGCGCAAGTGAATAAATTTTAATTAGTAAACATCTCGTCTGGCCGTTAAAAATAATAAAAATATTAGTTTCATTTAAAATTTAAATCAATTCTTGTGAAAGATATTATCATAGTTTTAGAGAAGGAAACGATGAAAATTGCTATTTTATTTTTCAAACACATTTTGCTTACCCTAACCCGAATCTCTGTGCACGTCACTGAAGTTGTTCACCATTAACATTGTTTTTTAATATTTGGATTTTTTTTTAGGCATAACAATTACATATAACTCTAATTTATTTTTTTATCACCAACCTCTATTTTTTATATAGTAAAACAACGTTTGCTGGGTCAATACATATATATTTATATATTGTTAGATGAAAACACGTTATGATTTTTAAAAACAAACGATCGCCGGCCAAAGGTCAATTTATTATTATTCAAGACTAATTAGTTCAGAGTTTCTTCTCTTGACAATAGTTGAGAACAGAAAGTGTTATATTGTCAGTAACGGCGCTCCTTATATACGTGGCTTGAGGGATGATAGTTTAATAATTATTTAACAATATACATACATATATGTATATATCGAACATTTATCTCCAGGTGATCAACGCGGGTCGCGTGCTAGCCGCCCGCTGCAGGTCGCGTGTCGCTCAAGAGAACGCTTCAGCCTTCGCCCGCGCCTGGGAGGCGGCCGTACGTCTGCTGACTGACGCTGTGGACGACATCACCACCATCGACGACTTCCTCGCCGTCAGCGGTATATATACCGACACTTACTGACGTATACCGACACTTACTCATGCATACTGTCTCATATAATGACCTACATGACGCTTACAGGCTCATATAATGACTTACATGACGCTTACTGACTGATATAATGACTTACTGACTCGTATAATGACTTGCTGACTCGTATAATGACTTACTGACTCGTATAATGACTTACAGGCTCATATAATGACTTACATGACGCTTACTGACTGATATAATGACTTACTGACTCGTATAATGACTTGCTGACTCGTATAATGACTTACTGACTCGTATAATGACTTACTGACTCGTATAATGACTTACTGACTCGTATAATGACTTACTGGCTCATATAATGACTTACTAACTCATAATGACTTACTGACTCATATAATGACTTATTGACTCGTATAATGACTTACTGACTTATATAATGACTTACTGATTCATATAATGACTTACTGACTCATATAATGACTTACTGACTCATATAATGACTTACTGACTCGTATAATGACTTACATAACGCTTAGTGACTCACATAATGACTTACTGTCTCGTTATACAGAGAACCACATCTTGGAGGACGTCAACAAGTGCGTGGTCGCGCTGCAAGAGGCTGACCCGGATGGACTCGAGAGGACCGCGGCCGCTATACGGGGCAGGGCTACCAGGTACATACATACACACACACACATACATACATATATGAACACACTACCTCTCCGCCCGCAGCTTCGCCCGCGTGGAGTTCGGTTATATCGCGTTACCAAGAGAACCTTTCAAAAGTCTGGGATAAAAACTATCCTATGTTCTTTCTCAAGGTCACCTCTATGTCTGTACCAAATTTCATTAAAATCAGTTCAGTGGTTTAATCGTGAAAGCGTAACAGACGGACAGACAGACAGAGTTACTTTCGCATTTATAATATTAGTAGGGATTAGGGACGAGATATAATTAGGGACGAGAGTATAGAAGAAATTTATATGTGGTTGTTTGTTACACTTAACTACAAAACTAGTAATGGATTTGAGTGGAACAACACAATAATATGTCATATATAAGATAACAGGCAGGCAGACCCTGGCTTAAGCTGGGAGGTTGCCAGGAAGAAGATATAGGATAACATAATATAGGTTATAATTTATCATGAAATTTCAGTTGTTTTAGCAGCTTTAGTAATATCTGATGCAATATAAACGATACAGGAATAAGTCAAACTGATTTAATACAAATAAGCAAAGATAAAAACATAAGTGTATATGAGTATATATCTTAATAAATTTAATTTAATATTAATCTATCTCATAAATAAGTTCCTGATAAACTGAATGATTTAAATCACTAAATATGATAAGTCTAGTACGTGTTTCATCATGATATATGTTTTAATCCAGGGTTTGCTCGGTGGTAACTCAAGAAATGGATAACTACGAGCCCTGCATTTATACCAAGAGGGTGTTGGAGGCTGTCACTGTACTCAGAGATCAGGGTAAGTACATGTTACCGAATGTTACCGACTGTTACCGAATGTTGCCGAATGTTACCGACACTTATTATACGTTACCGGACTTTCTAGGTTTTAGATTGTACTGAATACCGTTTGTTACCGAATGTTATAGTCCATTAGACTTAAGCTGAGCTTTGCATTTGTGTGAGTGAAAGTAAAAGTAGAGTTAGACTAAAAACTTTTAGAATTAAATATTATTATAATTTAAATAGATATATATAACATAAGTGCTATAAAATAAGCAAAACTTGTAAAATTCCAGATGGAAATATTATGAATATTGTTGAAAATATTTTATTGATTAATAAGAATTTTGAAAAAACTATACAAGTTCTTATTCACTTGACATTTGACGTTGCTATCAGTACAAAAGGTGAAGTGAGGAAGGTGCGGGGCGAAGTAAACGCAGAATAAACCGGTTCAAAACTAGAAAAGAACGTGGCATACAAAATATTGACATCACACCTACACTATCCGTGTACACTCACACAAATGCAAAGCTCAGCTTAAATCGAAAGCACTATACTGACGCTTATCACATGTTACTGGATAATACTCAAAGCTTCCAGATTCTACGAGAACTTACTAGATATTACAGTACGCGATTTATCCCTGGTCACTACATATTTTAATTTATGATTATGAGTGTTACTTTGTTGTATTCTAAGTTTTTGTGTGTTACCAAATGAACTACCTGTTTGCTATTGGTAAACAAACGTTACTTAAGATGAACAATATAATTTGAGATTATAAAGGTTTCTTTTTTTTTGGTTTTAAATTTAAATTTAACATTTTATTTTATTATGTATATTAATATGAAAATACCATTTTATATTATTTTATATTTCTTATAATTGATTATAAGAAAGTAAAGTCCATGCTAAATTTGCATACAAGTCAACAAATTTGAATGAAAAACATTATTTTATTAATAATAATTTATTAATAGACATATCACTTTGTACTTTAAGTATAGAGTACAATTTAAATTAATGAGTATTTAAATTACACGCATTCTATTTGAAGAGTAGTCTTATTATAATTGTTGGTAGTCCTACATTAATTAGTTTTCCTTGGCTGGTGGGTTGTTCTTGATGAACTCCAAACCACGGAGTATTCCCACGGGAATGGGGGGTGGAGTGGGGATGTACGGACCCTGGGGATTAGCATAGTATTATTATATATATAACTAAAGAAGACAGACGAAACCTCTCATCATTCCATATATTCCCAGTGCGTGTGTCGGGTCCATCGTTGTAGTGAGAGGAGCTTCAACAGTGACTGTGACTTGTGACCCAGGTGTAGGTTTAAGGGACCCCTATCTAACGCGTTAAACGATCACCTACACTATCCAAGCTCCTCGAAACGAAACTACTAGGGCTGCCTTGTTTACGTTCTAATAATGAATTGATGTTAGTTCTGGATAGGCCTAAATCTTTTAGTATATAGTTAGTTTGGTTCTATAGTCCATGTTTTTTCAGTCCTATATTCTATAGTCCTAAATTCTATAGTCCCAGGTTCTATTCCCGGTATTATTATTCTATTCACCTGTGCCTGGTATCCATTCTCGTCTGCCGTATACTGGAATTGTATTTTCTCTCCGTTGGGAGCGGTCCAACTAGCTTCTCCTTGCGCCACTTGAGCTGGTACATCCGCCTGGAAAAAGATATTATATATACTCTTTATTGCACAGTAAAATTACATAGCTATTTTACATCCAGAACAAGTTGACAAAGGCGGGCTTATTTCTATAAGAAATCTCTTCCAGCCAACCTACAGCTGTAAGGATTAGTGTGTATAGCACGTAATAAATAATTGTGCAATTAGATATGCTCTTAATAATAGTAATATAATATAAAAAACAATTTTAATATAATACATATTAATATATTATGAGATCTAAGATTTTCGCGATTTTAATGAAACTAATATTTTTCGAATATACCTACTAGGATGTCTATTTTTGATAAAGATTACATACTCCCGACTTTTCGGCTACTTTACAGCAACCGTGATCTTTAAGACGAGATGTAGTTTTTATCAAAAATAAAGTCGCGTAGCATATCGGAAAAATATTAGTTTTATTTAAATATAGTGATATCTTTAACGTTCTTGGAGCTAGAACTTGGATGGATAGTTTTTGGATGAAAGGATTTAGATGAACATTTGACTAAGTAGGTTTATTAGGTAGGTAGATTATGTCTCATTGTGGATTTTGCAGGCCTAAAGCGTTAGTAAGAGACCCAGAATAAATATGGGGGTTTTACTAGGGATGATTTGTAATTTTATATAGCTAGGATATGTAGTGGTTTTTTAGTAGATGAACAAATGGGGCCCTAAAAGTATTCCCAGAGTGAGCAGTGGATAGAATGCGCTTGGGAATCTATGATAATATAGAAAATAATGTTTGGAATAGAACAAATATGATGTAAATCAAATCTTTTCTTTAATAGAACTTGTTGAAAAATATATTACAAATAGGACGTTCTTGAATGTGTCACCTCATCGTAATAAGAATACCAAGGATAAGACAGATTTTTGTAGTTTATTGACCCAAAAAACTTGTAAAAATTTAAGTGATTTTGGTAACGAAAGATATCAAAACTACATATATAGAAATTTAATTTCGTCTTCTAGCGATCACTGTTGTAAAGTAACCGAAACGCTGTCGTATGTAGTTAAAATAATAACGATAAGTATACGAAAAATAATAGTTTCATTTAAATAAATACTTGCGACAATTTATATGTAAAAGGTTTTGGGCGTAAAGTATGTCATCCTACTAATATTATCATTGCGAAAGTTTGTGAGTGTGTGTATGTTTGTTACTTCTTCACGCTCAAACGGCAGAACCGATTTTGATAAAATTTTGTATACAGGAAGCTGACGTCCAGGAATGACACATAGGCTACTTTACATGCTGGAAATCCGCGGGTAGTACCGCGGGGCGCAGCTAGTATTCTTCGTAATTCTTACCCCGGGTACATTCTTCAACGCGCCCTGTTCTCTGGCGGCAATGCCGTTTTCCGTCTCATACGACCATAAATATTGTCCTTCTACTCCAACATCCAATTCCTGCTTCAAAATCTTAGCGTCAGCTTCATTGCTCTTTGCTAATATATGGGAAACGTCAGCATTGACGTACGCTACAGCCAGGATTATGAGAAGCAGTTTCTGCAACAAGGAATAGATTGTTAGGAAACTATGGTTAAAGATCTCTATTCTCAAGAACATACAGAGGTTCACTTACATGAGATTAATGATACACACATACATTAATAATTGACATCGAATGGCTAGTACTAATTAATATTGTCTAATATATTTTAAGTTTATTTTAATGATGATTCAATTAGAGAAAGTTTGAATTTCTTATTACTTATATTTGTAGACGAATGATCGAGAATAGTTTTTGTTCTTGAAGTTTCACGAGTACAAAATTTTTCATCACTTTTATTCAGTATCTCATACCCCGCTTTATGGAGATTGTTTAAGTATTGTTCGATTTTCGTCTGTGCTCAATAAATCTAAATTAAATCGTAAAAGGAGTTACGCAAACTAGAAGTTTTATATCAATTTAAATTTTTTTGCTTTAAACACTTCATAATACTGTGTTTTACAACATCCATTAAAAAATACTTAGTTTTTTGCAGTAAAAGGGCATGAGAAACACACTTTTTAATGTATAAGGACTTATATACATTGGTTTACAAAAAAGTTTATCAATCTTAAATGACGTACATGTATGTCATAGTTGCTGTCCAAAGTATCAAAAGCATCATCTACCTGGCAATTTCCCAGCTTTAGCCAGGGTCTGCCTTACATGTTGTGAATAGTTTTGGCTAATTATTTTTACGTCCGCCTGCCTGACATCAACCCTCTTCGGGAATTATGTTATACACATAAATGTATATTTAAATCTTTAAATATTTACAACTAAAACGCTTCTAGCATATCAAAACACTATTTTTTTAATTGAAACTGAATATTAAATTACGAAATACGAAACTATCATAATAATTAGTAATTAAGAAAATATTTCCATCTCTAGAAGATGCTGTGTTGATCTTGAACGTCGTAAACATCTCATTGAAATACCATCTGTGTGGTGTGAAACAAAGTATGGTTCAAAACATAAGCGATAGCGATTATATTATAAATGAAATATTGTATATGAAAGAATATATCTTATTTACGAAAAAAATCTGCTTATATACTGTAAAGTGTGGTATGTAAATAATATTAAAAGTATAAAGAGTTTAGAAAATATTTTATGGAATAATATTTTTCTGGCAATTATTAAAATAATTATACATATATGTCATTTTTATATTAGGAAACTATCTAATATAGTTGTCAGATCGCAGAAGTCTCTAACATCTATTAGGTTTTCCTAAAATCAAATTATAATTCCTCGTAAATTTAATCAAAAACGCTACCTCTCGTGCCTTGTAATGTACTACAAAACAAATGCCAGCGTAACCTTTATACGAAGCTTCTAACACTGAATCACAAACAAATATTTGCACTTGCGTAATATTTATTATGATTTATAAGGAAAATCGTAATTTTTATTGTAGCTTTGATGTAACCGAAAATGTTAAGGTCGTTGACCCTACCATATGTCTCATATCAAATTTCACACGATTTTTATTTTCTTTAATTTCATTTAAATGTTTATGAATGAAAAAACGTTTTACCCTACGTATTGAGTCTAACATAACAAATTTTAATTATAATATCGTAACCTTACCACTAGTCTCCATCACTCCACACTACTCGTCTGCCGTCTGTCATTCAATACGTTAATACTGAGTGAGTTATGAATGATGAACTGTTGACGCTGCGTGTGTAGTGACGAGAACTTGTAGTAAGCGAAGTATGTATACAGGGTGACTGGTGAATTACTATCGATACTTGAGGACTTGATATTTGACGATCATATATGACAAAATAAAAATTAATATAACATAAATATTAATAAACTTCTAAGTAAAGTTAACCAAAAGTTATGTAATTAATTACGCATCGTATGAACACCCTACAGATTAGGTATACACACACACTCACACATACGCGCGCGGCGGCGTGTTGTTGTATCAGCACGCCGCCGCACGCTTCCACACTTGGAACACTTAGAACATGTACACACTTTATTTATTTATACGGAAATTTTGTCAAAAATTAAGTACCTATTTTTTTTACATAATTCGAATGAGAATCATGTACCGAGTATTCTCCTTAAATATTGATAGTAATTCACCAGTCACCCTGTATATCGAATCTGTCTTTATGAACTTACCATTGTGATGGTCAAAATCTTATGTTCCACTGTGAATAAAACAACTTGTTGATCGTATATATACTCAGGTATAAGGTCACGCCTCATCTCGACAAGATGCAGCTTCATTAAAATATATAACATACAAGGCTTGTTCATTAATAACATATATTAATAATAAACCTTTCTTATATATGTCATTTATATACTATGTAAAATATATAAAGGAAAGTCGTGTTAGTTACACTATTTATAACTCTAACGACCGTACGGGTTTGGATGAAGATTGGTAGAGAGATAGATTAGAACATAGAAAGGACATAGGATATTTAATTCTGTTTGATAGAAAAAGAAAAAAATACTTAATAAATTCCAATACCTCGTTATTTATGACCTCTATGGGGAATAGAGTTACCAGTCAGCTATACATATATTACTTATTCCGAAATTAACACGGACGAAGTCGCGGGCGAAAACTAGTATATATATTATATATAAAGAAATTATTCTCTAAATAAATTAACACTAAAAAAAAAAAATTCTTTTTTGTCATATAAAAGTTTTTAATTCTCATCTTAGCACAAACACATAATGAATTTTTCTAAAAAATTATAATGCATATTGTAAAATTTATATATTTTTTTGAACTATTTAAACATCCATACATTTCGCAATTCTATCTTTTTAAGGATGAATCAATTTTAAAGTAAATTTTCGTATTTGATAGATATTAAAATGGAATTATGCTCGTATATATTTGTTGGTCTCATCGAGAATTCAAATCTCCATCTACATAGTTATATACAATTTCATACATACAGTAGGACCCCGATTATCCGGACCTCGGTTATCCGAATTCGCGATTATCCGGACTGCCAATAGCGACGAGTTTATTCTAACACTAGCTTTTGTCCTACTTCGTCCGCGTGGAATAGTGACTTCCGGCAGATTTTTGGTTCGTCCCACATAGTTCCCGTTCTTGCGGGGTTTTCGGAATAGTCGAGTTCCCGTAGAATTTTCAGGATAAAACCTATGTTTTTTTTTATTCACAATGAAGTACTCTTAACCAACAACTTATTTATTTGTTTATTTGAATAAAGATTCATATTATTATGTTGATACAACTTAAACAAATTATTTCGAGCAAATTAGGTACCATAAAAACGGTTTTTGTGAGTTAATCTTAAAAGATAGACATATACTGTCGCGGACTGTTTTTTAGATCATTAAAAGAACTATTATTATTTAATACATATTTTTTGTGTATCTTGAACCGTTTTCACGGCGCACGCAACGGAAGGCTTCAAAGATGAAATAATTTCTCCCGTTTTTTACACATTTACCACTATATCTTTGCTGCTATTGGTTGTAGCGTGATGTTATATAGCCCACAGCCTTCCTCAATAACTGGACTATCCAACACGAAAAGAATTATTCAATTCGAACCACTAGTTTTCGAGATTAGCGCTTTCAAACAAACAAACTCTTCAGCTTTATAATATTAGTATAGATTAACATGTCAGAACTTGCATAACGCCACGCCACTTATAACACTTCTACGTACATTATGTACAATTTCTTAATAAACGTTGGTTCTCGCTCATATGTATTTGTTGTTTTAAATAAACACCTAACATTACATATGTATGGTACAGACTACATATGTACATATGCAAAAAGCCCGTTTTTCTTCATATATTGGATTATCCGGACTTTCAATTATCCGGATGCCTACCGACAACAATTAGTCCGGATAATCGAGGTCCTACTGTACCTTATTTACGTAAGACGATCAAATTGTAAGTATCGATTTATATTAAGGAGTTAACTCAAACTTTGGGTCTTCCTGTTTGTACACCTTGCGTGTTTACCAGCATTTGATCACGGTGATACCTTACCTTATTCTTTCTGACAATTTCCCAGCTTTAGCCAGGGTCTGCCTTACATGTTGTGAATAGTTTTGGCTAATTGTTTTTACGACCGGCCGCCTGCCTGACATCAACCCTCTTTGGGAATGCATTAATCAGTGATGTCTAAATACTCTTATAAAGTACATATGACTCGGAAACATCACATTGGTACTTGCCAGGATCGAACCCGTGCCCTCGTGTATGAAAGGCGGATCTTTTAACCACTAGGACACCGCTGACTATAGTAGCTTATATATAATTTCATTAAGTTTAGTAATTATAATCAAGATACAAACTAAAAGATTATTCTATTGAATATGTAGATGTAATTTCCCATTAAAATTTCCTTAGTATTGGTTGAAATTTCAACCGAAATACGGATGGTATTCAAGTTTACGTATACGTAATTTATAGTAAGAATGTGAATGTCAGTTTGTGTATCATAAACTCGGTAACAAATTCTTTATATTTAGTATTTTGGTCATGTTTAATAACAATTATAACTGATTATCCAGAACTTATATTCTTTCTTTAAAGTACTTCGAAGCCAGCCCTAGTAGGTTCGTTTCAAATGTAGAGAGGAGCTTGGATTGTTGAGGTGAGCGTTTAACGCGCGTTAGATAGGGGTCCCTTAAACCTACACCTGGGTCATAAGTCCCAGTCACTGTTGAAGCTCCTCTCAATACAACGATGGACCCGACACACGCACCGTGAATACATGGAATGATGAGAGGTTTCCCATAGTCGATAAATCTCAAAAGCAATAGTTATTAGTTTTTCTGTAACAGAACAACACAAAAACAAACATACATATATATATATTATGGAGTTCTTAAACAATGATGTCCATGGACCGACCTATTACGACATGGTCGTCCGTCTTCTTATAATATATTACTTATAAACTGGTTTTTTGAAACAATATATATATACACACATTATATGGAAATCGACATATTGTTTCGTTCGTCGTATATTTGGTTCCGTATACGTTTTTTTGTTATATTTCTATTGTAATGTATGTATGGATAAATAGTTCAATAGAAAAACTATACGTTTTTAAATCCCAAAATCATTCCCAAAGAGGGTTGATATCAGGCAGGCGGCCGGTCGTAAAAACAATTGGCCAAACTATTCACAACATGTAAGGCAGACCCTGGCTAAATCTGGGAAATTGCCAGGTAGAATAAGAAGAATAACTATATGTTTTGAAATCCCAAAATCATTCCAAAAGACGGTTGATGTCAGGCAGGCGGCCGGTCGTAAAAACAATTAGCCAAAACTATTCACAACATGTAAGGCAGACCCTGGCTATAGCTGGGAAATTGCCAGGTAGAAGAACTACTGTACTGAAGAACCCGAATTATTTATGTATTTATAATAAACGATGCCGCATCGTACTTGTGCGAGGCAATGACCTCATTTTGATACAAGTTTTGTTTTTTTTGTGAATCACAAGATAAATTATGTTTTTATATAACTTTTAATGAAGTGTGGTGACTAGTTGGGACTTTTGGTGTGACCTAGTTGTTTTATTTTAATTGTACTAGCTCTTGTCGTTAGGCCTAGTGGTTAAAAGGTTCGCCTCTCGTGCATGAGAGCGCGGGTTCGAAACCTGGCAAGTACCAATGTGGTTTTTAAAGTCATACGTACTTTATAAGAGTATTTAGACATCACTGACTGATAAATGATAACATCGTGAGGAAATATGGACTTATCAAATTATAAGTTTGAAATCACCAACCCGTCTTGAGCGAGTGTGGTGATTAATGCTCTAACTTTCTCCATGTGAGAAGAGGCTCAGTAGTGGGCTCTGATAGGATGATGATGATGAATAGCTCTTGTTCCTATAACTCATCACATCCTGTACTGCATCAGTCTTTATTAAACTATAATTCGCGGTATAATATTGAAATCTAACACTAAAGTATTCATTTAAATGAAACTAATATTTTCGTATACTACGCGTTTATTATATTAACTACATACGACAACGTTTCGGTTACTCTACAACCGTGATCATTAAGACGAGATGCAATAGTAATCCGAAGATATTAGTTTCAAATATATCTATTTTTTCCGTGAAACTCAGTAATATTAACACACACACATATACAGGGTGACTGGTGAATTACTATCAATATTTAAGGAGCATACTCGATACATGATTCTCATTCGAATTATGTAAAAAAAATAGGTACTTAATTTTTGACCAAATTTCCGTATAAATAAATAAAGTGTGTACACGTTCCAAGTGTTCCAAGTGTGGACGCGTGCGGCGGCGTGCTGATACAACAACACGCCGCCGCGCGCGAGTGTGTGTGTGTGTGTGTATACCTAATCTGTAGGGTGTTCACACGATGCGTAATTAATTACATAACTTTTGGTTAACTTTACTTAGAAGTTTATTAATATTTATGTTATATTAATTTTTATTTTGTCATATATGATCGTCAAATATCACGTCCTCAAGTATCGATAGTAATTCACCAGTCACCCTGTATACTTATATAATTTTCGTTGTCCTTAAATCCATCTTATCAATTAGATATAGCCGCAGCGTAGTTTTATCATATTATTTTCGCTTCAAGTACCTCATATAACTGCACTTGTACATAATCTTATCTATTGATTTGTTACAATAAACAAAAATAAGATTGTAAGAACATCGAGTGTAACTTATCTTGACGAAGATCAAAGATGCTGTGTTATTGGGTGGGTGTGGCTTAGTAACAATCTGTAAAATTTGATACGAAGGAAAATATTGTTTTTTTCAAATACTTATTGATTATACAATTATATTCAGTATCAAAGATAAATTATACAGAAAATCAATTAAAATATTGTATATGTAACTAGATTTTAAAATAAATATTTAAAAAAATATGTACCCTCAATATAAATAAATAATAAAATTATTTTATGAAAATATAAAAATGCAATAGAAATATGTATCACCAAAAAATATATGTATTTTATAATACCTAAAAAGTTGCGAGTATTCATTTAAATGAAACTAATATTTTCGGATCTTTTTTCTCATTAAAATCTCGTCTTAATGATCACGGTTGTAAAGTAACCGAAACGTTGTAGTATGTAGTTAAAATAATAAGTAGAAACGCGTAGTTTACGAAAAATACCTCTCAGAATTTGATCCTTAATAATTTGAATTCTTTTTTAGGTTCAACGTTCAATAAAAGTACAAATGTGATCAATAATCTTTAATAATACAAAGTAGCCGAAATAGTATATTTTATATATAATTCTATTAACAATAATGATTGTTAATACAGGTCAAAAGTATTACATTAGCGGTACCATTGGTGTATATCCTTTGATTTTTGCCTGGTTGGTTTTGAAGAAGAGCTTCCAGAAAGCCATTCTTTCGTGGTAAATATTTCTTTGGAGAGATAATTCTGAGTCAATGTTTAAGCAGTTGAGGATATCTTTGGTGACAGGGAGCCACTTGATAGGTATAAGCTCTGTAGTTTCTGGTGTTGGATTCCTGGAAAATTATTATCATTGATTATTGCTTATAAAGGACATTTTTTTATTTAAAATTAATATGTATGTACCTTATTAGTGAACAAAAAATATGTTTGAAATCATTGAGTTACATAGTTTATTCTTTTAATACAATTTATGTAAGTCATACTTTCAACATTACACAATAATTAATCCACCAGTTTAAAATGTGAAAATGCATTTCATTTTTAATATAAGCAAATTTGCATATTAATCCATACTAAAAATGATGATAAAACAAAAACTACTTCTCCCTAAATAGCGTTAATTATACTTAAGTGGTGGCAATATTCCTTATCCTAACTAAATAGTCGTAATTTCTTACCCGTATTTAACGAAATTGGTCCACAAAGTCGTCATCACGTCAATAATATGTTGATCTTCTTCCGTCGGGATTGACGGATCAAAGGTCATGTCGAACAGAAAGCTTATCTCATCAGCATGAGCGGCACCCTTTTCGGTTACGTTGTTTCTCTTCTTCACGAAATTTCTGTCACCGCTGTAAGAAAACACGTAGTGGTACAACTTCTCGGCGCCGTTTTCGAGAAACTTCTCTATGCTTTCGTGAACTGGGTAAATGAAATCGTTGTCTGAGCTGAAATCTATCAGTTCCCATTTCACTTCTTGACTGAACTCCTCATCCCCGATGTAGAAATGACGGACTAGTTCTGCCATCTCCTGGAATTCCTCGTCGTATTCAAGTAAATCACTCAAGGAGCTGTTAAAAACGTCCAACTTAGCGAAGTAACTGTCAGGTTGGCTTATATAACTGACCAACATTTCTTTGTTATTAAATCCTGTAAGTATAGGAATATTCTTCGCCATTGGGACATTAGAATTTCTAGGATGCTCGCTAAGTATACTCTCGACGTCCTCAAATTCTTTCTCTATACACACGCCGAATCGCATGGACATTTCTGAAGCGGCAGCGATCACCAATTTACTGTCTGTTTTTGCCAAGAAAGATATTGCCTCTGACGAACTATCTGTGTCATAACCCAGCTTCCCAGCTAATCTTATTGCTTGTGTTACATCAGTATCCATTATAACCCAGGGGCTGTATACGGAACCGCTTTGTAAGATAACACTATTGAACAGCTTCTCCTGCTTGGACCATAGGTGGAGTTCCACAGACACAGCGCCAGCGCTTTCACCCATCAAAGTAATTTTATTCACATCTCCGCCAAATGATTCTATATTATCCTTAATCCAGCGTAGTCCTAGTAACTGATCCTTCAAACCCTGATTCCCTGGAACTTCAGGAGTGTCCAAGCACATGAAACCATATGGCCCAAGTCTATAATTTAGAGTAACCAAAATTACATCATGTCTAACCAAATATTGTGGTCCATGCAAGAATCTGCCGGAAAATCCAATCCGGAAACCACCTCCATATATCCAGACTAAAACTGGTAGTTTGTTCCTTGAGTTGGCTTTGTTGGGAACGTAGACATTTAGGTGAAGACAATCCACGGATCCCACAATAGTATTATTGAATTCTTCGATTTGTGGACATATTGATGAGTCGTCATCAGCGAGGAAGGTCTCTTCGAATTTTGGATAGGGTGTCGCTACCTGGACATAAATTTAGTAATTATCATTAATAATAAGTAGTCCAAGCTATGTGCTAGCTAAGGCAGACCCTGGCTAAAGCTGGGAGGTTGCCAGGAAGAAGAATAAGTGGTCCAAGCTATGTATTGCAACAAGTTATGGTTATAAACATTATCACCAAAATTTATTTTTGTTTACCCGACTTAAAAGAAGGAGGGTTATGATTTTAAGCGTGCTTTGTTTGTACTTAATTTTTTTGGCAAAACCTGGAGACTTGTCCTGTTTTTACCTTAGTCGTTAGAATGATATTGTGTTTTTTTGGGGTCTGAAGTAGGGAATCCCAAACACATCAAAGATAGTGACGCAATTAGTTTTTGTTAGTTTCAATACACAACAAAAGAAACAAAATCCTGATTAAAAAATCTGCTAATTTTAACTTTGTTATATATTAAAATAAAATACTCACTCCAAAAGGGTTATTCTCATCCACCTTTCCGAAAGGTATGCCGAGGAACATGGAATAATCGCCAGAATCGGCTCGAACACCTCTTATAATTCCTTGCTTCGTTTGAACCAGAGGATCCACTCTCTCCCTTCCATTTACAAAGCCCAGTAAAAGGCAGACCGCTACCCACCTACCAACCATGATCTCCGACTTTAGAACATCAAGTGTGCAGAATCTTGAGCCAAATCTTATCAACTTATTGATATCTATAAAAGATACTATTCTCGTGATATTCTCGTTTTTTGGATATTGAATTGGAAGTCATATTTCTGATAAGATTTTAAGATGAGAGTATTGTCTAATGTATTTATAACAAAAAAAAAATACTAAGGAATTTTTAGAGAAATATTTTTAGTCAAACTACAAAATAAATTGAATCGACCTAATTCGTCTTTTTAATTAAGAGAAAATTTTAAATAGGACGTTTGTTTTATAAATGCTGCATTATATTTAATGGTGTATTAATGAAGATTTTCGTAAAGTTATATAGTCAAGTGTAGCAACAATTAATAATAGAGGATACAACACAATTAATAATTAAATTTAATAAAAACTGTTTTAATTTAGAAAGCATTAAAAGTAAAGGTTTCTGACACAAACATTTTTATTGATATAATTAGATCTAAGACTTTAAGTATTCATTTAAATGAAACTTATATTTTTGTATACTACGCGGTTATTATTTTAACTTTGAATAGAATGACATTAAAGATTAACTCTCTTTTTAAAAATACTAATATTGATATATTCTCGGGAAGGCCTCTTGAATTCAAAAAAACAATTAAAAAATGTTTAATTAATTAAGCTTAGATTTTACTTTCTAGTTGTTTGTTCTTCATGCACTGTATTTAAACTAAAATGTATTTAAACCAAAATGTTAACCTTGTGATTACATGCACTTTGTAACTATTTCAGCATCAAGTGGTTGCCTGTAACTGAGGTAGCACATAGCATCTCAATTGTAATAATAATTTAAATAGTTGTATTTGTGTATACTTTGTTGGCGATCTAATAAATAAATTACATACGACAACGTTTCGGTTACTTTACAACCGTGATCATTAAGACGAGATAAGAATTTCACGATATTTTTATTTATCACAATGCGAAAGAAATAAAATAATCATGTCCAATCACATAATGTGTAACCTTCTTTATAACAGAGATGGAATTTAATCATATTTTGCAAAGCGTCACACGTAGAAGATATTGTATCTCGGTCAATAGATCGATCAATTTTATGTACATATCGTTCAAGATTATTTTAAATATATCAAAATTGTTTATTAATATATAGACTAAAACGAAAATAAATTTATTATAGGATTAAAAATAAAGACCAAAATATTAATGTGCAATGGATATTTATAATTATTTATATTAATCTATGCTTATTTTTAATGAATGATCTATCTTGTCGTATTTTTATTCTTCTATAAATAATATAATGAGCAAAAAACGAGCAAAGAATTATTTTTTTTTCTTCACTAGTTGTATTTAAATTTGTGATATCTAAAAAGTGTGGTTCAAGTATACCAAAAGTTTTAAATATATTTATTTAACATAAATTCTTAATTATTAAAGCTTAGAGAGCTTAATAGTTCAATTATAGTAATTATCTAATTTGTGGTTGCCTAGAGGTTAAAGGTCCGCTTATCGTGCATGAGAGCGCGGGTTCGAAACCTGGCAAGTACCAATGTAATTTTATCAAGTCATATGTACTTTATAAGAGTGTTTAGACACCACTGATAGATGAAGGAAAACATCGTGAGGAAACCTAGACTTATAATCAAATTATAAGTTTGAAATCGCCAATTCGTCTTGAGCGAGCGTGGTGATTAATGTTCTAATTTTCTCCATGTGAGAAGACCCTTTGCTCAGCAGTGGGCTCTAATATGATGATGATGAAAACGAATTATCTAACTATATTAATCAACTACAAGCAATTTAGATTTTCTGATAACCTACTCATTATATTGTACGAAGAAATTAAAACTAGGAGAATCTCAATTATTTATTACTTATTATTGTTTTGTGAGTAAAGTAAGTCTGTGCATATTAGTTTTGAAGAATAACTTCAAGAAAATGAGTCTTTTGTTATACGGCAGTCTCTTTAGCGTCAATTCCTTGTTCAAATCCAAGTAATTGTTGATTTCCTTCGTTGCTGGAAGCCATGCAACTGGTAACAGATCGTTTGTCACCGGTGTCGGGTCTCTGTAACATTTAGATAAGATATCAGTTGATTTACAAAAAGTTTAGTTACATAATATATATTAGTTTCATTGCTTTACCCGTATTTGGCGAAATTTGTCCATAAAGTTGTCATTTGATCGATCATTCTCTGGTCTTCGGCTGTGGGAGTGTCTTCGTAGGATATATCAAATAGATAAGCTAATTCATCAGCGTGCGCCGCTCCCTCTGTCGTAATATTCATTCTCTTCTTAAGGAAATTCCTTTGACCGCTGTAGGAGAACATATATTGGTATATCTTTGAACCTTTCTCGAGGTAATGGTCAATGCTCCATTGTACCGGGAAGTTGAAAGTTAGATCTGAGTTGAAATCCATCAAGTCCCAGCGCAAAGCTTCGCTCATTTCTTCATCTCCGATATAAAAACGTCTAACCAGATCTTCCATCTCAACAAACTCGTTGTCATAAGTAAAGTAACCTGCCAGGGCGTTTCTGAACATGCCGTAACCTTGGAATTGTTCAGGTTTCATATGTTCGTACATCATAAGCAGTTCCTTGCTGTTAAATCCAGCTAGCATTGGAGTATTCCTGATCTTCGGCGAGTCCACCAATAATGGATGTTCAGTTACAAAACCATCGACATCATCGAATTTCTTTTCAATGCACACTTTAAAGAATAATCGTGAGGATAAAGTTGCGCTTATAATAGACTTAGTCTCCATTTGGGATAAATATAATAAGGCTTCGTTTACATCATTGGTTTCATAACCTAATTCCTTACTTAGTTTAATAGGCGCATCTGGAATCGATTCTCCTAATAGAGTTAGTAATGCCGTACCACTCTGTAAAATGACCTGATCAAATAGATGTTCTTTATCAGATAATAGGTGAAAATCAACTGAGGTAGCGCCAGCGCTTTCCCCCATCAATGTAATTTTGTTCTCATCACCTCCGAATGCCGCTATATTACCCTTGATCCATCTCAACGCCAGTAATTGATCCTTAAGCCCTTGATTTCCGGGTACTTCAGGTGTGTCCAAACACATGAAGCCATATGCTCCTAATCTATAATTCAAAGTAACCAAAACTACATCATGCTCCACTAAGAATTTGGGACCAGTAACATATCTGCCACCATCGCCGCCCGTGAATCCCCCCCCGTGTATCCAAATAACAACGGGCAGTTTATTTCTAGTCCCCGCTATGTTTGGCACGTATATATTCAAACGCAGACAGTCTAATGTTCCTACTATTTCGTTTGTGAATTCGTCAACTTGAGGACATACTCTCGAATCGTCATTAGCGTGGTAGATGTCATGATATTCACTAAATGGGATTGAAGGCTGTAAAATATTAAAATACACTTTTAAGTATACGTAATATATACGTTTATATATTTATTTGAGACATTTTTATTTGAGGAATGCGTTAGTTTTCATCTAAATCATTATAAAGCTATATTTAATATATATTTTTATATTTAATAAACATAAAAACTAGTACTAATATTAGAAAAGTTGGTAAGAGATCTTCAGTTTGTCAACTTATTCCCTTTCTCTTCTTATTAGTAGAGAACTAAGGGTTGGTATTGTATACTTCCTATCTTTTTTGTCGTCTAATATTTGCAGATTGTATTTAATATTTATATACAATAAATTTATTCAAAAAAGCAATATGTATTCACAGAATTTTTTGCTTACCCCAAAAGGGTTATTTTCATCGACAATTGCATACGGTATACCAAGGAACATTGAGTAATCACCATCATCAGCTTTCACTCCTCTAAAAAGACCCTGATTGGTCTTCACCAATGGGTCCACACGCTCCAGACCCTGAACAACTGCACACGCAAATAAAATTAAAAACACGAACCCCATTTTGGTGCGACTGTTCTGAAACAGTATGCTCTTTATATATATAGGTTTTTTCACCTTATCGTCGATACGCTGAGTCGAGATTGCGATTGAGGTAAAAGATATGTCTTAAGCTGTGTGCGCAAAAAAATACAAATCAACATAAAGTAGCAATAATTGAAATAATAAAAACATAGATTTTTTTTAATATAAAAGAAGGAGTAGGTTAGTTGGTAAATGAAGAGGCAGAAATAAGTTTTTGTATGCTAATATTTCAACCTTATATTTTAACTAGCTTTCCGCCCGCAGCTTCGCGGGCGTGGAGTTCGGTTATATCGCGTTTCCAAGAGAACTTTTCAAAAGTCTGGGATAAAAACTATCTAATGTTCTCTCTCAAAGTCAACTCTATCTCTTTACCAAATTTCATTAAAATCAGTTCTGTGGTTTAGGCGTGAAAGCGTAACAGACAGACAGACAGAGTTACTTTCGCATTCATAATATTATTAGGGATAAGAAGAAGATTAAAAATTTACAAAGCTATGTAAATATGTTCATTCAACGAATTTATCGAGAATTAAAGTTTCCAAATTGTTGTTTGTGTATTCTAAAAAGAACTCAAACAATCTACTATGTAGGTACCAAAAAAAATAAGTTTCTTGATTTTCCAAACAAAACGTTATTTCCTTGCACGTTTTTTTCTCACTGTCAATATGAAAAGAAATTGTTCCAGTATTTTTGTTTACCAATTGTGATAATGTGTGGTATGCGATACCTTATTTAATCAAAGTGAGATTTTTTTTGGTATTCAATCACGGAATTTATCAATATTAAGATATATGAAGTATTAATAAATACTAATTATTATAATTACATATATACGTCATAATATTTTTGTTATTAATCTTTTTATAATTGTTTGTGCTTTTATAATGTATTTAATCTAGTCGGAATTTATTCTAATACTACCTGCTACCAGCGACTTCGTCTGCTTAAAAAAAATGAAAAATCTTTTAAGCGTCGCGTGTGTCCTAAATCCCACTCGAGCGTGATAATTACTTTATATCGGGATCGGGATGAAAAGTAGCCTAAGTTATTCCTTATTACATCAGCTACCTGAAAGTAAAAGTTTTTACGACCGGCCGCCTGCCTGACATCAACCCTCTTTGGGAATACATTAATCAGTGATGTCTAAATACTCTTATAAAGTACATATGACTCGGAAAAATCATATTGGTACTTGCCAGAATCGAATCCGCGCCCTCATGCATGAGAGGCGGACTTTTTAACCACTAGGACACCACTGACTTACCTGTAGTAAGTAAAATTGAAGGCGTTGCTATATCAGAGTTGATGTGCGTAATAGCATTTAATTGAATAAGATGCTGCTGTTTTTTTCTATATCGTACACTCGTTTGAAATTTAACAGTCATTGTACTTATTTCAAGATTTTTCCTCGACAAACAGATAGATTTGTTTGAGAGTCGTTTCAACGAAATCATTAACCAGATTTTGATAAAGTTTGACTATATGTTTATTGAATCGTCGTTTATCCCTACTAATATTATAAACGTGAAAGTAATTCTGTCTGTCTGTCTGTTACGCTTTCACGCCTAAACCACTGAACTGACTTTAATGAAATTTGGTACAGATAGAGTTGACCTTGAGAAAGAACATAGAATAGTTTTTATAACAGACTTTTGAAAGGTTCTCTTGGAAACGCGATATAACCGAACTCCACGTCGGCGAAGCTGCGGGCGGAAAGCTAGTTAATAAATAAGTCCATAAAATTTTAATACGAAAAATATCTAATCATCCGTAGAAGATGACTTAATCTGATTATCCTTAAACACGAAAAAATTTTACATCTTCAAGTACAGAGATAAATTTTAACTATTTATAGTCGGATCAATTATTATCGATACACAAGATATGAGGATTTAAAAAACATCCGTGGGGTTTGAGATAAACGCGTCATAGAAATAACAATGACAAGATAGAATTACAAGCATTCCATCGTAATATTTTTATGGAAAATAAATTAAATTTATTGAGAATATTATAAATAATTGGTGTACATTTTAGTGGTGTTGTCTCTATGTACTATTTCGTACCAAAAGAATACTTTTTTTTATCCAAAGATCTGATTGATGGTTTCTGAATGGAAGAAGAAATTACGTTCTTTTCAAAAAAAAATTTATTGTGATACAAACATTTAATTTTCGTATTATTTTGCTTTGTATCCTCGTATTTTTTTCATATTTGCTTTGTAGAATAGCTCCCAGAATGTGAGTCGCTGTTTGAAAGGACGGCTTTTGATAGCGAACTCTTTGTCGATATCCAGATAGATGTATTTATCAGCGGATATTGGTGTCCATTTTATTGGCAGCAGCTCAGTAACCTCGGGTGTAGGATCTCTGGAAAATTTAAGATTTAGTTTAAATTTATTGACATACTAGCTTTCCGCCCGCAGCTTCGCCCTCGTGGAGTTCAGTTATATCGTGTTTCCAAGAGAACCTTTCAAAAGTCTGGAATAAAAATTATCCTATGTTCTTTATCAAGGTCAACTCCATCTCTGTACCAAATTTCATTAAAATCAGTTCAGTGGTTTAGACGTGAAAGCGTAACAGACAGACAGACAGAGTTACTTTCGCATTTATAATATTATAGTAGGGATGACGTGTTTAAAAAACTTTACTTGCGAATATTTTGTTTATTTCTAATTTTAACTGCTTTATATACTAGATATACTCTTTAAATTTATTTGATGGCTATATAATGGTCTGTTTTTAATGATCGAGAGGAAATTAAACCCAAATATTTGATATTTTACATACATTAGAATTACTTACCCGTATTTAGCGAAATTGGTCCATAATTTTGTCATCCGATCTATGATTAACTGGTCATCATCTGACGGCTTTTCTTTTATTAACGTGTGATCGAACAGATAGCTCAATTCATCAGCATGAGACGCTCCATAGTTTGTTATATTATTCGTCTTCTTAATCAAGTTTCTATCACCATCGTAAGAGAAAAGATATTGGTACACACGTAGAGCACCACGCTCGACGTAAATCTTCAAACTTTCCTGCACTGGATATCCATAATAGTAATCACCTTCGAAATCTATGATATTGTTCCTAACATCTTCATTAAGATCTTCATCACCAATGTAGAAATTGCGAACTATATCACACATTTCATCAAATTCTTCATCTTCGTGGAATGCTAACTTCAAATTATCCTCAAAGTAGTAAGGTTCCATGTAATGGACGTCTTCCTTATTCTTGTTCATGCCTAAACCTTCCCTCGTATTAAAACCAGCGAGGATCGGTGTGTTTTTCAACTTGGGCATATCAATATTCAAAAAATGTTCAGTTATTATTGGTTCGACACCATTAATATCTCTTTCAACGCAACCTCGCAGCTTTATGCCAAGATCGATAGCAGTTTTCACGATCGTATGTGGATCGATCTGTTTAATGAAATTCATGGCTTTTGTCACGTCTTGCGTTTCTAAACCGAGTTTTCCCGCGACTTTCAATGCTGGTGTTATGTCTACTTCCATTAGACCACCAGGTTTAAGATTTGAACCGCTCTGTAGTATAGCTTTATCGAAGAACTTCTCCTGTTGAGACATGAGATGGAATTCTACAGCCGCGCTACCAGCACTTTCTCCCATCAGTGTTATTTTGTTCTCATCACCGCCGAAGGCTTCTATATTTTGTTTTATCCACCGCATCGCCAAAACCTGGTCTTTCAAGCCCTGGTTGCCAGGAACCTCACGCGTTCCGAGGCATAGGAAACCGTAAAGGTTTAATCTATAGTTTATCGTGATAATTATGACGTCGTGCTTCAATAGAAACTTTGGTCCGTAGTTACTTCGTGAACCTGAACCGTATAGAAAATATCCGCCGTGTATGTAAACTATGACCGGTAGTTTATTTTTCGTTGATGCAACTTCAGGTACGAAGATATTCATTCGAAGACAGTCGAGGGTTCCTTTAGCTTGCTTGGTATTGTCGTCGACTTGTGGACAAATCGCGCTGTCGTTGTTTGCCTCAAAGATGCCATCGAATATTAAGTCTGATGCAGCCGGCTGAAAGAAATGAGACTTTTTAATTATATGTTAAATATATATGTATAGATAAATAAAATTTAAAATCATGTAGAGAGAGCATTCATCTTCCAGAGAAAAATCAGCAATTATTTTACCCACGAATTCTAGAATCTAACTTCATTTTAAGTCTCAATAAAGTAGCACCGCTGAACTCTCTAAAAGTTTTCAGAACTATGAACCTTTATAATCTTAATATAATCCGTGTCTTTTATTTATTCCCATTTATTGAATTTACTCTCAAAAATATTAAAAATAAAGAATATATCTTATCCCAGGAAGGGTCAAATATAAAAGAAATACGACAATTATACTCAAACAAACATGTACTCAATAAAATTTGCCTCTATACATATATGTATATATTTATATAAGTCAGTAGTGTCCTAATGGTTAGAAGGCCCGCCTCTCATGCTTGAGGGCGCGGGTTCGATCCTGGCAAGTACCAATGTGATTTTTCCGAGTCATATATACCTACTTTATAAGAGTATTTAGACACCACTGATTAATGCATACCCAAAGAGGGTTGATGTCGTAAAAACAATTAGCCAAAACTATTCACAACATGTAAGGCAGACCCTGGCTAAAGCTGGGAAATTGCCAGGTAGAAGAAGAATATACATATTTATATATCTCACCCCGAAAGGATCAGTTTCATTGATTCTAGCGTACGGTACTCCCAAAAACATGGAGTAATTTCCATCATCAGCTTTCAAACCTCGTATCAAACCCGACTTCGTCTGCACTAAAGGGTCCACTCTCAACTCAGACCACACGTGAACCACGCAGGCCACTATCAAATAAATTCTGGACCACATTTCACTAAATTACCAACTATTCTGTGCAATAAAAAATATTTTCTCGCATTATATATATAAAACAATACGGGTACTTTATTCTTGGAAGTTTATCTGGCGAGTTATCTCCAAATTCTTGACGTGTTCATCTATACTAATATTATAAAGCTGAAGAGTTTGTTTGTTTGTTTGAAAGCGCTAATCTCCGAAACTACTAGTACTATGTATATATATAGTAAAAAGTATATGTATGTATGTGTCAAAAATCTAGTAAAATTTAATCATTGAAATGATGATTGGAATATAAATTCTATACGTCATTTATCGTTTGATGTATATTTTTTATATTTATGAAATCAGTGAAAATATAATATGCTTTACACGAAATATAATTTGAAGTATTTTTTAACATGGTTGTGCTCGATTTTGATGCAACTTTAATTTACTTCATTCAAATTTCATACAGAAATTACGATGATAAAATCTAAGCTTAATATGTATTATGTTTTAGGTAATATAATAAAATTAAAATTATAATAGTTATATGTTAGGATACGTCAACAAAATATATATAAAAAAGACGATTATAATTCTTGCATAGTATATCATTTAAAAATATGAAATATATAGTTTGTATGTCCGTCAATGTATCACTTAAATAGTAAAACTTAATTTTAGCATATACAACATATATATATGTTATAATAATAAATATATTTAAGTAATAAAAATGTTTTTCGGCATTATCTTGAGTGAATTATGCGGATGCAATGCTTTAGGTTCTGATAAAAGCCAGGGTTGTAATACCCGCAGAATGAATCGAGAATTGTTTTAAAGAGACAGATTACTGTAGAAAAATTACTATACTGAAACAAGAAACGAAACCTCTCATCATTCCATGTATTCACGGTGCGTGTGTCGGGTCCATCGTTGTAGTGAGAGGAGCTTCAACAGTGACTGGGACTTGTGACCCAGGTGTAGGTTTAAGGGACATATCTAGATTATTATTAGTGTGAAAATGTACTGGTTTAATAGAAATAAATCAATTTATATTATTTTTATGTGATTCCTGAGAGATATTTATTAATAACTAGTTTTCGCCCGCGACTTTGTCTGCGTTAGTTTCAGAATTAGTAATGTATAGACCGGGCGAACTCTATAGCTCTAGTCAGTGGTGGCTCAGTGGTTAAAGGGCCCGCCTCTCGTTGCCGAGGGCGCGGGTTCGATCCTGGCCCGGACAAGTACCAATGTGATTTTTCCGAATCATATGTACTTTCTAAGAATATTTAGACATCACTGATTAATGATGATTCCCAAAAAGAGGGTTGAGTCAGGCAGGCGGCCGGTCGTAAAAGCTGGGAACAATTGCCAGGTAGAAGAAGAAGAAGACCGGGCGAACTCTGTTCCTTAAAGACAGTAGATAAGATTTTGTATTTGATCAACTTATTTTATTTTTCAATCGTATGTAAAGTATCCTATGTCCTCTCTATGTTCTAATCTATCTCTCCACCAATCTTCATCCAAACCCGTACAGCCGTTAGAGTTATAAATAGTTAACTAACACGACTTTCTTTTATATATTAAGATTTGGATTCTCATCTTATGCTTGTGACAAAAATGATTTTAAACAAGTTCTTCAAAACGATATATAAGACTTTCGCGTGTATTCATATAAATGAAACTAATATTTTAGTATACTACGCGTTGTTTATTATTTAAAAACTCTCTAAGTTTCGAGATTTAAAATTTTATTTCGTCTTAATGATCACGGTTGTAAAGTAACCGAAACGTCGGGAGTATGTGGTTAATATAAATAAAATATTAGTTTAAAAAAACACGCTTGTAACTAATATTAATTTTATATTTTTAGTACGATTTATCAATTAGTTTTTTGTGGACATGCGCAGCACACTAGCTCTGTCCCTTTCACTCTCATAGAGGATCTATGAAAAGAATATGTATATTAATCCTGGCGGCCCCAACAAGGATAATGGGAAATTGTTAACGAATTATTGTATTGTCATTGGTCCTTGAGATATATGCAAAGTTTCAAGTTAATCAGATGTTTAGAAACCGGTGAAAATCGTGCTCAAAGATTCCGTTACATACATACATACAGCCCAAGATAATATAAGCGTGTTAAAAATGAGTAGTATTACAAAATCTCAACTTAAATTCAATAAAGAAACTCAAAGGAAATTAATTTTATTTCAACACTAGCTTTCCGCCCGCAGCTTCGTCCGCGTTGAGTTCGGTTATATCGCGTTTCCAAGAGAACCTTTCAAAAGTCTGTGATAAAAACTATCCTATGTTCTTTCTCAAGGTCAACTCTATCTCTGTACCAAATTTCATTAAAATCAGTTCAGTGGTTTAGGCGTGAAAGCGTAACAGACAGACAGAGAGAGTTACTTTCGCATTTATAATATTAGTAGGGATATGTTTATGATATATTATATTTATTATTGATATTTAACTCGACCTTTGTTAAGGACGATATCATTGTGTAATATTTATTAGAAAATGTTGTTTCCGACATTGATCTTGATTAAGAGCCTTGTCTCAAAACTAATCAATATTAATGAAATTCAAATACATATTAAATTTAAAGGTCATTTAGATATATTGATTTTGTATTTGTTTGACAAAAATGTATCTCATTTATAGATATTTTTTTATGAGAGTCTAATGAGCAGACGGCCTACCTGATGGAGGTAATACAATAACCCATTAACATACGTAATATAAAAGATGTTGTAGATGTATCGCCACTCTTGTTTAGGGAAGAGGGGAACCAAAAAGTGGGAAAGGGAGGGAAAATATGGGAAAAGAGCAACCGTCTCTCTCACTCATCATACAAAACGCATCCATTAAAGTCTACTTCACGCCGATCTTCAGTGAGAGGGTGGCACTTACGGTCGAGACAGAACATGTTTGAGCTGTAGTAACTTGACCACAGCTAGGCTCTAATCTACATTTTATTTGACTTCAATGAGAATTACATCAAAATTGATACAACTGAAATGCAGTCGTATTTGTAATATTTACCAATAAAATCTATAAAACGATTATTAAAAGTTCTTTGTAACTGTATATAAAACACGCCTGTAAGTCAAAATGTGTGTTTAATTAAAAAATAATATTTAATTTACCTAACTCATTTAACTCAAAATATATCCTAAGCAAATCTTAAATATCCTAATTATTGCAAGTTATTTTTATTAAAGATTATATTATTTAGTGTTTAACTTATGAATAACTAGCTGACCCGGCAGACTTCGTACTGCCTCAATCAAGAAATTAATTATTTCTTAATTAATTTTTCGGAGTTTACCTTTAAGCCATAAATCTCCGTGTTCTAAAGTGCGACAGAATGATTGACATATTAGTTGTCAAATCTAATGTCAAAAAACCCGTTTGTATGGGAGATAGAAAAGCGCTGTTTTTAGGGTTTTCCCGGAAATATATATTTTTTTTTCAGCTTCCCTGAACCTCCACGAACATTTCAAGACTAAGATAAGATAAATCCGTTCAGCTGTTCTCGAGTTTTAGCGAGACTAAGGAACAGCAATCCAATTTTATATATATAGATTGTGAAAAAAATACCTTTAAAGTCGTTAATATATAAAATATTTGATCTCAAACTTTCTTCTGATAATCTGTTTCTAATATAGATACGTGGAATTATACAATGATAGTTACGAGGATTTGTACTATACCCGACTATACATATATATGTATATGTAGTTATGTTATGCGAAATATATAAGTAAATGCACATTTGTGATATTTGTATTAATTAAAATAAATTTTAATTTTTCGAATTACTACGCCGTTTTTTATTTGTAGCTGCAAAAAACTGAAACGTCGTATGTAGTTAATATAATAACCGCGTAGTATACGAAAGTATTTGTTTAATTTAAATGAATACTTAAAGTCTTAGATCTTATTTGTATTATTATTATTTTCAAATCCATACATTTATTTTTGTATGAAAAACAACAAACATTGATACATAATCACAAACTTTCTTATAAATAATATTACTAGGATTTACGTGCATAATTAATTTCTATTACCCAAGTAATAAGTGTTAAACATTTAATTTTTTTTACTGATACAAGGGCTTAAATTATAAATATTTTCATTACAGTGATGTCCAAATTCGCTGTACGTGTTGATGCGGCAGTGTCTGCTCTGGGCGGAGGAGCGGGAACAGGTTTAGATGAAAACGACTTCATAGATGCATCTCGTCTGGTATATGATGCTGTGAGGGAGATACGACGGGCTGTGCTCATGAACAGGGTGAGTTATAGGAGAGATAGAGTCATATATAAGGAGATAGAGATAGATAGAGCACAAGTAGAGATAGGAGAGTAGAAGATTGGACACGAACAGGGTGACAGATAGATAGTATAAGACATAAGAAAGGATACAAGTTTTATATTGGCTTCAAGGCCAGGGTAGAGACTTTACTTCACTTTTTACTTCTACAGCGAAGTATTTCTTCTAATAATAATCATCAAAACGGAACGCATTCAAATCTCTACATTAAATATTTGAGATAATCAAAATCAATGTAAATCCGTTAGTTTAGTAAAAGTTGGTTCTTTAATATTGTATGTGAGCAATTTTTATATATAATTATATGTATCTTGGAAAAGCTCTAACGATTTTGATGAAATTTAGTATATAGAGGGTTTTAGGGATAAATCGATCTAGCTAGGGATCATTTTTAGAAAATGTTATTTTATTTAAAAATGACGACATCTATTGGCGCATAGTAATACTACTTTGTACTAAATGCTTTAACTTCACAACAGCAGATGGCGTTGTTAAGTACGAGGAAGTCAATGAGTGTTTGTTTTGAAGTTAGACTAAGAAATTATTTGTTGATTTATATTGTTTTGTGTCTTCTTAACGTGCTCATTTAAAAATGCCTAAACGAAAAAAACACAAAAAAAACTAATAATTGCTAAATACCGAGCAAAGCTTGGTAACCAGATATTAAGTTAAAATGCTATAAAATTGATTGATTATTTTTGGACCTGGCAGTACTTTTCAGTGTAAGTTGTATAGCGAGATGAGAATTCGTGAAAAGTAATATGGTTATATCGTGATAAAGCAGTTAATGCAGGAGTTCCATTGGAAATATTATGTAGACGAAACAATAGATATGTTTCTGTTCTTCAATTATGATAGTAACACTATGCCTACTAATATTATAAATACGAAAGTAACTCTGTCGGCCTGTTACACTTTCACGCCTAAACCACTGAACTGATTTTAATGAAATTTGGTACAGACATAGAGTTGACCTTGAGAAAGAACATAGGATAGTTTTTATCACAGACTTTTGAAAGGTTCTCTTGTTAACGCGATATAACCGAACTCCACGCGGGCGAAGCTGCGGGCGGAAAGCTAGTACTTTTATAAATATTGCCAAGTACATTTGTCTTTATTAGACCTCTTAGGCCACTTTAGAACAAAGATCCAAATACACACCTAAATAGGCAAAAAAAATCTATGATTTCTAATTGGGTATGATTCGATGTAAATTGATGTTGCCAAGTTTAAATGATGATGTACAGGATGAAGAGGATCTAGATCCTGAGGATGTGGAGCTAGATGAACATTACACTTTGGAGACGAGAAGCAAATGTGAGATAGATAGATAGATAGCTCGTGATGAGCATGTGTCCTGGCATGGTTTAGGTCTAGTTTGGTGCGATCTGGAATATTTTTGGGCAGTTTTTTCTAGATATTTCTAAATTGTAGTAGTTTTTAGTCTCTCTAGAGAATTCTGAGTACTTATTTTAAGGAGACTAATGTTTTCGGATTACTACGCGTTATTTTTTTAGATGGCTACTCGTCTGTCAATCAGGTTAGCTGAAACGTCGGGAGTAGGTAGTTGAAATAATAAAAAACGTGTAGTTTACGAAAATATTCGTTTTATTATACTGTTTTTTGTTTGAAGTTTAATGCAAAAAATATTAAGACCGTACCAAACTTTCCATCGTCTCATTAGGTTGGTCTCATTGTGGAGTTTGGATCATTGTCTGTTTTCTGTCCATTTATTAATGATATATCTAAAACATTACGATTAATACATTAACATTGAAAATAATATAATGGCTAGAAAAAAAAATCGAAGACATAGGATAATAGCATTTTTTTGTTCAATAATTTGGTCCTAATGTTTTGGGTAATTTGTGTGTTTTTAATTATAGCTGTATGTCATGTATTGTGTTCTAATGTTGGTTTCATTCATTATTGCGATCTGGTTGGATGGAATATTAGGTATTTATGAAACGATGAGTCTCATAGGAATTCTTGATGAGATTCATAGAAAATGGGTCTATAAATTCGTAATTTTGTACAATTATAGATTTAGTCATGTTTCTGTGGAAGTCTAGAGTTAGTATTCTTCTACCTGGCAATTTCCCAGCTATAGCCAGGGTCTGCCTAAGTTACTATTTTATCCAATCATATCATTATCATAGCATGCTTTATGTGTATGTGCGTCTGCATGTAGACAAGCGACGATTTGGACACTGACACGGAGTTTGAACCTGTCGAAGATATGACGATGGAAACCAGGAGTAGATGTGAGTACCATTAACAAAGACTGTCTGTCGGTCTGTTCCTCCATAATACATAACGACCCTACGATCTAAACTCTCAAATATTTTTTGTACGACTTGGTCCAAGAAAGTTGGACTTGGAAGAAGTTGGTATTCTTCCTGGCAATTTCCCAGCTTTAGCCAAGTTCTGCCTACCATATCAACTATACCTCTTGGTCCATACCAACAAAATTTCCTTATACAGGGTGACTGGTGAATTACTATCAATATTTAAGGAGCATACTCGGTACATGATTCTCATTCGAATTATGTAAAAAAAATAGGCACTTAATTTTTGACCAAATTTCCGTATAAATAAATAAAGTGTGTACACGTTCCAAGTGTTCCAAGTGTGGACGCGCGCGGCGGCGTGCTGATACAACCCAACGCCGCCGCACTCGTATGTGTGAGTGTGTGTGTATACCTAATCTGTAGGGTGTTGACACGATGCGTAATTAATTACATAACTTTTGGTTAACTTTACTTAGAAGTTTATTAATATTTATGTTATATTAATTTTTATTTTGTCATATATGATCGTCAAATATCACGTCCTCAAGTATCGATAGTAATTCACCAGTCACCCTGTATAAGTTATATTCCCTAACTTTATAGTCCTAATTATTTGAGATGGAGTAACTGCTTATATTTAATGACATTGAACGGCAGAAAAAATATGTTGATTTTAATCCCAATGTATATTTTAGTTTGTTTCTTCTTTAACCCAAAATCATAATTATATATTCTTCCTACTTCATACTAGCTATTCCGCCATATCACTCACTTTCTAGATATCTCGTCTAAAAAATATTAATTATAATCAGTACAATTAAATCCCAATCCATCTTCTAAATAATATTATTTTCAAATCTAGTTTATTTTTTTAATTTGAGCCATCCCATAATATCCCTCCATCTATTTGATAGTCTAGCAACTAATAGATGCAGAAAACCAACATCGTCCACAAAATAAATACGAACAAGTGAGTTTTAGATACGTTTTAGACGTTAGTTTAGTTTAATTCATTTCCTCATTATTTTCATGTGTAGATGTATTTTGTCATGTTGTTGTTGTTTGTGGTATATGATAATTCTTTCTTGAATTCTGTTTCTTTTATACCATATGTTGTTTTTACAGCAAGTGCCCACACGGGAGAGCACGGAGTTGATGAATATCCAGATATAAGTGGAATAACAAACGCTAGAGTAAGTTACAATAAGGATTTAATATTATAAATTTATCTTAATTCAATGGACAATTTTTGTATGTTTCTTAAATACATAATAATTATATAATGATAATATTAATTTGGTAAAAATTCTGATATCAATCAGATACAAAAACGTTTTCAATTATCCCTAACTTATTTCATCTTATTATACATCCAGAAAATAAGTTAACGTAATTTCAAACATTAAATGACTTTTCTCTAATATCATCCAAAAACCCCCAAAAAAGTAATTTTATTTATAAAAATATATATATATGATTTTTGATCATAATAGGAAGCGATGCGTAAAATGACTGAAGAAGATAAAAGGAAGATTCTCCAACAAGTCGAGTTGTTCAGACGAGAAAAGATGACATTCGACAATGAAGTGGCTAAATGGGATGACGCTGGGAATGATATTATAATGTTGGCGAAACACATGTGTATGATCATGCTTGAAATGACAGACTTCACCAGGTGAGGGCAGATAGAGAAATTATCACTAGTAGTAATATCATAGAAGTGTAGAATAGAACTTGCTAAGGTATAGTCCGTTAGACTTAAGCTGAGCTTTGCATTTGTGTGAGTGAAAGTAAAAGTAGAGTTAGACAAATAAGTTTTAAAATTAAATTTTAATATATTTTAAATAGATACATAAGTGTTAGAGCTAAAACAAAACTGGTAAAAGCCTAGATGGAAATATTATGGATATTCTAGATTTTTTTTTATTAAATAATAAAAATTTAAAAAAAAATTCTTCTTCACTTGACATTGCGTTTTCAATATTTGACGTTGCTACCAGTACAAAAGGTGAAGTGATTAAGGTGCGGGGCGAAGTAAAAAGTAAAAACAAAATGAACCGGTTCAAAACTAGAAAAGAATGTTTCATTCAAAATATTGACATCACACCTACACTATCCGTGTACACTCACACAAATACAAAGCTCAGCTTAAATCGAACGCTCTGTACTAGTTGTAATATCATTGAAGTGTAGAATAGAATAGAAATTCAGAATGAAAGGTACTTGCTATGGTAAAAGAACTTATGATTGGTAATTATTCGTCTATTACAATAATAATCAGATAATGGAAGATGAGATGTTTGTAGTTATTTCTTGTTGTAATATCGTAGAAGTGTAGAATAGTAGGTACTTGCTATGGTAAAAGAATTTATGGTCTATGTAAATTTTATTCAGATAAATGAAGATTCAAAATAATTTGTTTATTGCATTAAATTAGGCAAAAATATTATTATGTTCATACAAAGAATGGCCTATGTATGTAAAAATTGTATTTTCAAGAGCATTAAAGTTCATACTTAGTGATTTATAATAATATTTTATGGTATATCATAAATATGGTCAAATTAAACGTAAACAGAGGCCGCGGTCCGTTGAAGACTACAATGGATGTTATAAACGCGGCGAAGAAGATATCAGAAGCTGGAACGAAACTGGACAAACTCACGAGAGAGATAGCTGAACAGGTAGGAGTTATATATGTACTAGAAGACCCGGCGAACTTCGTATCGCCCTGTAGTCAAGAAATATCTGTTACGTTTTTATATTTATATTTTTGGAGTTTACCTATTAAAGCCATAAATCTCCGTGTTTTGAAGTGCGACAGAATGATTGACATATTAGTTAGTTGTCAAATGTAATGTCAAAAAAAAAACGTTTGTATCAGCAACTACTAATAAATTAAAAATTAATTAAAAAAAAATTGTCCAGCGGACAAAATTGTGAATCTAAACCATTCCCAGATCCCCTTGAACACACACAAAACATTTCATCAAAATCGGCAAAAAGAAGTCTATTTATTTATTTTCAAACTAATTATAGATTATATAAAAGTAAATTAAAATAATTTGTCAGAAGTATTAGTTCTTTGCTGTTTTAGCTATGTTTGAGTTAGAGATACTATATATAAAATATTTCGAGGACATTAAGATTGGAATGTATAAAACGGATATTTATTAGAAAAAATTACTTTTATATATATTTGAGTGTAACTTTCTTTATACATTCGTGTTCTAGTGTCCGGAATCGTCAACCAAACAGGATCTGCTTGCGTATCTTCAGCGTATAGCGCTGTACTGTCACCAGATACAGATAACCAGCAAAGTGAAGGCTGACGTGCAGAATATATCTGGAGAACTGATCGTTAGTGGGGTGAGTTGTGACAGACATACACACACATAACACATCATCATCATCCTACCAGAGCCCACTGCTGAGAATCTTCTCACATGGAGAAGGTTTGAGCATTAATCACTTACGCTCAAGACGGGTTGGTGATTTCAAACTTATAATTGGAATTATGAGGCAAGGTTTCCTCACGATGTTTTCCTTCATCTGTCAGTTGTGTCTAAATACTCTTAAGTACATATGACTCGGGAATATTACATTGGTACTTGACGGGATTTAAACCCAAGCCCTCATGCATAAGAGGTGGGCCTTTAACCACTAGGCCACATTTCACAAACACTACTGACTACATAAAACTTTAATATGCACAAGTTTGCCTTGGAGTTATAATTTTGGTATCAAGAAAATCGTGAATACTGAAATTGTGTGTTCACAACCTACAACCTTTTTCCACCCTCCACAATTACAATGACATTCAAAAACTACCAATCACCAGACGAAATTAAAGATAAAAACACAATTTAAACCAAAATTTTCCATCACACACAATTTCTGCACATTTGGTCTCAAAACGTATGGTTGGAAATATCTCAAGTGTACATAAGCCCTTATCCTTGTAACGGTCATAAGGAGTGTACAGTGGAAATACAAAATTGATGTTGGTTAAGTATATATATAATAGAAGTAAAAACATGCATATATAAATATATATTTGTCAAAACTTTCATTTTCAAAGCGTCTATTGACAATCATAAAATTTGCCTGAATAAAAAATACGACATAATACGTAATATTTGGTTAATTTTTTTTTTATATATATATTATTTTTCGTTTCAGTTGGACAGCGCCACGTCACTCATACAAGCTGCTAAAAACCTCATGAATGCTGTCGTCCTAACAGTCAAAGCGTCATACGTGGCATCAACTAAATACACGCGACAAGGAACTATCGCTGTGAGTACTGAAAACATCATCCCTACTAATATTATAAATGCGAAAGCAACTCTGTCTGTCTGTCTGTTACGCTTTCACGCCTAAACCACTGAACTGATTTTAATGAAATTTGGTACGACACGGAGTTGACCTTGAAAAAGAACATAGGATAGTTTTTATCACATACTTTTGAAAGGTTCTCTTGGAAACGCGATATAACCGAACTCCATGAGGGAGAAGCTGCGGGCGGAAATGGGCGTATTGAAATCCTATTTTATATGATAGATATGTAAAAATACCATCAAAATCGGTCCAGCTATTTTTAGAACTTTTTCATACATTTTATGTAGGTATTTGAACTTGTTTTGGGGTTTTCATGTTGGATGTGAATGTAGGTAATATTTATTTTATGGACATGTATTGATTTTTTTATAGTTTTTCATATATTATTTATTTTTAATTGATTATAAATATAAATTAAGGAATTTTCTTCAAATATGTTGAATAAAACAAGCAAAATATCTTGACAACATCATTGTCCAGTATTGTCTGATAATTAATAACTTAAATATCAAAAAAAAATTACTTATTTCGTAAAACTAAAGTTAATTATTATTTTTTGTTCAGGCCTCTTATTCTGAAATTTTACTAATCTCAACTTTGATTATAATATTTGTAAAAAACATTATGTAAGGTTTGAGTTCTGACCCACAAGTCTTTTCAAAACTGGTGTAGTGGGTTATATATTGTAGGTCCTTATAGTACTTTCAGTTTTTTAACCACAAATTAATATACCGATACCTTATATGCATTAATAAATATTCCAATCTGGCATTGAATGGGAATCAACTTAACATATAAGCTAGGACTTAAAACAAATATAGATACATATATAGCTAATTACTATATATTTCAGCCAGTAATTAGTCATTAATATCAATATAATCAAAATGGAATGTTTGCTTGCCAGAGTATAATAAAGGCTTATAGAGAAAATCTTCGCAACGATACAAAAAACACTTATATGGCCCATACATGTAATTTCTGTTGTAACTTCAAAGTTTTATTTTCTATCGTCATGAAGTTTTTCTCAATTCATTAATACGACCAGATGCGCTAATATACAAAAATTAGTTAAGCTTGTACCAATATAACGCTATTAATAAAAGCTTTTCTCGCTGGCCGAAGAACAATTACGTAAGTTTTAGGACATTCTGTCTTATTTATTAATGTTTTCATGTTAAAATTGATATTTCTGTCGTAATATCGTCTCAGCTAATTTATAAGCTGCTTGCTAGTTTAGTTAAGTAACTTTATTTTATGCATTTTTATAGTTTTATTGTCTCTAAATATTAAATTCTAGATGGCCTGTACTTTCTCTAATTTCTATATTATTTTAAGCTACTTTTCTCTTGATAGCACTATTTGCTTAATTCTATACTTTCTCCTCTCTAGTGCATGCCTAGATCAATATATTTCAGCGTCGTCATATTAGCACGAATATTTTTTACATCTATGTGTTAGATATCAATTATTAAAGATATCAAAATTAACGAGATTTTTTATCAGTCACCCATAGTTGTGTGGAGAATGAAGGCTCCGGAGAAGAAGCCGCTAATAAGACCGGAGAAACCGGAAGAAGTGCGTGCGAAAGTGAGGAGGGGAAGTCAGAAAAAACAACCAAGTCCAATACACGCGCTCGCTGAGTTTCAGAGCCCTGCTGAGAGTGTGTGGTGAGTATATAGACAGACACACACATATATATATATATATATACATATATATAGAGAGAGGAATATACACAGAGAAAGAGAAAGAAATAGACACATAGACTGACACACTCATACACGACACACACACACACATATGAAGGGTAAAAATAGTATTAACCTTTTATATTTTAAACAATCTTTTTAAGGCTTTTATCGTAATAAGACTGAAAATCTAATTAATAAACATGCTTATTTGTGTAACAAAACAAATGGTTGGTTTTAAAATTGAGCTACAAGTAAAGTTGTGGGCAAAAACTAGTTTGTTATGTATATTTTGCATATAGTGGTGAAGAGGAAAAACCTCTCATCATTCCATGTATTCACGGTGCGTGTGTCGGGTCCATCGTTGTAGTGAGAGGAGCTTCAACAGTGACTGTGACTAGTGACCCAGGTGTGGGTTTAAGGGACCCTATCTAACGTGTTAAACGATCACCTCCACTGTTCAAGCTCCTCTCTGAAAAATTTGCAAAGAACAAATGTTGAAAGAATTGCTCAGAAATAATAAAGAAATTGTAAAAAGGGTATGCATATAAATGAGTCTCTAGTGTAACTTACTCTATCAGGAAAAGAATTTGTTAAATTTGACCAAAAAATATAGAACACAAACTACCGCTATTATTGAATTTGGTAAAATAAAATTTTCTGACTCCTATACAAAGATACAACATTAAAAATATGTTTTTTCTTGTTTCAGATTTCAAGAAAACGAAGAAAAATTGTCTTTTATTTATTAAAAAAACGAATATTACAATTATTATGATTTCTATATAAAATATTGTTTACAAAACAATTCGATTTTGTTTTAGAATTAGAAAACTATATATCTTGCCGCTGTAATGAAAAAAGACATGGAAAATACTCAACGAAGAAATTTGTGCTCACACAATAAGGAACAGCCAAATTGTTTAAGAATTAATTTAATATAAGCTTTTTATATACATTAGAAAAATAATTAAAAATATAAACATACTCTTTAAGATTTTTTCCAATAAATAAACATTACTTATCTAACACAAAAAAATAATAAAAAAATGTAATAAGTAAGTTTTGAAGTCAATTTAATGAAATTTTTTTAATAATTTATTCAATTTGATAGACTGTGGTTTGTATTCAAATATCAGAAATAAATTTTAGATAAAAAAATAATTATTACAAGTATTATAGATGTAAGTTTAGTTTCTTTTGTGGACAAAATATTTAAAATAATTACTTGTACTACCTGGCAATTCCCCAGCTTTAGCCAGTGTCTGCCTTACATGTTTATAGTTTTGGCTAATTGTTATTACAACCGGCCGCCGTAGACATCAACCCTCTTTGGGAAAGAATTATTTTTGATCCGTATAGTTCAATATATTTATATTTTGTTCACAAAAAAAACTTTGAAATATTTAATCGTAGTAATAATTAGTATTATGTATCAATTCACATTTATAACTCATTCACTCATTTCTTAATGATTTTAGATTTTTTAATGATAATATATGTAAACAAGAATTTGTATACTTTAGACAGATTTAATATTTTCTTTAATTTCAATTCCATATATGAAAAACTTTTTATTTAAAACTCGGAATAGTCTGAACTGCACTTAGCAATTGTTTTAATATAATATATGATGTTCGGTCAACTTTAGATATATATATATGTACTTTTGTGTCACTCTTACACAGTAATGTGTATGATTTATTTAACAATGTATATTCAGTTTATTTCCTTCATCCATGTATCACTATATTCATCAACATGAACTCGTCGTAGGTCTCTTTAAGGTTTTTGTAGAGATTTTAAAACTTTTCTATGTAATTGATGAACAATAAACGTATTAATGTATTCTATGATTCTTTCATTTAAAATTTAATATCTGGTTACCGAGCTTTGGTCTGTATTTAGCAATTATTAGTATTTCTTTGTTTTTTTTTTTCAAATTTCGTTTAGGCATTTTTAAGTGAGCACGTTAAGAAGACACAAAACAATATAAATCAACAAATAATTTCTTAGTCTAACTTCAAAATAAACAATAACTTCATGGAACTTAACAACGCCATCTGCTGTTGTGTCATTAAAGCAATTAATAAAAGCAATTAGCAACAACTAGTATTACTATTCGTCAGGAAGAGTCACATTTTAACCGACTCCTTTTTTTGTCCTTTTTTTTAAATAAAATGACATAATTTCTAAATATGATTCCTAGCTAGATAAATATTGATGTACAAGGATAAGAAAAACATCGTGAGGAAACCTGACTTATAATTTCACAATTTGTAATCACCAACCCGTCTTAAGCAAGCGTGGTGATTAATGCTCAAAACTTTACCTTTGAGAAGAGGCCTTTGCTCAGCAATGGGCTCTGATAGGCTGATGAAGACGTACAAAGATACCTAATTCTGGACCAAACCCAGGTTTTTTCTGGTTACTTTACTGACTTAAACATCACAAACTCCATTTATCCAAACCATTGCTAGATATCCTTGGCTAACAAGTTTCCAGTTTGTAAAGAAAAGCTGGAACCGTTTTATATGAACATAACTATACAACTGTTTCAAATTAAATGTCCGACGTTGTAAATTGTAGCTTTTAGGAATTTGAAAGAATATTCATAGAAATCCGAGTGTAAGGTCAGCTCTTTCATATATTTATTTTTAAATCTATCCAACTTTGTATTAGATCGTGTCGGTTGATAAAGATGGTGTCGGTATTATTATTTTTTATTTTTTACAATTATGTTAGTCTCATAAACCAATATAGGTTTTTCCGTACACTGGAATTCATCGTCGTTAACTCACAATTACATTGACATCTCAATACATTTATATTTTGTAATTAATGTAGTAAACAATAAAAGAAATCAAGCCAATAATATAATGATAGGAGTATGATAAAATAAGAGTAATAAAATTAACTAAAGATATAAAAATAATATAAAGTGCATAATCTAACAAAGAAGTAACAAATGCAAGGTAAATGTAACTTGATTATTATTTTTCAATATACATAATTGCACGTTTGTCGTACGTCATCACTTTTAAGCCAGTGCAGATGCCTCTAAAAATGATGAAAAGTGAAAATAAATTATAGTAGAATGAAACTCATTAGCAAAGGAGGGGAATATTATAAAAATTAAAGGAAAAATAATTTACGGGCGACCTGAGGTCGGGAAGGGTACGGGCGTGGGTATTTAAGGGTAAAAAATGGGTTTTATCGATTTCCGGAAAAACTAAGAGTCCTAATGAAAAATGTTATATGGTAAAGTTGTAGGTAATAAAAAGATCTAAAACTTTTGTATTTACACTTTTTTCACAAAACCTGAAAATTTATGTGATAAATTCGAAAACCCAGTTTTTGGTTTTTTATTTTTATCTCTTACAAAAAACAGCGTTAGTATTTAAATCTTTATTTTATTTATTTAAAACTTTTAGAGTTGACTTCATTAAAAAATATGGGAAATCCTTTAAATATTCCAAAGATGTAGTTCGGTACCTATAAATTAACCGAGATATCGATCTATTTTTTTTAATAGTTGGTATTTATTATTTATTTATATGTTAGCTAGCAATTTTTACACAATTGTATATTTAAATAACGTTACATATAAAATTAAAAACATGCATAAACTGTGTAAAATCAGTTAAAAGCAAACACTGTATGCAAACATAATTCTTTCTTTTAAGTATTTTTGATAAATATAAATCTAAAAAATAATGAATAGCAATGATAATACTTTATCTGTTCCAGCTCCATTTTTTGGATATAGGCAGACAGTCAATATATCAAATAATATTTTTGAAAACGGAGGAATATTTTGTAGAACTCACGATAAAAAATTCTTCGTTAAGCGTTTTCATAAATCTTCCCTTCAAGATTGTACGAAATCAGCGCGAATACCACAATTAGTTCAAGGAACATCTTAGGTTTACTTGGAGTATTCCAAATCTCATGTTTATTATTATTATTACTTTCATATAATTATTATTTTAATAATAATTGCGTATTTTATTTTGTTCTATTACCACTAGAACAGTCTACGATTTCTAGTTAAGCTTTTTGACGTTCTCTACGAGATATTAAAGCATTTTGCAAAAGCTGCAATACCAGTTCTAGACAAAGTTTATGCTCGTCGTTCAACATCCTAACTCCCTACAATTGCTTTAATTTAAACAGTTCCTTAAATTCGTTGGAAGGACCTGTCATCACGACTGACGAAGATCTTACATTCACTCTGTTGTTATGTAAACGGGAGTGAAAGCAGACAATAATTGTAAGAATTAATGTCCACGATATTGGAGTCAGTGGTGGCCTAGTGGTTAAAGGGCCCGCCTCTCACGTACGAGGGCACGGGTTCGATCCTGACAAGTACCATAGTGATTTTTTCGAGTCAAATGTACTTTCTAAGAGTATTTAGACATCACTGATTAATTCATTCCCAAAGAGGGTTGATGTCGGGCAGCGGCTGGTCGTAAAAACAATTAGCCAAAACTATTCACAACATGCAAGGCAGAACCTGGCTAAAGCTGGGAAATTGCCAGGAAGAAGAAGAATTAATGTCCACGATATCTTTTTATCAGAATGAAGCAGGTGTCGGGTACCGTACGTCGTACGAGACAGTGATCCGTACACCGAGACGCATCAGAGTAAAATGCGTCATTTACTTCTACAGCGAAGTATTTCAACTGATAATAGTATTTTAGATATGTTTGGCTATGTACGGATGTTTGTTGGACATTCATGTAAAAATTGCTTAAATAATTTTGATAAAACTTTAAATTAATGTAGATTAAACACTAGAATGAGATATATGCTGTAATTTGTTCTGATATACAATAAGCCAAAACTATTCACAACATCTAAGGCAGACCCTGACTAAAGTTGGCAAATTGCGAAGAAGATTCAATTAATTTGTAAATAAAACAAAACATTCTTCGTTGTAACAAAACTTTAATCTGACATTAACTTCCATTTGTGAATTAATATTAAGTTAACAAAATTAAGTTGTTTAAAGAAAACTTATAATCATTTATTTTCTTCAACTATTTCTCTGTTTGAAAGTCTCATTGAAAACTTCTAGTAATTTAATTCAGAAAAATATTGATTTAATTATATTTGTCACATTTTTAAGTCATTAATATTTTCATTGGTCGAGCCTCATCCTTTTCATCGGCCGTTCGTCACTTTCTTCAAGAGATCTTTTATTTTTGTCTACATTTTCTTTATCTTTTAATTTATCTTTTCCTTTATCTTTTGTATAATATTCTACAATCTTATGACTATTTTCACCGGTCAATGGTTCTAATTCTATAGTATCGTCTAATTCTCTATTCTTGGGTTTTTCATCGTTGTTATTAACTTCTTCATCGTCGGAATGTATTATATTTCTTTTGGGTTTTGATTTTGAACTGCCCGCTGGAAATTGTAAATTGAGTATTAAATAAGATAATTTGAGATACATTTGTTTTTAAGCCTATCTCTAAGTAAATCTCTACTAATATTATAAATACGAAAGTAACTCTGTCTGTCTGTCTGTTACGCTTTCACGCCTAAACCACTGAACTGATTTTAATGAAATTTAGTACAGAGATAGAGTTGACCTTGATAAAGAACATAGCAGTTTTTATCCCATACTTTTGAAAGGTTCTCTTGGAAACGCGATATAACCGAACTACACGCGGGCGAAGCTGCGGCTGGAAAGCTAGTACTCAAATAAATTCAATAGCAAAATTGTAATAAATGTTAATTTAAGAGAAAAAACATAAAATCTTGATTGAATTGTATTTTTTATACCATTTTTGCACTAAAGATAAACATAACATTACTAAATATGGTAAATTAAACATAAAATTTCATATTTATGTACTTTTAAGAATAATTGACATAGTCATAGGATATAGAACATATTTTTTACGAAGTTGTTTTAGAAGATAATTGATATTTATACCAGTTTGAATATTTTCTTCAACACATTCAGGTACAGGTTTGTTTATAAAGAAATTTGTGATAGGTTTTTGCCATTTGGGAGTTTCTCTTGGACACACTGGGTTACCGCCCGACGAACTTCTGGACTTATCACCACTGCCTTAAATAATAAACATAATATTGACTTAAAATATTTGTGAGTGAGAAATATATTGAAATATGTCATTATAATCTGAAATTAATGCTTAACATAGACTAATCTGAGATTTTTGTAGAGTAATTATATTATATTTAATGGAAGTTTTCCAGAGAGGGTTGATGTCAGGCAGGCAGGCAGTCGTAAAAACAGACAAAACTATTCACAACATGTAAGGTAGACTGGCTAAAGCTGGGAAATTGCCAGGTAGATGAGATATTTAATGGAAGTAAAAAATACTAAGTAAAAAGTCTTGATTACATTAAAACTAAGTTTATCGCAACTTTCTTATAATAGATATATGATTGTAATAAACTCAAAATCGACACAAACATTAAACACAGCTATTTTTATTGAATTGTTTAATTTAAATACCTGTGGAAGACGTGGAGCTGGGCGGAGGAGCAGCACTACATCTAGCTTTGCTACTTTTACCCGAAGATACTGTAAATTTAAAATAAGTTTTTGTTATACTATGAACCAAATGAATTATGCTTATACAGTAGAAATGTTGAATAACTGTATAAAATAATTAAATTAAGAGAATTGTAAAGCCTGGTATGTTATTAATTTCATATTTTAATTGCCAAAGTCGATGTAATATGGAGAAATAACAATCTTTCAATACTTATGTTTCTTTGAAAATTCTATTATGTAAATTTAAACTTACTTTTTGCACCCACCGACGCCTTGGTTCTGGCCATTTATTTCCCTTTAAATTCTAATAAAATTATAATCTAATTCAAAACATTAACAACTTTTCTTCATCGCGCGTTTTTTTGTTTAGTGTCGGTGCGCGCCAATTTTCAATGACATTTAAATGACAGATATCAAAAACTTTTTGTACTTTTAAATGGAACGTTTAGAAATAACTTTATAACACATATTATTTGTAATTTTTAAAAACATCTATTTATGTGTTATTAAGTTAATTATAAAATATATTTACGTTTGACTTAAAAATCAAATATAATAAATAAAGCTGAACATTTAATGTTACACCAAAATTGAGGCCGAGTAAAAGGTACATATTAAAAAAAATATATCTGGAAACAAAATTAAGACGCGCAACAAAACAATACATTTTTGCAGCATAATTTAATGCAGTATTTTAAGAGATTTCAGATCACATTTATATACTCAGTGAATTTATATAAATTATTATTATTAGACATAGTATATATCCATACTCCTTGTATATGATCTTTTACACAATCGAAAGATGAAAGAAGTTTTATAATGAGGAATTTAACAACACATTTTATTAGCATATAATATGTATTAGTTAAACAATTTACAATTTAGACATCTTCAGGATATTAATATTTTTATTTATCATTTTTATGTATTGCAATTACTATTTAAGGCTACATGTTTGTATAATATTTACCATAAAATAAATTGTCTGTCATGTTTGTTCAGGTGTAATTAAGAAATAAAATTAAGTGAAAATAAATAACGGGAGTAGAAATCTTTGTGAATAAGTGCTCATTTAGCCAATCTTGGTCCACTGCTGGACATAGGCCTCTCCTAATTCGCGCCACAATACCCGGTACTCCAGAATAATTACTTTTGTCACAAAAATTTAAATAGAATGCATACTATCTAGTATCTAGTTTTATGAATTATTTTTTGATTATTTTAATAGTCTAATGAGTTTAATAATTTTTCTATACATTTATTTAGTATATTCATGTGTTTAATGAAGTTGGTCTATATTATTATAAAATAAACAAAACTTATTCAGTTTGTCATATAACTCACAAAAAATATAACAGCGGTGTCATTATTATATATTTATTTAATATTAATTTCAAAGTTATAGAAGTCATTTTTTGATATTGTCGTAATACACAAAATAAAAATTCACATTATTATAATTTTTTTATTTAAATTCACAAATTTCACTTACAAATATTATACCTTATATAATAAAAATTAAAGATTGATTATCAAACGATCTAAAACATACAAAAAATACATCAAAGAATCATTTTGAGGGAACAAGTAATAATAATCATTATTTCAAATATTAGTAAATTGAAAATATTTTTTAGGTAAAGTACTTTCAGTACTTGGAAATCAATGTAAAGTAATAATTTTCAATTTAAAGACATTTTCAGTGTGATTTTGTTAATTTCAGGCTTATATATATCAGTCAAAATTTCCAAAAAATTATTTCGAGAAAAATTTCTTTAAATAATAAAAAAAAGGTTGTATAACGATTAAGCACAACAAAATACGTTAACGTTTAAAGATTCTTAAAATTAAAACAAATTTAATGAAAACTAGACATAATTATGCTTATTTTATCTCGAGTTTGAGGTACCTGGAATCATTCCAATTCCATCTCCGATTTGGAATTATTCCAATCCCAACTCAATTTCCGCATTCCATTTGAGGCCTGTCCGCTGATTGGTCGGAAATCGAGGGCGCTGATTGGTTGAAATTGTTTTCATCTGTCGTCGAGTCAATATTATCGTTTTTCTCGTCCTCAGTATCTGAATGTGTTGTTGTGCTCACCAATTTCGATTTCAATCTATCTGCCGCCGAATACGTATCGATTTTCATATTATTATCGACAATCTGATATTCTACGACTATCAGTTTATCTATGTTGAACGTTTTATCGCGATGCGTCTTCATATGCGAGCCGAGATATTCACAGAGGAACTGTAAGTCGCACATCTTGCATGCTATATACTCTGTGGGGTCTAATGCCGCATGTTCTGATATATGTTCCATACATATATCCTCTTTCAAGTAATAAACGTCGCAGGCTGCGCACTTGTATAGCTTGACCTGTTGATTTTCTTGGCTGTTCGGCTCTATTCTTTCGACTCTATTCGGCTCTATTCTTTCCACTCTATTCGGCTCTATTCTTTCCACTCTATTCGGTTCTATTCTTTCGACTCTATTCGGCTCTATTCTTTCGATTCTATTCGGTTCTATTCTTTCCACCCTATTCGGTTCTATTCTTTCGACTCTATTCGGCTCTTCCATTGATATATTCGGCTCTATTTCCATTTTGTAAGTGTTGGAGCTCTGTGAATTCTCCTCGCCGCTCTCTCCTTGGCTCCGCCTAGTTCTAGATTCGTTTTTGTATTTCGGTCTGTAATCATTAGTATCTTCGACCGTCTCGTGGACGTACATGTGTCTAGTTAGTGATATTCTCGTGAACATTAGGTTACATTCTTGACAGAGGAATCTTTGTTCGTCGTGACGTCCTATGTCCATGTGGCGTTTGAGGGTTTTCGGATGAAGGAAGTTGAGATCGCACACCTCACATGAGTAAAGGCTGCTTTTATTGAACGGCACTTTAGGTTTAGGTGTCAAAATCTCTTCGCTAGTAGTGGCTCTGGGTTCGATTTTAGGGTATTTATTCGTTTCTTCTTGCGAATCTTCGTCATCGAGCGATAGTTTCCGTTTGATCGCTCTTCCATCGACATTTACACCTGTATCTTCAATGGAATCGTAATCTATCAATTTGATTTGACTCCTATTTGGTAAATCATTGCGCGCGTCTTCTAAACTCAATATAGTAACCGTGGCGACTGCCAAATCTTTGAAACTGGTTCTCTTCTTGTAATGATGCAACTTCATGTGGTTTCTATAGCTCGTGGATGAGAATGTAATGTTGCATGTCACGCATTTGACGGTCGTTTTACCTACCCTATGATTAGCTTCAAGGTGGTACATATTTCCTCGTAAAGATATGTTGTATAAATTGCATTGCTGACATAGATATACAACACGTCTGTAGCTGTAGGTTTCACCGTTTACTTTGAGCGAAATAAAGTTAATTTGAGGTTTGAGATTGCATTTCTGGAGTGTAATGTGATGTTTTATAGCGGTTATGTGGTAAATTAGGCCGCAGTTTTTACATTCGACGCCTGTGTTGTTCTCGCTGCATATTTTCTGATGCTGCGCCAGACTTGAACCGGTTATGAATAGCATTTTACAAGTATCGCACTTGTATAGTCTAGCCGCTATAGAACGGTAGAATTCTCTGTCTGACAATTCGTGGTTCAACTGGCAATAGAATAAATTGCGTTTCCGCATTTTCTTGATATATACGTTTTCTTTTTTCGGCTTATAGCTTATGATCTTCTTTTCCGGATTAACATTTCCGTATACAACGCCGTTCCTGAACTGCAAAAGTTTTATATCGTGTTTGCTGAACGGCATTTGCTCGTGTATTTTTTCGTGATGCATGAAATTTGAAGCGTGGAAATATAGCTCGCATATATTGCAGTATTTCTTGTTGAGTGAGCCGTTGCACGCGTGTTTTTTGGTTGTAGTCTCTCTGTGTACCGTCAAATCGCAGTCCGTACATTGGTAGAAGACAAATTCATTTCGCTTCATAGGATCTTCTATGCATTTGTTTTGGAAGTAAACTATTTTTATGTCCGCTGCCGTCATTTTCGGGAACTTTCTATGGTATTGGCTGTGTCTGTGCAAACTGGACGCTCTGATCATAAGCCCACACTTATTACACTTGACCAGTCTAACTTGAGTCTTGCATGTGTGTATGTTGATCGTCTGTTTAAAGACAACACTAACTTTACATTTCCTACAAGTGTAGAAAGTGTGGACCATTTTCTTTGCGGATTTTGATACAAATTTTGGTTGGTTCTTTATAAGCTTGTGTTTTTGTTCGACGTGGAATGCGCAGTGTTTTTGGAATTTGTCTTTCTGTATAAGTTTTCCGCATTGCTGACATCTTTTGAAACTAAGTCCTTCCGGACGCAATTTAGATCGCAGTACATCGTTCACGTAGAAATCTTTCTGCAGATTAAAATCAATAATCCTCAATGAATTTCCATCCAATTTGCATGTTTTATGAAGATAATCGTGATCCATTTTAGAGTTCCGCGTAGCAAAACTCAGTCGGCAGGTTACGCAATTGTATTTGAAGTTGTTGTTAGAGCAATTATTGTTTTGAGCGTGCGACTCTACAGAATCTGTGTCTATTATATTGTTGCAACCACCACAACGATAAAGCGTCGAATGTAACGGGCCATCGATGGCGATTTCCATTCTAATGTTCCTTGTTACTTTGTAAATGCTTCCAGACAATATCTGATTGACCTGTTCTTTGGCTAAGCTCGCGAACATTTTCAACCATTCACCAGATAGAAGCTTCTCATAATCATACTTCAATATTGTGAACGAATTCTTTCTAAGATTATTTCCGAGATGCAATTCTTTGTGTCTATCGAAAGAATTGCCGACGAATCTGAGATCGCATACGTCACAATTGTTTATAGTCTTATTGTAGCTTTCCATGTTGCAGAAATGGTCTTGAGCGTGCTCTACTACCGAATCGTATGTATCTATTATCGTGTCACAAGTTTCGCATAAGTAGAGTATATTCCACATGGTCTGTAGAGACTCATATGTTTTTAGTATATCTGGGATATTACCTTTTTCGGTATCCCAATCGCCGTATTTGTGGAACGGCACGTGTAGTTTGTAAGCTAGATCACTGAAGTTTTCGCGGCAGTATTGACAAGTTTTGTGGACTTCAGAGAAACATGAATGTCTTCGTCTAGCCTGCTCGCCGAAGAAATGTACGCTGCAGGCTTTGCATTTCTTGAATTCCGGAAACTTAGGCTCTATCTGTCTTCCGGTTTGAGTTGAAACGAATATGAAGTCGTGGAGCTTGAGATTGGGGAATAATTTGTGTTCCCGTTTGTGAGTCTTCATGCCTTTAACCGTGAAACACAGACCGCACAGTTTGCACAGATATTTGTTGAGAGTCCTATTACATTTGCCAACACTGTGTCCATGAGCCGTTCTGTTGATTTTGAGGTAGCATTTGCAGGTTGGACAGTAAAATAGGTGTTTTGGTCTAGCTGTTCGTTCCATTTTCACCGTTGGCTGTTCTTGGACTTGGTCTTTCTGTACATTCACGTCGTAGCACATATAATCAACGACGATGAAATCTGTCGTTTTGACGCCCGTCGCATGAGCTTTTGAATGCTGTACCATATAATCTTCGTGTATTATCAGCCGGCATAACGAGCATTTCACGCTATTAGCCGGCAAACAGACATCTGTGTGGCATTTCTGAAAGCCAGGTTCATCGAAGCATATCTGGCATTTGCGGCAGTTGCACACTATCTTATTCTGAATCTCGACATCTCTTATTTTGATCCCCTTCAACTTCTCCACCATTTCGTGCTGTTTCAAATGTCCGATTTTGTCAGGTCTGTTGAGGAAGCGTCTGCATATCTTGCATTTGTATTCACCGGCATCGCTTTCGCAGGTTTTGAAATGTTCAACCGCCTTTATGAACGATAAGAAGTGTACGTGGCATTTTGTGCACTTGAATAATGTAGCGATTGGCATTGGAAGGTAAATCTGTGAGCTTGCAGACTCCTGTTCGTAATTCTCATTTGCGACAGAATGTTTGGCAGCGCGGTGTATTTTCTCAGAGTATGCTGATGGAAAAGTGAGATTGCAGGGCGAACACTGATATTTGCGGGTATCCACAACTTTGTTGTATAATTCTGGATGTTTATGCTGTATATGATGGTTGTATCGCTTGCAATCTGGCAGCGAGTGACCGCATGCTTCACAATCAAAGTCCACAGCAGTTGTAGGTTCGGGAACATCATCATTATATCCATGGAATATCCGCATATGATTGCCCAACTTCATTCCATTACGGAAATGGCATGAGCAGATAGGACAGCATATATATTTATCATTTATAGAGTGAGTAGCTTTGTGGTTCTTTAACGCTATTTCACTTTCACACTCAATATCACATAAATCACATTGAAAACACACCGGCATCATGCTGTACGAATGTTTCATGAATGCAGCTTCATCGGGGAACACTTCGTTGCAACAACTGCATAACACTGACTTGTCTTCGACTGGGTCAGGTTCCATTTTGATCTTGCGATTGAATATCGAACCCTTTGTGGTACTTTTATATGCTTTATTCTTTCTAACAGCGACTAAGTATGAATGATTATTAGTTTTATGCTCATCTAAAGCTTCTTCGGTAGGAAACATCAAGTCACATTCATTGCAATGATGGGTGAGGCCGTCGGAATGCAATTCTCTTCGGTCAATCGTTGCATGTGGTTCTGGAGTGTTGACACCCGATGTTGAAGATGAACTCGGCTTGCTCTCAAGCATTGATTGATTGTGTGTCTGCTGAATATCATAGGAGAAGTCTTCGTCACCATTATATAGCATACCCTCTTCGTCATTCTCTGAAAAATATTAAATTAAAATTAATTAATACTAATGAATGATATTAAAAATGAATAAACTATATACATCATAAAAATTAGATCTAAACTGATTAAATAAATAGCCAAAATTGGTGAAATAACATGTCCATTTGATGGCAAATTTTTTTTGAAAATCTCCTTAATATATAAATCATTTATCTTCCTACATTAAACAAAAAATTACTAATATATGTATGGTTGACAAATATCCACATAACAGAAAAAACATTAATGAAACTAAACAAGAGATAAGACCATTTAGAAAAACAACTTTTAAAAACACCACTTAGAAACTGCAATTGCTATAAAATATAGTTTATAAAAATAACTATCAACTATGTACTACTAAATGAAAATAATATTTATCTGATAACTCATATATTTTATTTAAAAAAAACTACCTACTCCCAATGTTTCAGTTACTGTGCTGCAACTGTGATTATGGACAGACAAGACACATATTGTAGAAGTTTTTTTAAATAATTAAATTTAAATTTCATTTAAATGAATACTTGTAAGTATTAGATATCATTATATACTCTTATCTACTATATTATTACTAGTTTTTCATCTGGGAGTGTCTTTAGAAATGGATAGCTAACTGGGCAAATTCTATTCCTCCTTAAAGACAGTAGATAAGAAGATTTTGTATTTGAACTTATTTTTTTTTTCAATCGCATGTAAAGTATCCTATGTCCTTTCTATGTTCTAATCTATCTCTCCGCCAATGTTCATCCAAACCCGTACAGCCGTTAGAGTTATAAATAGTGTAACTAACACGACTTTCTTTGTATACATATATGTGTGTATTTGTGTGTCTGTGTATGTAAGAGTAGATTCAGTATAGCATCAAATACATAAGATATATACAAAAATTGTATTAAGACAAGACCATTATCAATGAATTAAATAGTGTACCTTCATCCTCATAATCTATAACTTCTGTCTTTATGCTCGTGATATCGGGAAATATATTCTTGAGCAAAGGATTGTCCAATACATCGTGTTCTTCAATATCAATATCGTCAGCCATTGTTGGAACTGAAACATTATGTACAAAATCTTTATATATTTATAAGAAAATACATGAAAACAACATATTAAAGTATATATGGGTAATTTTAATAGTATATATATTTGAATTATGTTTATTATTTTAATTTTAATATATATATGATGGCACATGCACAATATTGTATAAACTACCAAATTTGAAGAAAATTTGTGGATATTGTGCTTGTTTTTGTTTTACATTTATATTTAATTGTTTTCATTCATTTATTTAGCTGATAAATATTATGAACTTGAATTTTAAAGAAGAGACATTCAATTTATTTACAATATGTTGTTCATAATTACAATAATCTTCTAATAAATACAAACTATTCTATATTTTTTGATTTAAAGTATTAAAGAACTATACAAAGATATATATAAGTACTTTCTGTATCAAATATTTCGTTTTAATAATAAATCTTTAACTAAATGGCATATTCAGGATGTGTTTTGAATAATATTAGGAGGTTTGAGCTACAAATTAAATTTTACAATCTAATATATTACAATATGGTTCAAATCATTCAACTTGGTATAAAAAATATGATTCTCAATTAAGTTATATTATTAAATACCTTACGTCTTTCTATTTATCGAATTAGTATTCAGACAGATGAGACATAAAAATGGTATTTCAAACTAGTTTGGTGCAACGAAAATATGTAAAAAAATTTGGATTTGTCATTCGGGATAATAATTAAAGTATGTATAACTAAATTTTTTATATTATTAGTGTTATTTTATTAAGTATACACTTTTAACTAACAGTTAGACATTATTGTTTAAAGTTTAAACTTACCTATATGTCCTTCAAATTATTTTGGGAGGTCGAATGTAAAGATGCACAGAATATACTTACTTGCATACACTGGGCTCGTAGAACTAAAATATTTTATATATTTCAATCGTCTACTTTTTTATGAATGGTGTTAATCTAAATTAGCATTTTGACAGTACGTCGTAAACAACTAATAGGTAATAATAATTAATTGATAATAACTAAAGTATGAACATAATTATAGTAATGTGTATAATAGCTTGGTATCAACTAACAATGTTTAAAATAACAAAAATAAAGATATCTTTTGACTTTATTACACCATCAAACAATTTCGACATATTAACCTAAAAAGTCAAGTTTTTTGTCAGGCGCTAATCCAAATCCATTCAGCCTATTTTGAGGACCTCAAAAATATTTAACTTTTAAATTTTACTTTACTTTTATTAAAAAAGTTTTATAAAGATTTCAAATAAATTAGGATGATAAATAAAGCTTAAACATTATTTAATAAATATCCAAATTTAGTGAGGATTTAAAGTTACCAGTCTTAAAAAACATTTTTTTGAATACAACTGTAATTGCGTTAAATAAGGCTTTCCTTATTTCACGGATCTTATTTAGCAAGAGATAAAAAATTGGTAAAAATGGATATGAATCAATTGTGGATAGTGATATTATATTAATGTATAGAAAGACGAAATTAGATAAATAAATAACATGCTTAAATGTGTTAAAAATTATCGAAGCGTATTTCATGGTATGCTTGGACGTAAAAATTAAATCAGAGCAAACAGCAAAGAACTATATTTAAACATCAAACCTTTTATAAATGACATAGATTATATTTTATAAAATTTCTTTCACAAGCCCATAACATAAAACACTTGTTAAATAATTAAACATCGGATTCAAGAGTGAAATGAAAGAATTAATATAAATACTATTGTATTATACTGGTTGTTGGGATATTATTCAATATTTCCTTTAATGTGGGACCTTTCAACATATTCAGTAACACATAGATGTGAGAGGAAACCTCTCATCATTCAATAAATTCGCCGTGTGGGTGCCAGGTCTATCGTTGTAGTAAGAGGAGCTTCAACAGTGCCTGGGACTTGTGACCCAGGTGTAGGTTTAAGGGACCTTTATCTTACGTGTTAAACGCTCACCTGCACCGTACAAGCTACTTTTGTTTCTCTCTATAATATAGGTGAAACAAATGTCATTTAATTCCCTTTATTTTAAAGGTTCTGCAACCTTAATTTTAGAGAAGCAAAACCATAACACATTAAAAAATGTATTTCAAACAGCTTGACAGTCCTCAGTTGACGTTTATAGCGAAACGGCGGGAATGGAAATCCAGATAAAATCAATACATATAAATGAAATTGTCGTATATATGTAACTGTATTTAATGTATACCAAGTATTTAATGTATATAACTGTATATATATATATACACGAGAAGAAAACATTTCTTATAATTTTTATCTCAATATTTGTTCCGTTAATGTAATGGCGTGACCAATCTTGTCGGGACTTTTATAGTCAGCTGAGGTAATAAGGAGTAACTTAGGATACTTTTATTATCAAGATCCCGAAATTTAATAAAAGTTTTTAAATTGTTTTCTTTTGCTTTGTTTTTCAACGCAAGATTGAGTAAAAGTTTATAAAACTATACTTTGAACTCCTTCTCTTCCTGGCAATTGCCCATCTTTAGCCAGGGTCTGCCTTACATGTTATGAATAGTTTTGGCTAATTGTTTTTACAACCAGCCGCCTGCCTGACATCAACCCTCTTTGGGAATGCATTAATCAGTGATGTCTAAATACTCTTAGAAAGTACATATGACTCAGAAAAATCACATTGGTACTTGCCAGGATCGAACCCGCGCCCTCGTGCATAAGAGGCTGGCCTTTTAACCACTAGGACACCACTGACTTACTTTAAACATAACATATTATTACTAAATAAAAACAAATGTTAAATTGTACTATATTCTTTATTATATAATTTTTTTTAATAAAAATTCGACTATTTTTTTTTAATTCAAAGACACCATAAAATACTCGAAAAAGTTTATTTATATTTAATTCACAATACTTATTTATAATAATGTATGATTATTGAAAAAATATGAAAGTGCGGAAGTAAAACACAAGAAAATATTGCCTAAACAAAGATTTGTTTATTATTATTTAAATCTAATAAATAAATAAAATATTTTTTTAAAGTATTTTTCGTAGCATATATGTATATTAAGAATTACTTTTCAAGTAAAGATATTTTTATTAAATAAGTTATTTTACAAGAAAACCAATTTTACTGGGAAACACTAATACTAGAATGACATAATAAGAACAGATTTAAAATAACACAACATAAATATTTTATGTATAAACTTGAGATTTAATTATTTATTTTTTGTAAACAATACATTGATACGCCATTTTGTATCACGTCATCAAACTTGATTCTCATTGGTCGATTATCACGTCATAACGTGGCTAGAGAAAATGTCTGAAAATTACTTAATAGTGAAAAATTCTGTATTTATTATGATATTATAAATTATCTTTCGTCTGCGGTATGTAGGGGAACGTCTGTGTCACGACGCCGATGGCTCTGGAATGGAAAATAATATGTTATACGACATGGCAATGTTTAAAATTGTTATTTAACAGATTCATTCATATAATACTAGTTTTTGCCCGCGACTTCGTCCGCGTTAATTTCGTCATTAGTAATATATGTATAGCTGACCGGGCGAACTCTATTCCGTCTTAAATAACCATGTATTGGTATTTATTTAATTTGTCCTGTTTCAATCGAACGGAATGATTGACATATGTATTAGTTAGGAGGCAAATCTAATGAAAAAAAAACGTTTGTATGGGAAATAGAAAAGGGCTGTTTTTAAGCTTTTAAAACTTTCCTGAACGTCCACGAACATTTCAAGACTAAGATAAGATAAATCCGTTCAGCTGTTCTCGAGTTTTAGTGAGACTAAAGAACAGCAATTCGTTTTTATATCATATAATATTTTTAAGGTGGCACTTCACTTGGCATTTATTTGTCCATGTGTGGATTTATTCGTCTTCATTTGACATATGCACAAATAACACATACACAATAAGCGGAAACGTTTAGACGTGTTATGCCAAGTGTGGACGTCATGTTTGCGATATTTGGACTATATACAAATGTATGGACAAATACCGCGAATATAGGATAAATGAAGTGGCGATTTTATACTGTGGGTTTGTATTACCTGGTGCCAAGTCCCGCTGTGAATAGAAGCCTCCTGCCTCTTCTCAAATATTCGGGACATCGCGCAAATCTAAACAACACACACGCGCTCTGCCCGGGCCGGAGAGAAGACATCGATGATAGAATACCCTGGAAATAAAACATATAGAGATATATAGTACTTATTTAGCGTTTAGCTTTCCGCCCGCAGCTTCGCCCGTGTGGAGTTCGATTATATCGCGTTTCCAAGAGATCCTTTCAAAAGTCTGGGATAAAACTATCCTATGTTCTTTCTCAAGATCAACTCTGTATGTACCAAATTTCATAAAAATCAGTTCAGTGGTGTAGTCGTGAAAGCGTAACAGACAGACAGAGTTGCTTTCGCATTTATAATATTATTAGGGATTGTGAAAAAAAAAATCTCAAATGGTGTTAATATACAGGGTGACTGGTGAATTACTATCAATATTTAAGGAGCATTCTCGGTACATGATTCTCATTCGAATTATGTAAAAAAAAATAGGCACTTAATTTTTGACAAAATTTCCGTAATAATAAGTAAAGTGTTGACACGTTCCAAATGTTCAAGTGTGGACGCGTGCGGCGACGTGCTGATACAACAACACGTCACGACACGCGTATGTGTGAGTGTCAGTGTATACCTAATCTGTAGGGTGTTCACACGATGCGTAATTAATTACACAACTTTTGGTTAACTTTACTCAGAAGTTTATTAATATTTATGTTATATTAATTTTTATTTTGTCATATATGATCGTCAAATATCACGTCCTCAAATATCGATAGTAATTCACCAGTCACCCTGTATATAATATTTCATCTCAAACTTTCTTCTGATAATCTGCTTCCAATGTAGATACTTATTATACAATGATAGGTACGAGGATTTGCACTATACACGACTATATGTATAAAACTAATATTTTTGGATTTAGTACGTATTTTATTATTTTAACTACATACTCCTGATGTTTCGGCTACTTTCCAACCGTGATCATTAAGATGAGATGTGAATATAATTTATGTATATGTACATTTCAAAAAGTATTGCCAGTTTTAATATAATCTATGTGTACGTCTCATGATAAAAGTATAACTAGCTAATCCCGCAAATGTTGTTTGGTCATATGAAAATAGAAGTATGCATTTTTAATATCACATTTTAAAAAAAACCAAAAACCTTCGTCCAAAAAAAAAGGGTGAACAACCCTTATAAGTTAGGGTTACAAAAAAGAGATAGCCAATTCATCTCGCCTTAATCACGGTTGCTGAAAAGTAGCCGAAACGTCGGGAGTATGTAGTTTGTAATCAAAAATAAAAACGCGAAGTAAAATCCAAAATTAGTTTCATTTAAATCGGTAAAGCCGTTTCAGAGTATAGTAACTAACATTATGACATGGAAATTTTTATGTAAAAGATGATAAACAAGCAGTCTGCCTTTTTGATGGAAGATAGTTACCATCGCCTATGGACATTTGCAATATCTTTATTGCGGATGCGTTGCCAACCTAATTTTTTAGGAAAAGAGAGGGGTGGGGATAAGGAAATAGCAGGAAAGAGAGGGAATAAGGAAAAGACAACCGTCTCTCTTACTCATCATACAAACGTAGCCATTAAAATTACTTCATGCTGATTTTCTATGATATTATTTATATATTAATATATTAGTACCTCAATAATGGCTGTCTGTCTCACATTCCCAACATGTACGGAACACTGGAACCCTGGAGATATTGAGGTCGAGTGTCGGAGAAGATGAACGCTCGCCTGTAAAGACAGACATACATGTTATATAGCACGAATGTCCATATAGAATCTTTTTTACCTCTTTAAATACATTAATGAGCACATACTGGTAATAATAACGATATTATCACAACTCTTTAAATTCACTAGATAAGAATATTTTGTATTTAAACCCATTTTTATTATTTTTCAATCGCATGTAAAGTATCCTATGTCCTTTCTATGTTCTAATCTATCTCTCCACCAATCTACATCCAAACACGTACAGTCGTTAGTTATAAATAGTGTAACTAACATGACTATACAGGGTGACTGGTGAATTACTATCAATATTTAAGGAGCATACTCGGTACATGATTCTCATTCGAATTATGTAAAAAAAATAGGTACTTAATTTTTGACCAAATTTCCGTATAAATAAATAAAGTTTGGACACGTACTCAGCCTTGCCGGCGCCAGTGTGTCGCTACTCCCCAACCCCCGCCCCGTGGCTAGCGGGCCATTAGTCGGCTATTAGTCGCGCGAGCGCCGCCGTAAGGTCCGTACGTTCGTCTCCCCGCGCGCGCGCCTAGCGATCGATCTTACGCGTATACCTAATAATAATCTGTCGTGTGTGCGTGTGACCCATTATTACTTATTAGTAATTAAATATGGCTTTTCAATACACAAATGCAGAATACTTGGACATGGTTCATGCGTATGCGCGTGCAAATGAAAGCTTGCCGGGCGCAATCAATTTGTACCGGGAGATGTTCCCCAACCGTCGAGTACCTATGGCCAGCGTCATCTTAAACGCTAATCAAAGATTACGAGACTTCGGACAGTTCCGTGTTCCAACACATGCCCAAGGAAACGTCTTGTGTATGCTACAGAGTATGTAAACAGAGAGGAGTTGAAATTAAAAATCAATAGTGATTTCAAAACTATTAAAAGTGACCCATTCGTATTAAATCGTGTGAAAGACAATATGTGTAAACGTGCCGAACTGTGTATCACACGAGAAGGAGCTCGCTTTGAACATTTGTTAAGGTTAGTGTAGTTATGTAGGTAAATAGGTAGTTTAATGATTGACAATTGTTGTAAATAAGTATGATTCCATTTTTAAATACGCCGGAAATACCAAGATAGGTAAACAGTTCATATTATTTTTTGTGTCAAGGTCACACCATTTACCTAGTCAATAAATTGGTTGCTTAAACGAAAGAAATATCTTGGTATTTTTGCCTGTCCTAAGCCAGGATTAAATTATAATATGAAGGGATCATTTTTGATTATCTAAGGTCTAACACGCGGCGGCGCGCGGCGTTTGGATGTAGGTAAACTACCGCGCGATAACTACATATACCTACGTACATAACTGTTTTGTGTCGATAACGCAGCTAGGGTATCCACGCGATCCGTAATTAATTACATAACTTTTGGTTAACTTTACTTAGAAGTTTATTAATATTTATGTTATATTAATTTTTATTTTGTCATATATGATCGTCAACTACCACGTCCTTAAATATTGATAGTAATTCACCAGTCACCCTGTATATACAAAGTTATAAGAGATGGAATGGAAATCAAGGTTTTGTTTACAAAATTTATCTTGTCTCGTTACCTGGAAGTAAATACATCCTCTTGGGTCGTTTGGGTCTTCAAGCGGCACCACGTCACTACACACACAGTCTTCTTCTAAAGCATCTGTATGTTTGTCTGTGTGTTTCTCATTTATATTTATCTCCTTAATATTCTTGTTTCTTCTAGCGTTTTTTCTGTTCTTTTCTTGGGATGACTTCACTAATTCTGATATCTAGAAATATAGTTTATTGATAATAATATGGTTTATGTATTGGATAGATTTAATTAGAATTGTGAGCAATATAAAAGATATACTAATAGTGTAAAGAGTTAATAAAATATACTATTTATATATAAAACATGAAATAATATAGTATTTTAAATATGGCATACATCTGAACTTAAGTAAGCTACAAAAATAATGGGTAGAAGAATTATAAAAATAATAATAATAGTAATAGTTATTTTGCTCGAATATGGGTTAACAAAGGTATTTCATACATTTACAGTGGTCCAACATATTCTGCCGATTTGGCGTGCAAATATTTAATATAATCAAATGAACATTATTGTAGTAATATACTATACATATATGTGTGTATGTGTGTGTCTGTATGCGTGTGTGTGTGTTTGTATGTTCGTATTACCTCCCTCCCCCCGCACCGTGTTCCCCCGCAGCCTCCAAACGCAGGCCGAGTCCCCGCGCCATAGTCCTCAGGTATAGCGAGCAGCACCATGCCCGGCCTTAGTGCGGGCCCGGGGCGAAGCCCTAGCGAGGCGGACTGACCGGCGCGGACTGACGCGCAAGGGACCCGGTTACGATATATCGATAACACTGAGGTTTTGACGAACTGACCGCTGTCGAGAGGACCTGGGGGTAAATAGAGAGATTAAAATGGTGTCTATGTGAATGATACTAGCTTTTTGATTTAAGAATTACATAATTATGAACATAAGAATATGAGAGTTAACGAGAAATTGTATTTTCAGTGGCTATTGGAATGTGATGGTAACCTCCATCGTTAATTTTAATACTGTATATATGATAATGTGATGAGACTAAACGAAACCTCTCTTCATTCAATGTATTCACGGTGCGTGTGTCGGGTCCATCGTTGTAGTGAGAGGAGCTTCAACAGTGACTGTGACTTGTGACCCAGGTGTAGGTTTAAGGGACCCTATCTAACGTTAAACGCTCACCTCCACCGTACAAGCTCCTCTTTCTACCAAATTTGAAATTAACGTACTAGGGCTGCCTTCGATTTACGTTCCAAGAATGCATTAATGTGAGTTCTGGACAAGCCCAAGTCTTATAATATTAATAATAATAACGAGATAGTTTTTTACCTACTAACAGTGTGTCTCCCTCGTTCATTCTTCCTCGAGCTAGTAGTCCTCCTACTACGGTCGCTCCGGTCGCCACATGGAATATCTCGTCTATTTGAAACTCGCAGGTTTCCTTACAACATATTTATTATTATTAGTAATAACTATATAAGTATTATATATCATCCCTACTAATATTATAAATGCGAAAGTAACTCATTATAATCATTTTTTACTCATCAAAGTCTATTTATCTTTGAAAAATTAGTGATGTACATAATAATTATACAAGAACTACTTTTTGTCAGCACTTCCTTTAATTTACTTTCAAACTTAGAAATATATAGCTGAAGGGGAAATTTTTTTCTCCTTAAAGGCAGTAAAGCCGTTCTTGAACTATAAATGGTTTAACTGACACGACTATCATTTTTAAATAAAGATATTTATAATCATTATTATTTGAAATTTAACTAACACACAAACATTAAAATGATTTGTTTACACTATGGTGTATTAAATAGGATGTGATGAAAATCAGTCAATCAATCAAAATAGCATTTTGTTCTTGTATTTAGCAGATGGAACTAAATAGGTAATGCTAAAAATTACAAATTAAACATTTTTTTTAGGACGTTAGTGATCTCCATTGTTCTCGTTTGCATTCTACATTTCTAAACTCAATGAAAAAGCTCACTAATAAATATTTAACAAAATATGAACAAATTAAAGTAATTCTTTATAAAAATAATTAAGATTGAAGTATCATAAAGAGTGCTACATCACTAGTTGCATAGACAAGTCTTTGTCAATATCAGTTGATCACGTTTGTTTATTAAATTGCTAATTTCTATTGAAATGAACTATATATGAATGTATGTTTGTGTGTGTATGTATGTATGTATGTTTTAATGAGAGATGTTTTACAAATAGCTGAAGTTTCGATAGTTTGTATGTACATTTGTAGTGGCCTAGTGGTTAAAGGGCCCGCCGCTCATGCATGAGGGCGCGGGTTCGATCCTGGCAAGTACCTATGTGATTTTTCGGAGTCATATGTACTTTAAGAGTATTTAGACATCACTGACATACGGTGAAGGAAAACATCGTGAGGAAACCTGGACTTATAGATTCACAATTATAAGTTTGAAATCACCAACCCGTCTTGAGCGAGCGTGGTGATTAATGCTCAAACCGTCTCCATGTGAGAAGAAGCTTTTGCTCAGCAGTGGGCTCTGATAGGACGATGACGATGATGATGTATGTACATATGTATGTATGTCAATGTGTGTGTTTCACATGTTGTTGTTGTATGCATACATTGTTTGAGTTAAGTGTGTGTGTGTGTGTGTGTGTGTGTGTGTGTGTGTGTATACTAACATCTTCCGTAGTTAGCTCCACGCCGTCAGCGGGTGGTCTCAGAGCGAGCAGGTAGGCGTGCAGTGAGTTGAGGCCGACTCCACGAACACAACTGACTGGGAACACGGGGATGAAGGATCCTTCACTGGAAGGAGACATACATACATACAGATATATTATACATATCAATACTAATATTATAAATGCGAAAGTAACTCTGTCTGTCTGTCTGTTACGTTTTCACGACTAAACCGCTGAACTGATTTTAATGAAATTTGGTGCAAATAGAGTTGACCTTGAGAAAGAACGTAGGATAGTTTTTATCCCAGACTTTTGAAAGGTTCTCTTGGAAACGCGATACAACCGAACTCCACGCGGGCGAAGCTGCGGGCGGAAAGCTAGTATAGTATATAATGAGATCTAAGATTTTCGAGAGTACTCATTTAAATGAAACTAATATTTTTCGAATATACTAAATTTATTTTATTATTTTAACTACATACTCCCGACGTTTCGGCTACTTTATAGCTGTGATCATTAAGAAGAGATATTAGTTTCATTTAAATGTATAAATATATATATAAAAATAGAAAATATATTATGACAAAATTCATCAACACTACATGAACCGATTGTTATTCTATTAAGAGATCGTGTTGACTTATTAGTAAATTAAGCAAAGATTTTGTTTGAATTTAATTGTTATATAAGCTCAATACAAAACATAACATAAAAACAGCTATTAAAAAATAAATGAAATTAATATTTTTCAAATCATACAACGAGGTTTATTTTTGTGAAAAACTACATACTCCCGAAGTTTGTGAATCACGTGTAGTTTTTCACAAAAATAAATCGCGTAGTAAATAAGAAAAATATTAGTTACATTTAAATGAATAAAACTCACAATAGTCTTAGATCTCATTGAGCTATTAAAATTATTAATAATCGTATGTGTATGAACTCTCATAAGCAATACTCTTCAGATCTATACAGATTTGATTATACAAAATCTTAATAGATTTCTTGCATGTCATACATCATACTCACTTTTCCTTATCTTCGTTATCAATGGAGTCCAATATGGATGGTGCTATACAGTTCCTCGCGAGGTTCTCATCCGTTATAAGAAGAGGTTTCTGGAAAAATAAAACATATATTTATTAATCATATCTTTATATATATAATTCTTCTGTGAGTGTGTATGTCACTGAACTTCTCTCAAACAACTGGACCGATTTTGTAGAAATTTTTTGCGTGTGTTCAAGGGGATCTGGGAATTGTTTAGATTCACAATTTTTTCCGCTAGATAATGTTTTTTTAATTATTTTTTAATTTATCAATAGTTGTTAATACAAACATTTTTTTTGACATTAGATTTGACAACTAACTTAAATATGTCAATCATTCTATCGCACTTCAAAACACGGAGATTTATGGCTTTAATAGGTAAACTCCAAAAATATAAATTAAAAAAAGTAACAGATATTTCTTGATTATAGGGCGATACGAGGTTCGCCGGGTCTTCTAGTATGTATATACATATAATAGGTCCTAAATCAGTTTTAAACCAACAATATTTTATCTACTTCTCTTAACCACTTAATCTTCTACCTGTCAATTTCCCAGCTTTAGCCAGGGTCTGCCTTACATGTTTATAGTTTTGGCTAATTGTTTTTCCGACCGGCCGCCTGTCTGACATCAACCCTCTTTGGGAATGCATTAATCAGTGATGTCTTAAATACTCTTATAAAGTACATATGACTCGGGAACATCACTTGTACTTGCCAGGATCGAACCCGCGCCCTCGAGCATGAGAGGCGGGCCTTTTAACCACTAGGACACCACTGACAACTCTTAACCACTATATATTAATAATAAATTTGCAAATACATATATTAACGTCGTATTTTGTATAAAGTCCTATTATATCGACTATAGATGGCGCTGACATTATTTACCATAATTTAAAGCACCCTTCATGTATTTTACCCAAAATTGACGCAAAATTTCAAGCAAATACAGGAGAACTTGCATATATTCATACCTTATTCGCTGTGGAAAGTATTTCTCCAAGTCTGTCAACCAATTCTTTAATACTGGATGCTAATTCGATTTTGTTGATGACAGCGAAAAAAGGCAACTCCAGAGCTAAAAGTAGACCGATATGTTCTTCTGTGATTGGAGTAATACCGGCGGTCGCTGAAATCTGAAATTTATCTCTATATACCCTACTAATATTATAAATGCGAAAGTAACTCTGTCTGTTTGTCTGTCTGTCTGTTACGCTTTCACGAATAACCACTGAACTGATCTTAATGAAATTTGGTACAGAAATAGAGTTGAGAAAGAACATAGGATAGTTTTTATCCCAGACTTTTGAAAGGTTCTCTTAGAAACGCGATATAACCGAACTCGACGCGGGTGAAGCTGCGGGCGGAAAGCTAGTTATATTATAATTTGAATTTTGGAAATTTGACAAGACAGAATATTTTAGATTTGTCATGAATATTTATATACACTTTTTATTCTTTTTTGAATCATAAGAACAACAGAAGAACACCTATATTGCAGGTATTTTCCAATTCTGTTATATTCGTACAAATTACAAAAATGATTTAGTTATTTGTGTTACTTTAAACAAAACGAAATATTTATAAATAATAGATTTAGCACAGAATATTATGGTATATGCACACACACGCAAACACAACCAATCTTTTCTTTTGGTCTACTCGTCTACTCACCACTATCATCGCGTAATGCGGCGAGTATCCCGTGAGACCGTACACAGTAGTCCTTTGATACTTGCTGTGTCCTGCGAGGTCTAAGAATGACACCAATTTCGAGCTCCTCTCTCCAATACGTTCGGCAGTCATCAGTTCAGAACATCCATAATTCACTACGTTACCCTTTGATAAAACAAACATATATTATTACTTCTACCTGGTAATTTCCCAGCTTTAGCCAGGGTCTGCCTTTGTTCAATTAGAATATAACAATTATATTCGCTTGTCTGATTATATATAAAAGAAAGTCGTGTTAGTTACACTATTTTTAACTCTGTCGACTGTACGGGTTTGGATGAAGATTGGTGGAGAGATAGATTAGAACATAGAAAGGACATAGGATACTTAACATGCGATTAAAAATAAAATAAGTTGCTCAAATACAAAATTTTATCTACTGTCTTTAAGGAACAGAGTTCGCCCGGTCTATACATTACTAAAAATGAAACTAACGCAGACGAAGTCTCGGACAAAAACTAGTTTGAATTACATATTACTTAGCTCCATTTTCCTGGAATATCCCTACTAATATTATAAATGCGAAAGTAACTCTGTCTGTCTGTCTGTAACGCTTTGACGCCTAAACCAATGAACTGATTTTTATGAAATTTGGTATAGACATAGAGTTGACCTTGAGAAAGAACATAAGATAGTTTTATCCCAGACATTTGAAAGGTTCTGTTGGAAACGCGATATAACCGAACTCCACGCGGGCGAAGCTGCTGGCGGAAAGCTAGTAAGCAATAAATCTTTTCCTGCTGTTAAATGTGCTCACCTGGGAATCAAACCCGAGTATTTCGTGGCTGAGCGAAGATGTTCTTCCACTTCTGACTTCGTGAAGATGTCGGAACATGTTCAAACGGGCACTGCCTCGACCGTTATCTAATTCACCTGTTTAATTAAACACCTGGATATAAAGACCCAAAGATGAGCGAAGACCGGATTTATGATGAATGGGTCTAACCCACCAATTTTCACCCTGATAGTTTATCGCTAAGACTGGGTCTAACCAATCGGTTTTGACCTTCATAGTTGACTAAAATGATTTTAACCCATCACTGTTTTGACTCTAAGTGGACTGCTAAGAATGGGTTTAACCCATAACTTTTTTGACCTTTATAGTTCTTACAAGTAATGCCATTAGGCGTTTGGCAATCTGAACATCCATATTTATTTATGCCAGATAATGGCATTAAAAGTAATGAGCCAAAAAAATCCATACACCTAAATAAAGTTATGAAGTACCAAATCTATTCAATTTTGACAGATTTTTTTGGATACCCAAAAATATATCTAAATTGGCATAAACCCTTGTAACAGATAAATAAGTCTTCAATATTTAATATTTTATATGAAAAGCATTAAAAATAAATCATAATCAGTATGATTGACAATTCCTTAATAGATACAAATTTTTTTTATATAAGTTATATATATTTTTAACACGCTTTTATAAGCTTGGGCTGTATGTATGTATGTAACGGAATCTTTGAGCACGATTTTTTACCTCTTTCCAGATGTCCAATCAATTTGATACTTTGCATTTATATCAATTACTGATGATAATACAATAATTTGATAACAATTTTCTATTATCCTTATTAAGTTTTTCAGGATTAATGAATTCTTTTATAGATCATCTTTAGTGGAGTGAGAGGGATAGAGCTAGTTTTTTTAGTTTTATTTTTAAACTATTATTGATTAATATATCTTATGTAATCCTACTAATATTATAATTGCGAAAGTTTGTGAGTGTGTGTATGTTTGTTACTTCTTCACGCTCAAACGGCTGAACCGATTTTGATAAAATTTTGTATACAGGAAGCTGACGTCCAGGAATAACACATAGGCTACTTTACAACCCGGAAATCTCGAAAATCCGTGGGTAACACCGCGGGGCGCAGCTAGTATATACATATAGCCACTTCTTCTACCTGGCAATTTCCCAGCTTTAGCCAGGGTCTGCCATATAGCCACTAACCTTGTGTTAATACTCCAATGAGGGTGGATTTCCCAGCTTCTATCGCTCCCATCACAGCCACTCGCAGTTCCACACTCTGTTGTGTATCTGCTAACTGAGGAAATAAGAAAGAAATCTTGTTTTACCTTAGTTTACAATTTTTATTTGCTTCAGACAATTTCAGGCGCTATGCAAAGTTAAATTTAAATGAAAGTTTATAATAATTTTGATTATAATAAGAATTATTTTTAGTTTATTTTCTGTAATAAGCCTAATGGGTATATAAAATTGGCAAATTTCTGTGTAAAAACATATTGTTTAACTATTTTGTTAGTAATAATAAATATTCAGTAAGCGGTTCAATTATTACTCCCTAAACCTTTACTTATTAGTTTCTTTTTATCACTGCATAATCCGTTTTAGCGTTTTCTAGCATAAAAGACATTGAAATTTTCAGTATTTGAAATTAAAACTACTACTAAGGCTAACAAAAATCACATACTTCATGTAAGTTAAGATAAGTCTTACAAAGCCAGTTTTACATCAATTTGACTTTGACATGTCAAAGGTCAACGCCCTCTCACCTTCCGTATATAAACCTCAGCGACAGCCCGGCTGCTGGTCACTCGTCTCGCCCGCGCGCTCACGATAACAGCTCCTAGGGCTCTCGCCATGTCTCTTAACGAGCATAGTGACGCTCGAAGCGCCCCCGCATGAAGCCCTACTAGGGCTCCGTTATCACGAACCCCTACTACGTATACCGCGCTACCGCCGCCAGAACGAAGACGCCATTTTAACTGTTAGGATGATTTTATTTAATATTAGGAGAAACAAATTATAATGATATTGACAGGTAAAAATATAGGACGTATTTCAAGTTAATTAAAATGTATTCATCATCATTATCAGTCTATCAGAGCCCACTGCTGAGCCTCTTCTCACACGGAGGAGGTTTGAGCATGTAGTATGGAAATGAAAATAATATAAATAATTATTGAAGATAAAATGATTTTGATGGCTGACTTCCACGAGAAAAAGGTTTAAAATGTATTAATAGAAAAATTTCGTTAGTTTTCGTATTGAAATATAAAATTCGTATATGTTAAAGTTACGTAAAATCATATTATATACCCAAAAATACTGACCTGTGTAACCAAATGCTGGAATCTTCTCTCACAAGGCGACACTAGTTGTAATTTGTACTCAACGTTACCGAAACGAGGTTCGGGAGGAAGACTTCCGTAGCATTCCTCACCTGAGTCAGATGCTTCCGAGGTTCTGAATATTCAGAGATAGAAGAGATATAGATAGATTGAATGAAAAATAGATTGAGATGCAATAGAGTATAATGATATTATAGATGGTCAGCTAGATAGAGATGAAATAGAATGAAACTGAGATTTAAATGAGAAAGAGTATGAGTCTATCAATGGAGAGATAGACCTGAAAAAATACCTTATGATGATGAAGGCAATAATGTAAAAAATAATCCCTACTAGTATTATAAATGCGAAAGTAACTCTGTCTGTCCGTCTGTTACGCTTTCACGACTAAACCACTGAACTGATTTTAATGAAATTTGGTACAGAGATAGAGTTGACCTTGAGAAAGAACATAGGATATTTATCATCAACTTTTGAAAGGTTCTCTTGGAAACGCGATATAACCGAACTCCACGCGGGCGAAGCTGCGGGCGGGAAGCTAGTGGATAATAAACTCACGTGTCATCACAAAAGTCTTCCATATCATCTGAACTATAAAAGAAGTCGCTCTCGAGATCCTCCGCGCTCAAATCTCCGGCCAGATACATATTGTCCTTGATGCTGACTTTTTCTAGCTTATCTATCACATTGTAAATCCTATCAGCGAAGTTTGGTTCAGCATCATTTGTTTTCCGTTTGTGCGTTTTGAATTCAAGCTTCAAATCATTTACGTTCTTTCCTATTTTCTCGTCACAATTCTTCTGCACGTTCGTCTGATTGTTTAAAGGTTCCAAAGGGTCGTTGGTCCCATCAAATGAACTATTCTGTACTTCTTTAGCTGGTGATATTTTATTCTTCTTTCGTCTATTCTTCCTGCCGGAGTTTCTTCTGCGCGGTTTTTTGTCGTCGTTTTTTGGATCTATATAGCATCGAAATAAAAAATTACAGGTTAAAATAGTTTTAATGACCCTACTTGGTAATACTCAATTAAATAATGGGTTAGCATACTAATACGAGATATTTGGCAATTCTCATACAAAGAAAACTTATTGTCCTATAAAATTCGAAAAACCTGAATCAATTGGTTTAAAATATTAAAAAAATTTAGGTATATTAATTAGTCTACATCCAGGTAGCCTAAAATGTATAACTCCAATCTTTTGATCAAATATTATATATACTTTAAATTTCTGACACTCTTCTGTATCTTTTTTCAGAAATATACAATCTCAAAATTAAAACACAATATTTAATGTAGAATAATAATCCAATAATTTAAATGATTATAAATAAACTTCTAATCATAGTCCTATTTTACGAATAGACATACATTTCTGCTTCAATATGCTTGTCTTCTAGACACTCAGCTAATTCAAATTAAAATAAGACTTTATCATACGTTTTAAGATAAATAAATTTGATTTTACGTATTTGGGTGTTAATTATCAACCTACCTTCATTTGGTTTGTTAACTTCGAAGTAGTTCTCGATGTAGCTACAATCTTTGACGAGTATCTCATTACTGAGATCTGGTTCACAGAGGAATGAAGATTCTTCTGGGAGGGTTTCGTTCTTGTGGGATCGACGACCTCTTCTACGTCCTAAAATGAAATATTGAAACTTAACCCAAACTGTATTTCTAGAATTATAAAGGGTGACTGGTGAATTACTATCGATATTTGAGGACGTGATATTTGACGATCATATATGACAAAATAAAATCTAATATAACATAAATATGTATTAATAAACTTCTAAGTAAAGTTAACCAAAAGTTATGTAATTAATTACGCATCGTATGAACACCCTACAGATTAGGTATACACACACACACACACACACTCGCGCGCGGCGGCGTGTTGTTGTATCAGCACGCCGCCACACGCGTCTACACTTGGAACACTTGGAACGTGTACACACTTTATTTATTTATACGGAAATTTGGTCAAAAATTAAGTACCTATTTTTTTTACATAATTCGAATGAGAATCATGTACCGAGTATGCTCCTTAAATATTGATAGTAATTCACCAGTCACCCTGTAAATGTTTTTTGCACTATATTACCATCAAATTAAATTAATATTTTTCGAATTTCGCGTATTTATAAGTAAATAACTAGTATTAATAAGTATATACTAGTAGTTATCCGAAATATATTAATTTCATTTCAATGAATACTCGACAAATTCTTACATCTCATTATTTTCCATAACTTTGTAAGACATAATTTTTTTATAAGAACAGATTAATTCGTTAAATTTTCCATGTATTGAGTAGCGGATAGACACTTCTTACAAGCTTTTTCATAACTGTTTTAGATAGTAGACGTGACATTTGTCAGTTTAGTTTTTAGGACTAAAAATTTTGCTAGTTTTGTAGAATAATATAAAAAAATATATATATATATAGAAAAAAATCAGGATTATTACAATAAAAAGTACTACTATTATTTCACGGAAGCTCCTTATAAGATTTGAAGGAATTTCCTCAAGAGATTTCAACTGATATAGACTACTGCTGAGATTCTTCTCATTCTATTTCTGTACCTTTAGGTGCATCTGGATTCTTCTTCGATATATCTTCGTTTTTGTGTCTCTTCTTGTTATTTTTGGCAGCATTCCCTTCCGAGGGATCGAACAGACTGAAGAACGAGTCCATGATATCTGTTGGATTAAAGAAATTTATATAAAGCATTTTGAAAAATTATCTATTTTCTTTTCACACAAAAGTAAAAGTTCTTGAATAGATCGGTTTAATAAAAGAAACTATCAGATTACATAATTATTAACTACTATCGGTCGGTTATATCACGTTTCCAAGAGAACCTTTCAAAAGTCTAGGATAAAAACTATCCTATGTTCTTTCTCAAGGTCAACTCTATCTCTGTACCAAATTTCATTAAAATCAGTTCAGTGGTTTAGGCGAGAAACAGACAGACACACAGACAGACAGTGTTACTTTCGCATTTATAATATTAGTAGGGATACTAGCGACACTAAAATTAAATTATTTTTATTTTAGTTAGAATAGCGCTTATTATCAAATATGTACATCAATTTAAGCGTTTGGTTTAAGCTGAGTAAAACCAATTCTAAGTAATAGCTTTGGTAACGCTCAAAAAACTATAAAAAAGAAAGTGATCTATAACATTAGTATGATTTAACATGTAGAAACTAAAAACATACAGTTTGGAAGTATTGCATTAAAATGAAATTAAAATACTTTTACTAAAGCCCACTGTTGAGCAAAGGCTTCTTCTCACATGGAGAATATTTGAGCATTAATCACCACGCTCGCTCAAGACGGGTTGGTGATTTCAAACTTATAATTTGATGACAAATTGTAAGTTTGAAATCACGAACCCGTCTTGAGCGAGCGCTAAATACTATTATAAAGTACATTTGACTTGGGAACATCACATTGGTACTTGCCAGGATCGAACCCGCGCCCTCATGTACGAGAGGCGAACCTTTAATCACTAGGCCACCACGATTATTCGTACTTTATTATTATAAAAAAACTACATACTCCCGACGTTTCAGTTACTTTTCAGCGAGCATGATTACGGTTTTTATTTAAATGAATACTCGCGAAAGTCATATCTCAGTATTGCATTAATCTATGATGAATAGGTTACTACAAAATGAGATCGAAGACTTTTTCAAGTTTTATTAATTTAAATGAAACTCATATTTACCGGATAAACTACGTTGTGCATTTTTATTACACGGTTTTAGATAATCACATCTCGTCTGCCCGTGATCACGTTTGCTGAAAAGTAGCCGAAACGTCGGGGTATGTAGTTTCTTCACAAAAATGAACCGCGTAGTATGTGCGAAAAATATTACATAGTTTCATTTAAATGGGTCACTACAAACTGTCGGTTTTCAGTATGTATGCAACGAATACTAAGGAAATAATTTCGTAACTGATACATTACAATCACTAACATGGGTTGTTAACGATAATACCGGCCGTGAGAAGTTATGGCAAAGAAAATTCCCGTATAAAAACATATATATACATAGATTTTCCTTATATACAGGGCTACCGCGTTATTTGCACATATAAGTATACAGTAGTGGATTTATTTACTAGTTTTATATATACACATTATATAATATAGGTATTTGGGTTGATAAGTCAAAGGCATATAACATTCTTCTTCTTTTACCTGGAAATTTCCCAGCTTTTAGCCAGGGTCTGCCTTACATGTTGTGAATAGTTTTGGCTATTTGTTTTTACGACCGGCCGCCTGCCTGACATCAACCCTCTTTTGAGAATGCATGAATCAGTGATGTCTAAATACTCTTAAAAAGAACATATGACTCGGAAAAATCACATTGGTACTTGCCAGGATCGAACCCGGGCCCTCGTGCATGAGAGGCGGGCCTTTTAACCACTAGGCCACCACTGACTTCGAAAGGTTTATAAAATTATAAATTGTCAATAAAAAAACATTTTATGAAAATAAATTTTGTTCAATAAAGAGATTTCAAAAAATTATATCATTATTTCTATCGATACTCGATAGTTCTTCCGAAATCTTTAGCCTTTTTAAACATTTTATTTACTAAAAAACGTAAACAGTTCTTTCGCTGTCATTAAGTCTGATTTAAAAAGCAAAAGTTTCCAGTTTAAACTGAAAGCTACACTTTCAATCCCTGGTAGGGAGAAACAATCACGATGTTCTCTGTTTGAAACCAGATCAATTTTTTTATTATCATCTTTGAGATGAAAGAGGAGCTTGTATAGTGGAGGTGAGCGTTTAACGCGTTAGATAGGGTCCCTTAAACCTACACCTGGGTCACAAGTCCCAGTCACTGTTGAAGCTCCTCACACTACAACAACGGACCCGACACACGCACAGTGAATACATTAAATGATGAGAGGATTCGTCTAAACCTGGTACTCCAATATTTTCATCAGAAGAATATAACTAAGAACGAATTTGGCACATTTCCTAAATTCCACCATTCACACACACGCGCCAATTCTTTTCGTTTACATAAATTTGAAACTAGTTCTAAAATATTTGACGTGTTTGTGTACGAAATTAGATTAAACAAAGTTCGTTGACCTTGCATAATCTAATCTGGTGTATTCAGGTAAAGATATAAATACTTTCTGGTTTTATATATCAAAAATTCTCAAAACTTACACTCCTATAGACAATTATCAATATTTTACTGTTTCTGATGACTCTTCCAAAAAAGCTACGGAAAAAATAGATTTACGAGATCAAAGACGGATCTTAAAAATTTTGGTATTTTAGTATATTTTATTGTATGTGATATACGTATATAAAAATTATTACTTGAATAGTCCAAGAGCCTCTCATTGTACCCAAAAGTGAAAGATTTCGATTTTGTTCATTCACAAATACCACTTTACATAGTTCAATGTAATATTCAAACATGACATTGAATAAATCTATAAGGAGACGCCAATAACTAAGAGAAAGAGAAAGAAATAGAATTAGAAAGAGACAGAGAGAGAGAGGGAGAGAGAAGTCTATCTGTATTGATATATACTCATACCCATGTAGACCTTCTTCACATCCGGACAAAGAATTAAACTACCTCGTTCCTCATACATACACCAAAGAATGAGAACACTCTACCTGCCTTCAAGTAATAATAAATGCATCTTCAAGAAAAGGGTGAATCCCTACTAATATTATAAATGCGAAAGTAACTCTGTCTGTCTGGCACACTTTCAGGCCTAAACCACTGAACTGATTTTAATGAAATTTGGTGCAAATAGAGTTACAAAGAAAGAACATAGGATAGTTTTTATCTACGATTTTTGAAAGGTTCTCATGGAAACGCGATATAACCGAACTCCACGCGGGCGAAGCTGCGGCCGGAAAGCTAGTATTATAATACTGGGATAGTGTGTTAACTTATAACTTCATTTCCATTTTCCACAGGTGGAATGACTGTCAGGCACTTTTTAGTCGAAATTAAATCAAAATACAAGAAGTGAAGTCTATATTTCAGTTCTTAATTAATAAACCGTTAAAGTTTTTGGTTGCCACTTAGAAATCATGAAAACTCGTTTTTGTTACATTATAACCTTTGACCTTTTGGGTCAACATGTAGGAGTCATGGGATTTATCTTCAGATAAATCATGGAATTTATCTTAACACTTAAAGGTGGTACTTTACTTGGCGTTGCGTATTCACCGCATTTGTCCAAATATTTGTATATACTTAGTCCAAATATCGCAAACATGACATCCGCACTTGGCATCACAATACGTCTTTAGGCGTTTTCACTTATTTGTGTACGTGTATTATTTGTGCAAATATGTCAAATGAAGACAAATAAATCCACACATGGTCTTATTTTGGCAGAATAACAAATAAACGCCAAGTGTAGTGCCACCTATACATTTGTATTTCAAAATTCATTGTTTTTTAACAATGAGATTTCAATACACAGATAAAAAAATAAACATAAGAAAGAATTATGAAATAATAAATCTCTTACATAAACCATACAAGAGAAACACAAAAATATTGGCAATATAAGAAAAATATTTGGCAATACTTTTAAACATTATCGAATTGAATTTTTGCCAAAAATAACTGTAACAAAACAAAATAATCGGTAAAAATGAAACTGACCTTCATAAAATGTATTCAAGGAGATAAAATTCAAAACAAGTTTGGCGTTTTATATAAATATTAAATGAAAATAGCTGAAAAGTTATCAATAAGTGGAATTGCATTATAATTTCAAATAATTATAAGTCTTTTTTAAGCAGAAATTTTGGATTATAATATATGATTTCTGTTTTGGGAAGAATTTTAATATAAAGTAGACATTTTCACAATCATTTTTCAACTTATCAGATTTTGTATTATCCAAATAATTACAATGTAACTCAATTACAAAGCTATTTAAATACTGAAATTATATTTGTTCAAATCCCTTTTGTGTATATATCAACTATTTGCAATATCAAAATCAAATTGTTTGAATGTTTCCTGAAAATTACACCTAAGTTAAATTAAAATGTGCCCAAATATTGCTAAATCTGATGAAATATTTAATTGTAATCTCATAATTAGTAAAACTAAGAAAATAATTATTCTATATGCCATGATAAATTCATTTTACAGTAAAATATAGCTCATCAAAATCAGTTGCAATGTTAGTTTTGTAAAATATAGCAAACAAAATAGTTTGTTTCCACAATTGATATCTACTATTAACCATTACTTTCTATTCTATGTATAAGAATTATCAGTGTAAAAAACAGAATATATCTTTTATTTATTTTTATAGCAAGATAATAATATAACATAAGGTAGATTTTTTAACATAAATAATTTATTTAGTAGTAGTAACATGAAAACTAAAGTTAATTAAAGAATAAATGAAAGGTTTTAAATTAGGATCAAGGTGACTCAGTCATTGTTTGATATCAAATTATAGACAGAAAATGTTTCGTTTTAATTCTGATAAGATTAGTATTAATATCTTTTAACATTAAATACTAGGAAATTAACATAGAACTTGCATAATAATTCGTTTATATATTATATACATATATAATAATATTAAAATGAATTGGTTAACATATAAAAGAAAATAATGTTTACGATTATTTTTTTTAATAAAGCAAAGGCACTCACAATAACAGCTGTTTCCCCGGGTTCAAGGTCACATAAAAATACACACGGCACCACCACAATACGAATAAGTATTAACAAACAAAATACACAAACACTGCCAAATTATTTACAATGACGTAATATCAACAAAATTATTTTTGCAACTGAACAAACAGTGACCATAATACGACCTCCTTGTTTAAAACTTCTTGGTTATATTATGATATTGTTATTGAGGAGAGTCTTGGCTCTAATGAGTAATAGTAGTCTTATTGTGGCACAATATTGTAACTAATTACTTAGTTATGAAATCTATTTGAAATAACCACTTTGTGTGATGAAATATTTTGACATATCATTTCACTCTCACTTTTGAATTTGAATCGATACATTTAAAGATGGCAGCACTAGCTAATCGATAACATATACAATAAAATTATAAAAATATAATTTGTATAACTTATAAATAATTAAACCTATTAATTTGTACAAAATAAAGCTTAAATAATATATTTATTACAATTGTCATGATTATAATACAAATTTATAAAACTTTGTTATGAATATTTCACAAATTCAAATAACTAAATATGTATTAATATTAACTTATTTATATAAATTTAATTCTTTATATTTTAAATTATATTGATAGAAATATTATAAATAATGTCGAAAAAGTATGTTAACACCATTATGTTGTTATAAATGTCAACATCAATTCAAATGTATTTTGGTTATTTTGCCGCCAGTACCAAGTAGTTTTAATAAAAGTATAACATATTTTTATACATTTTTTAAAATGTCTATCCATGTAGAGAATAATCTTAAAGATTCCACAAACGATGAGATATTTAAACAAAAAGCGCATTACATACCTTGTAAAATTGAAGAAGACGGCGAGGCAAATGTGAAGAAATATTTCGAGCCTTACATTGTCGAAAATACTAACGGCGGTAAATGAATTTACAAGTTAATAACACTAAAAATATTAACTGTTTGTAAATATTAGTAAAAATAAACAATTATCTAATAATATTCACTTGTACTTGTTATTTGCAATAAATTTTCGATGTTTATATAGAATTGTCAGCAACTTTCCGCGGTCATTCCTTGGACGGTGTTAAATTATGTCTGCCTGAAGGTTATAAGGCTGTGTTAGTGACAGAAACCAAACGACCGCTATCAGAAGACGCTGATAGAAAGTTTCAGGTATTTATGATAATATTTGTATTGGATGATAAGATGCTATAAGGAGAGTACTTAATAAATTATCTGATCTTTATATGTACAAGACGAAACCTCTCATCATTCCATGTATTCACGGTGCGTGTGTCAGGTCTTTCGTTGTAGTGAGAGGAGATTCAACAGTGACTGTGACTTGTGACCCAGGTGTAGGTTTAAGGGACCCTATCTAACGTTAAACGCTCACCTCCACTGTACAAGCTCCTCTCTCTACCAAATTTGAAAAGAACCCATATTGCCTTGATATAGGTGTAGTTAAGTTGATATTGAAAGTAATTTATTTTATTATTAAGTGATAAGTATTTCAATTTTTATTAAGTTTTTATATAGTTGATTTAAAATAATTGTGTATTTTTTAATAAGGATAAAAGGAGTCTAAATTAACCATGAGCTTGGTATATATTTGCCGATACTTTTCCATTTATAATTATAGTTTTACCGACCACCCGAGTATCAAGTTAGATCAATTTTCATATTATCCCATTGACTTATAGAACATAGTAAAATGTTGTGTCGCAGAAATTTAACCATCATTATTAATAAGTTAAGTTTGAATTAGAATCTTATTGTATTAAAAATATTCATTTTGTCTAAAGTTAAAAATGTGTGTAGTGAAAATAGTTACAAGCTAAAGTTTGAGAATTCTAGAAGTTTCCAAACAAAATATATTCTTTAAAGAACTTATCTAAACCGATATTGATCAGTCAATTACCATGACAAATAAGTAGAAACGAAACTTCTTATCATTCCATGATATGGAAGTCAATTCATCAGAATTGTCTGGAGTGGATTTTATTTAAAAAATGTAGATTTTACCATTAATACATATTTTAATGCCGGAAACCAGAACTTATGTCCCAAAAAATGAATTTAGTATCAAGTAACTGGCAATGAGAAGTTTCTTTCTTTCTCTTAGTTTATATTCCAACTCAGAAACCTTATTTAATAAGAAAATTACAATTTTTTATGTTAATTTTCAGATAGCCGGAGGTTTAGGAGATATCACATATTGGAATTGGGATAAAAAACCGTCAAAAAACGACAGTTTAGTCAGAGCCCTGGACTGGATCGATATAGCAGAAGCGGTATGTCAATTTATAACGGTTGGGATTTATTTTTAATTAGTTTAGATTAGCTTAGAGAGGAGCTTGTATGGTGGAGGTGATCGTTTAACGTTAGATAGGGGTCCCTTAAACCTACACCTGGGTCACAAGTCCCAGTCACTGTTGAAGCTGCTCTCACTACAACAATGGACCCGACACATGCACCATGAATACATTGAGTGATGAGAGGTTTTGTCTATGTTTGTCTTGTTCATGCGAAAGCTATTTAATGGGTTTTTCTTGCAAATTGTAAATATTTGTTATTCTGCATCTTATTGCGAATTCTTTTAAAAGTTTTTCTAATAATTGTCAAAACACTATCTACTTTTATCCGTCACTCTGGCTTACATATATGTTAAATTTCATAAAAATAGTAACAACATTTAATTATATTGTCTTTCTTATAAATAATATTAAATCTTATATAAAACTTTCTTTTTTCCAGATACATGCTGACTGAAGTGAGGATAACAAACTTTTAATGTAATATGAAAATAGGAATTTATCTCTAAATATATATATTTTTAATAAAATATGTTGTTTTATTAAAAATTAATAATCAAAGACAAAGAATATTATATACAGTGGAATTTTAAAACCATTTTCATTAGTTGAAGTTATGTAATTATCAGTCAATTTAAAAATAAATAGTGCTAAACAAAAATTCTTGGAAAGCCAGATATTGTTGGAGAGATGAGGTTTACCTATGCAAATAGAATTAAAAGTCTCTATATATCCTTTTTCAAAAGTTATTTGTCAAAGGTCAAAATTTGAGTTTATTTTTGGAATTTTTTCAAATATCTGAAACCAAAGTTGGTCTTATAATTCCCTACAATGATGTCTATTATGATTTTTTTTAATATTTCAATTCTAATTCTTATTAATTTCCACGCCACATGTGAGGTGTGAGGAGTACTTGGTTTGTTTTGTTCTTGCTGTGTAATGAATAAATGGCGAAAATGTAAATTTTTAGTTTAGTAAATCTATTGTATTAGTGGTACATCAATGAAACGATTATTTGTAATCGTTTCATTGAGGTAGAGGGCAGGTAGAAAGAAAATTTTGTATTTGTCATAGAACTATTTCACTCTTTTTGTTAAGATACTTTAGACTCACTTTCAAAAAGAAAATTTCAAATATATACATATATATAGCGCGTTAGATAAGGGTCTCTTAAACCTAAACTTCTCTGAAATACATGGAATGATGAGAGGTTTCGTCTCATATATTTTATATCTTTAATTGTGCAATACTTGTATATACATGTATACATAATTGGTATCTTGGAATCGGCTTCAACGATTTTCATGAAATTTAGTATATAGGGGGTTTCATTTGATTTTTAGAAAATGTCATTTTATGGAAAAAATAAAATAAAAAGGCGTTTAAAATATGACTCTTCCTGACATCTATTGGCGAATAGTAATACTACTTGTTGCTATTTGCTTTAACGACACAACAGCAGATGTCGTAGTTAAGTAACCGGAAGTCAATGAGTGTTTGTTTTGATGTTAGAATAAGAAATTAATTGTTGATTTATAGTTTTGTCTTTTTAACGTGGTCACTTAAAAATGCCTAAACGAAATAAAAGAAAACACAACTTAAATACTAATAATTCCTAAATACCGAGCCAAGCTCGGTAACCAGTTATTTAGTAACTTATACAAATATGAGACGGAACTTAACTTACTTAACCAACTGTTGGTTTTAAGTTATTTTTTATTATTATTTTCTACCACCTTTTAATCTTGTAAGTTAACCCATAGCTTATTGTAGCAACAGTTGAGAAATGCTAATGAAGAGAATATTATGTGAAGATGACTGTTGGGTTTGCCAAATAAAACCAAGATTTTGTATAATCAACCATTCTCTATTAACCATAACTATATATATAACAAGGCAGACCCTGGCTAAACCTGGGAGGATCCCAGGAATAAGATATGTAACAAATAAAAAAAAATATTTCTTAATATATTGTGAATAAATCATCATTTAAACATAACTAGGACTTTTCTTGGTAGATTTAAGAAATGTTTTATATTTTTCTATACAATATTATTATGCTTGGAAATGAGGGTATCAATATACAGGGTGACTGGTGAATTACTATCAATATTTAAGGAGAATACTCGGTACATGATTCTCATTCGAATTATGTAAAAAAAAATAGGTACTTAATTTTTGACCAAATTTCCGTATAAATAAATAAAGTGTGGACTCGTTCCAAGTGTGGACGCGTGCGGCGGCGTGCTGATACAACACACGCAACCGCACGCGTGTGTGTGTGTGTGTGTGTGTGTGTGTGTGTGTGTGTATACCTAATCTGTAGGGTGTTCACACGATGCGTAATTAATTACATAACTTTTGGTTAACTTTACTTAGAAGTTTATTAATATTTATGTTATATTAATTTTTATTTTGTCATATATGATCGTCAAATATCAATTCCTCAAATATCGATAGTAATTCACCAGTCACCCTGTATATAGGGTTATTTTAATGTGGCTTAGACTCTTAATAAACTAAAATTGCACCATTATTTTAATCTTCTTTACTAGATTTCTTCTCATTGCGAATATTCTTCCTCAATACTTCAATCATTTTTCTTCTTTTATTATAATCCTTTCTGTTCAACATTATTGTTCGCGTGAACGCGTTGTGTGTTTTTCTTATTCTTGGAGTTTTTTTGATAACATTTTCTTTATAATGTATACCAAACTCCGTACGATTCTCCAAATCTTTGAAATCTTTAATATTTTCTTTGGACATCTTATTGTATATTTTTAAGAAATGCCAGAATTCTATATCACCGCCTTTAATGTTCTCCTCATAAAACTCTTTTAGTTTCGGATCGCATTTGTGTTTATTGACAATCGGTTTCGGTTTTTGATACCGATTTTCCGATGGAACCGGTATTTTTGCCGATTTTTCAGTTGAACCGATTTTATGTTTCCACACTTTCGGTTTGAATGGCTTAGGATTGGTTTCGTGTTTTCTATAATGCAATTTCAACGCGCTAAGAGTTTGACATATTTTTTTGCATTTATCGCAAGGGAACATTATTTTTCTACCTTCATTTTTGGCGATAATACTCAATACTTTTAACCTGCTTAAATAGTCATTGCTGGGAACATTCAAAACATTTTTAATTTTAGGTATAATGTATTCATTGAGATCTATATTCTGTTTCTCGACTATCCATTCGTCGTTTTTCTTGACTAGCTTAGTTTTCTGTATTCGCCCGTTTTTACTCTCCTTCCTTTGTTTATCTAAGTTGATGTAGGCTCGTTTATTGAGTTCTTTGACGCTTGGTATAATTTCAATGATATTTTTTCCATCGTTTATATCATAATAGAACCCAGTGCTAGTTTTCTCGTTTTTATTTTCATTGATTCTTGTACATATCTTGTTTTTTATATTATGTACGCATCTTAAATGTCGTGAAATGTTTAATCTAGTAACATAATCACATAGAGGACATTTTTTCAGTATCGTCGTGTTACAAACGTCGAAATGCTCCTCACAATGCTTCAGAAGTTTCTCCTTAGTTTCATACAACTGGGGAATAAATTTAATATAAATTTAGTTACAAATTAATAACTAATTTAAAGTTTTAAAACTATAAAGAGCTCCATAATTATAATAAATAGATTTTGATGAAATTTTCCATTTAAATATGCATATAAGAAACACACACATACATCTTTATCTAGAGCTTAACATATTAGTCATTATATAAAAAGGAATAATTACTTAATAATAATAATATTTATTTTTATTGCTCTGAATGTAGGTACAGAATATAGGTGTAAAAATAGATTTTAATATAAGTTCTAGGTACATTCTACTATAAGGCATGCAAATATTAGGTTTAAATTATAAATTAAAATTAACTATTCAATTAAAATTACAAATTAAATGAACAATATTCGTACATTTAAAATTATAAATTAAACTTAACAACATACTTAAAATTAACTATACAATTATATTGTATATCCGATGATTTTTGATACAATGATAGATTATTTAAGTTATATATTTTGTATTTTATACATTTTTTATTCAGCAAATTATTAATGAGATCTAATATGTACTCATTTAAATGAAACTAATACTTTCGTATACTCCGCGTTATTATTTTAACTACATACGACAAAGTTTCGGTTACTTTACAACAATCATTAAGACGAGATATTATAATTACTCTTTATTTAATAAATATATAATTACCTTCAAACACACGTAGCACTGATGTGTATTTAATTTGAATTTATTGTTATTTATATTTTCATCTATAACAGCTGATCCTTCATCACCATTAATATAATTTGTCTCCAATTCATTTTGGGTTTCATCATTGTTTGAAGTACTTTCATTAATTTCGTTATTAATTTTAACATATTTGATTGTAACGCCTGTAACAATAAGAAATTTAGTCAAATGGGACAAAATAGAGAGTTTTACCTACCAATAAAACTTACCTATTATTTTTCCTTAAGACATCCGGAATCCATCTTGAGTCAAGCACCTGTCTTTTTAGCCTTTTTTGTCCAGTTTTCGCTCCCTTCCGGTGCAACTTCAGCCCTCTAATGTCAATTTGGCGGGAGAAAACTTGCACATTTTAACAAATTGATATTTCTTACCTCATTATACATACTCGAGATGAACCAGGTAGAAATTACCTGGATTCCGGATGTCTTAAGGAAAAATAATAGGTAAGTTTTATTGGTAGGTAAAACTCTCTATTATTGTTCCATGTTGACATCCGGAATCCATCTTGAGTGACGTGTTTGTTATCACCTGTTCATAAATATTATGACGATGCTATAATGTGTCCAATAAAAATTAAATTATTGGAATAAAATAATTTATTTAAATAACAATTTGATTTAAGGAATCTATCAAAATAGCTTGACAGCCAAACTTTTGTGCTTTCCTGTGTCCGATTTAATACAACTCTTTTAAAACCTCTTATAGGTAAAGGATCTTGCCCCCGTTTCTAGTTTCTAAATTTTATCTATTTGAAAGCATTCTATCTAGTTAAGGGAAGCTACTGAAGGTCTTACAGATCTGGGAGAAGCTTCAATACCAGCTTCTTTGTGTAAAGACTTAATCCAAACTCGACCATATTTGACGCTACTCTAGGTCCGCCCCTCGAGCTGTCAAAGATAATTTATTTAAAATTATTGACTTACTCTGCGCTTCCTTTGGATAAATCAACCAATCGGTAAACCCAGTATATTATATAATCAAGCGATGTAGTGTTTGTATTTATACAATAGTTTTAACACACTAGTCTCATGTACCCCAATAGAGGGCGGCATTCGCCTGGCAGCCTCACGACCAGCGCGGAGCAGAAGGGTGACGAGCGCCTGCACTTTAGGCGGGAATAGTAGTGAGCCAATGACTAGATATTCTTATATAGAGGAAGGGGGTCCTACAACGGGCTTGTAATGGGCTTTGTAAAATTTTCCTTCCTGACTGCCTGTAACTAATCAGTCTTAGATTCGGATCGTGGCCAAAATGTAAAGGGGTTTCCCTTATCAATAAGTTTTTAATCTTCAATTGTTAATAAAGTGAGATAATGGACTTTACGTCCTGACGATAAAAGCTGCAAGATTGCTACTACAATGAGGAAGTCCCGGCTTCCCCCGGGGGGGGGGGGGGGAGGGTTAAGGTTAAGGTTAACGCGTAAGCTAGCTACGACCCTACCTGTAAATGTAGGCAGGTCATTCTGGAAGGCATTTGCAGCCCTGGTTTTGTGACAGAGTCGCCACTAGCGAGGCGGTGCCCAGGGACAGCAGGTCCCACATGGCTGGCCTCCTGCCAGCGGCAGAGGATTTCTATTAGCCACCGCAAACACTATAAATTGTTTACATTTACCAGATGTGTGCTGAAATATTGTAAACAATTTAAGAGTCCCAGATAGGTGATGTGGAACTCTTCTTTTTTGGGTTACTGAAATAACTTTAAGAATGTGTTTAACGAGAATATACACATAAAGTTAGATGCAAAATCTATATTTTAGGGAACTTTAGTAAAAGTAAGAATAAAAGATTCATGTACAACGACAGTTACAGACAGACAGCTAGATAGACAGATAGGTACAAGTAACAGGGTACGTTTTGTGAATATGGGTTTTTTTTTTAATCACTTACTCGTCTTAACCACTACAGACTCTATTTTATTTTATCTTTTCAAAACGTTGCTAGATAATGAAAGGGATTGTCTCTTACTCGTTCAACCGTCACGTCATTTCCGTCCACCCGAAATTAGCCACGATACGCAAATGAAGATCCCGGACCTTCAGCTGGTGAATTTTACGTCAAGGTGTCTACTAAGACTTGACAAAGGTTGGGAATTTGTTAAGACTCTTGCAGAGATCAATGTAGTAGATCTTCTGCTCAAAGACTATTTTGCCATGTCGGAGCTTTTGTTATGAAGCGTCCTTTGGCATTGTTCAGGTATTATAGCCCCGAGGTTAGGAGGTGGAAATATCGAAGCAAGGTCGTAACTTCACTGACGACTGAAAGCGTTGTGGTAGGTAACTTTTCAATCCGCTATACTCAATGTCACCCATTGTTTAACTACCGTGCTGACCCTTACGCAGATGAATCTATCTGATGTACCCTTACGCAGATGAATCTATCTGATGGAATATACTGTGCTAAGGCGGACATTGCATATTCCGAGCTTTAGATAACAATATCAACGGTCGGTCAGGTCAAGTTCAGAGCAATTTCCGCCCTGGTACTTCCTTCTTTGTTTATATACAATATTACTGTTCGATTGTCCGAGAAGAAAAGAATGTTGGCATCGTTTAATCAACTCTGTTCGTGGGCAAAAGCTTCTAGGTTAGCTTACGATTCCTTGTACTTGCCATGCCATGTTTTCTGGGTCTCAGTCTCTCCTATAAGCGCTTCTCGGTCGACTGCTAAGGCACCGGCTGTTATGTAATGCATTTCCGAGCCCAAACGTATCGGCAGTGCAGCTAAGAAAGCTTTTAACCATCAATGTAACTTGAGAACCTGTGGTTCTGCAAGTATTTTGAGGTGATTTAAAGGGAGGGATACTGTCGCCTGTGGTATGCAGTGTACGACCGTATCTCCCTCTGCACACAACCAATGAGGCAAAGTTAAGTCTCCCCAAAAGGAGCTGGGCCTGTTCGGGGAGCCAACTGCCTGGGCCAATCTGATGCTGAAGTGAAGCGCATGCGTAGGGCGATGCACTTCAGTTCCGACAGGGACTTCGGGTTCAGTTTTGCGTCCCATGAAATGCCTAGGTATTCTGGACATTGAGTCAGAAACAGCACAGATTTAATGAAATTCATTGTCCGGCCAAGTTGTTGCAGAATATTGATGGTGAAGGCTAACCGGTCGCTCAGAATGTGAGGCGGTTGGTTTGCCAATTAAAAATCTTCTTAATAAACTACGCATCTAATGTAGTGATGGCGTAGAAACTCTGCTATCCAGCCTGTGACGCATGCCAGTATTCGGGGTGCCGATGGTAAACCAAAAAAGCTGGCAAGTGTAGTAAATATAACAAACAGGGAAAACAGAATTGTCATAAAACCGGCTTCGCTAACCAGTTTCCAGTTTGTAATGAAAAGCTGGAAACGTTTTAAATGAACAAAGCTATACAACTGTTTCAAATTAAATGTCTCACGTTGTAAATCGTAGCTTTTAGGAATCGAAAAGAATGTTCATAGAAAACCGAGTGTAATATCAGCTCTTTCCAACATTTTAAAGAAAAAGATATGTGAAATCCTTTAATGATTCCACAGATGTAATTCGGTACATATAACTTAATCCAGATATCGATCTGTTTTTTAATAGTTGGTATTTATTAATACCTTATCTGTCCCCGCCCCATTTTTTTGTATGTAGGCAGACAGTCAATATATCAAATAATATTTTTTGAAAACGGAGGTATGGTCTGTAAAGTCGAACGATAAAAATTCTCCGTTACTCGTTTTCATAATTCTTCTCTTAAAGATTGTATGAAATCAGCGCGAATACCACAAATAGTTCAAGGAATATCTTTGGTTTACTTGGAGTATTCCAAATCTTAAACATTTTATTATTATTTTAATATAGTTATTATTTTAATAATAATTGCGTATTTAAATTTGTTTTACTACCACTAGAATAGTCTACGATTTTTAGTCAAGCTATTTGACGTACTTCTTTTCGAGATATTAAAGCATTTTCAAAAAACTGCAATTCGAGTTCTAGACAAAGTTTATGCTCGTCGTTCAACATCCTAACTCCCTACAATTGCTTTAATTCAAACAGTTCCTTAAATTCGTTGTAAGGACCTGGCTCTCCGGCGGGGAATCGAACCCCGGTCTCCCGCGTGACAGGCGGGGATACTGACCACTATACTACCGAAGATATCATCACGACTGACGAAGATCTTACATTCACTCTATTGTCATGTAAACGGGAGTGAAAGCAGACAATAATTGTAAGAATTAATGTCCACGATATCTTTTTATCAGAATGAAGCAGGTGTCGGGTACCGTACGTCGTACGAGACAGTGATCCGTACACCGAGACGCATCAGAGTAAAATGCGTCATTTACTTCTACAGCGAAGTATTTCAACTGATAATAACCATCAAACCGGAACGCATTCCAACATTAAATATTTGTATATAAGATAATTAAAATCAATGTAAATCCGTTGGGTTCGTGAAAGTCCGTTCCTCAATATTGATGGTTAAACTCAGATATGGACTTCCGTCAAGTGCGGTTTTTGAATTTCGTTACTTTATATTCCCAAAGGATATCGTTAACTGACTTCTGAAATCGTGTTCTTTAATATTTTAAAGTGAAGTAATTATTGTAAAATATTATTACATTTTTATTTATTGTAATGTGGGTACTCAATAAAAAAAAGAAGCCACTTGTCGCATCTGATATTGAAAATATGAGCTACTTACAGCTTTGGGAGATCGTTTTGGTAGACTGTACCTGTCCAGACTGGAACCTCGTGACGAATACTCACTGTCACACGAATTTTTTTTTCCCAGTCCATGACGTTCGAAGGGAGACAAATATTTAAATATTAACACTTTTCAATACGAACACTTAAAAGACTGTAATAATTATAACTACTAATAAGTATTCTTAAAAACTGGACTACTGCTCGCTCTGAAAGACGATGCTATAATGAGGTAAGAAATATCAATTTGTTAAAATGTGCAAGTTTTCTCCCGCCAAATTGACATTAGAGGGCTGAAGTTGCACCGGAAGGGAGCGAAAACTGGACAAAAAAGGCTAAAAAGACAGGTGCTTGACTCAAGATGGATTCCGGATGTCAACATGGAACAATAATAGACGAATTACAATGCATCATTATACAAAACATCCATACTTATAAGAAAAATTCTCTCAGGATCTATACCCACACAAACTACTTTCAAGACTAAATCACATAAATACTATACAAATAATATACATAAATTATAAATACCTAAGTCTTGCACTAAACATTATGGTAACAAAACTATGCAATTTGAGGGAGCGCTAATGTACAATAATCTACTGAAAGAAATATTAAACGAAAAATCTTTTTTGAAATTTAAGGCTAAATTAAAAACATACTGTCAAGCTTTATAATATTTGAATGTTTGTATAAATAAGGTCACCATTAACTTTATTAATGTTTATTATTATGTTACTAGTTTAAGTTTCCTATGTAAGTGAACTTTGTTCTTAATGGGAAATTAATCATCTCTAAACCTAAACCTAACAATTATATTGAGAGCTGTGATAGATAATTATTACTTAAGTATTTAGAAAGAATGATATGGGAAGTATGGAGTTGATAAGATATAAAGATTTCGATTCCTAATATTATATAAAACAGTTATTATTCAATAGAATCTGATATATATTTAGTAATATTTATTATTAATAATTTAAATTGTCATGCACTTTATAATTCTAAAGCCGTGTATCGACTATGCGCTCCTGGCACGCGCGCCATGAATGACCGCGCCGAGAGTACGTTCCGTGGAACGCGTTCCAAACATTCGAACTGTAACAACTAAGCGCGTCTGGCGCGCGTGGCAGCCGTTCCAGTGAAGCTAGTCGTGTACGAGCAGCAGCAGCTTTTCTAATTATTCACAGTATTATAAACAAGAAAAAGCAGAAACGTAAAGTGTACTGAAAAAGAATGCAGTATGGTGTAACACTTATTAACGATATGCAATTCGAAGTAGTAGTAGTAGTTTACTATTCCACAGTAGTTCTTTTGTACCATAGAGTTGTATTAATTTACGGCATCTTTGATTATCCATAATTATATATAACTAGTAAACCTGGCGAACTCCGTTTCGCCACCAGAAGGCTTTTATAAAACATTTCGTTCGGTGATTAAAAGATGAAGATTTTTTTTTTGTTTTATATTTGAAAAGGAAAATTTTTATTTCATTTCCCAACAGTAATGAATTCATTTCGATTACAAAAATGAAGTGTTATTTAGTTGAACTTCTCTAAGTAAATGAAAGTGAATCCAAAGCATAATTATCCGTTTCATTGAACTGCTCCTTTGTAAACCACATTTTTTTGTTTTTGGTCTAACGTTAACACAAATAAAGCGGATGGTTTCCCAACACACACAAACTGTAACTGCCCATGTGAAAAACAATGATTTTCTAAATTTATCCCGCAAATACTAAATTACATATCTGTCATTATACGTCAATTGCATAGCTGTCAATTGTGTTTCGTTATTCCACGTTTTATAGTGACTGACGTTTCATGTCAAGTCCCACGGGAATGCTGTTGAACGGGATAAAAAGTATCCTATTGCAATTTCCTGGCTCTAAACTACCTCCCCGCCAATTTTCAGCGAAATCGGTTCAGCCGTTCTTGAGTTATAAGTGAAGTCACTAACACGACTTTCTTTTATATATATAGATTAGGAGCGCAACAAACACGAACAAAATACAACGTGACCGTCTCAATTGGCGCGCGCGCCGCGATTGATGCGTTGCTAAAAACCGATAACCGTCGGAACGGTCCGCTCCGCGTTCGTGCGTTCCAACGAACACATTGGCGCGCGTTCCAAAGTGGTATCCATTTCGCGCGGCTGGAGCGCGCGCCAATATTCGAACTGTTGGAGCGCATAATCGATACACAGCTTAACTTTATATACAGTGGCGGCTGTACCTTAAGTGCACTCGTGCGCTGAACCACCAATTCAAAAGATATAAAAATTATAAAATATTACTTCATCTTTATTTTTAAATTAACATTTTAATATTTATTTTTTAAACATACAAAAACGTATAAACAATTGAATTTCCTAATTATAGTCAAAAAGTTTGTGCGATTTACTAAACTAATATCTCGTGCGCTTCGGCGAGTGCACGAGGACTCCTAATACATCTTGTATAAGATACGCATTAATACGCCTGACGCGTGAAACAAAAGATAGTTCATAGAAATGTACCGAGTAATGAGTCGGTTCTCGAGCGCCGCACGAGCGACCCGAAGATTACCGAGAGCACCCGATGTATGACGAATTGAGCCGTTTTTTGACATTTCGATATGTTTTGTTGCATTTTCTAAATTTAATATTTTAGTAAAGTGCACCACCAGTTCTATTACCCACCAGCCGCCACTGTTTATATATATTACATATACTTGGACTAAAACTATATCTATTCTCAATAATCTATCTTCTATTCTAATTCTTCTTACAAACCTTGTCTAACGGATGCTTCTTTAATTCTTCTGTTATATATTCTTCTTGTTCTTTCTAATTCTTTCATCTCCTTTTTTCTTCTCGCTTTTGTAAGAAGTTCTTTAATATGCTTTTGAGCTTGATCATGACATTTCTTGTCTATTTCAACATCTTTTTCAATTTCTGTATATAAAAAGGAACCTAAATAAATGTTTGTACTTTATTAAACACATTTCTATATAGTTAGGATTATTTTCTAAACAAATAAACTCTACTTCTATAAAGAAATTTTATACCACCTAAATATATAGAATTCAAGTTAAATTATTAAATACTAGCTTTCCGCCCGCAGCTTCGCCCGCGTGGAGTTCGGTTATATCGCGTTTCCAAGAGAACCTTTCAAAAGTCTGGAATAAAAACTATCCTATGTTCTTTCTCAAGGTCAACTCTATCTCAAAATCAGTTCAGTGGCTTAGGCGTGAAAGCGTAACAGACAGACAGACAGAGTTACTTTCGCATTTATAATATGTATTAGTAGGGATGTCTACCTACTACTACCTTGAGTTACTACCTACCTTGAGTTACAATTTCATCACCAGGTTTTATAACGTGTTCTATCAAGAGATGATCTATAGCTTCCAAATTAATTTCATCTTGAACACTTCCAAATATATCCTCGGATATATTCTGACACTCATCTGGCTTTGAATTTCCAATGGATTTTTTATCATCACCTATAAAACAACACCAATAATTGATTTCATCATCATTTACATCAATAAAATAGCAAAAATTACATTTAAAACGATATCTTCTTTGGACTTTTAAAATAAACAGCTACATAATAAAAAAATATGTTATTATTGAGACGTTAAAAAAGATCGAGAAAAATTGTTTAAATTCAAATGATTTTTCTATTATATAGTCCCAACTATAATTTAAGATTAATTCAACTTATCACTTCTTCCACAATAAATATAATATTAATTGGTGGATAGTGGAAAAAAAATACAATTCATTACTAAGCCAAAATCTTAGTAATTCTTTATATATTACTTAATATATACCTATATAGTCGTGTATAGTACAAATCCTCGTAACTATCATTGTATAATAAGTATCTACATTGGAAGAAGATTATTAGAAGAAAGTTTGAGATGAAATATTATTTACATATATTAACGACTTTTAATGTAATTTTCTTCACAATTAGTGTTTAATTTATTAGTAATTGTGAAAAAATTCTATATATAATCCTCTCACCGTCAACACATTCAACTTTGACTTCGTGTGACATTTCTTCCTGCTCACAGTCCTCAATTTCTTGTTTTATTTGAACCTGTTTCTTTGATTGTCTGAAAACATAATTAATTAACACTTATATAAAAAAATAGTTCTTATTAAAGAAAAATTTAGTTGATATTATTTCGGTTATTGAATAGTAAAACAATTATAAATTATACGTACGTAAGATTTAATAAATACAGATTTAAATGAAACTATATTATTTGGATCAATAATTTTTTATGTTAATTTATATTTGTAAGAATGAGAGACACTACATACCAGAGAAATATACATATATAATACATATATAATATACATATATAAAAGAAAGTCATGTTAGTCACACTATATATAACTCTAACGACTATAACGGTTTGGATGAAGATTGGTGGAGAGATAGATTACAACATAGAAAGGACATAGGATACTTTACATGCGATTGAAAAATATATAAAGTTGATCAAATACAAAATCTTATGTACTGTCTTTAAGGAACAGAGTTCGCCCGGTCTATACATTACTAATTATGAAACTAACGCAGACGAAGTCGCGGACAAAAAATAGTATATATATATATAAAAGTTAATGTATTTTCTTTTTGAAGGTTTTATACAGAAATATTATTACAAAAAATCTATATAAAATATTAGTAAAACAGTTTTATGACATATATTATTTACCTTTTCATAACTTTGTATTTAACACAATGTGTGACCCAGTAGTGCTGCTTCAAATATTTATGCTCCTTGAAAATCTTTTTACATATCTTGCATTTACGATCCTGAAATTGAAATTAACGAAACAAAATTAAAAACAAATTCATATATAAATATAAAATAATAGCAAAATAAAATAATTCGTTAAAATTTGACATTTTCACAAACTACTTTCAAATTTTAGCGACAAATATGTCGTTAATTTTAAATCATTTCTTTATTTCTTATACTAGCCTCCAAAACACTGTTAAACAAAAAATTAAAAACAAATACATATATAACTGTGAAATAAATGCAAATTAAAATAATTCGTTAGAATTTGAATTTTACACAAACTACTTTCAAATTTTAGCGACAAATATGTCATTAATATTAAATCATTTCTTTATTTCTTACACTAGTCTCCAAAAAACTGTTTGTTTATACAAAATTTTAATAGAAATGAATAAAATTAAATTCTTTATACAGGGTGACTGGTGAATTACTATCGATACTTGAGGACGTGATATTTGACGATCATATATGACAAAATAAAAATTAATATAACATAAACTTCTAAGTAAAGTTAACCAAAAGTTATGTAATTAATTACGCATCGTGTGAACACCCTACAGATTAGGTATACACACACACACACACACACACACGCGTGTGGCGGCGTGGTGTTGTATCAGCACGCCGCCGCACGCGTCCACACTTGGAACACTTGGAACGTGTCCACACTTTATTTATTTATATGGAAATTTGGTCAAAAACTAACTACCTATTTTTTTTACATAATTCGAATGAGAATCATGTACCGAGTATTCTCCTTAAATATTGATAGTAATTCACCAGTCACCCTGTATATGTAGGTAGTCAGATATTTACAAGTTCATTGACGTGTCCGTATTTGAGATGCATCACTATACTCGGCTTATTGTAGGTAGTCAGACCACATACGTCGCAAATGAATTGCTCTTTTATCACATGCTTCTTCTGTATGTGTGATGCCAAGTAATTTTTATTGTAAAACCTGCAAAAAATCTATTATATTAAAAGAATTTTATTATATCTAAAAGATAATAATTTTATTTTCTTGTATACAAGTATTTCTTATATGTACTTGGATTTGATATATATGTATATACTAGCTTTCCGCCCGCAGCATCGCCCGCGTGGAGTTCGGTTATATCGAGTTTCCAAGAGAACCTTTCAAAAGTCTGTGATAAAAACTATCCTATGTTCGTTCTCTGTAACTCTATGTCTGTACCAAATTTCATTAAAATCAGTTCAGTGGTTTAGTCTTGAAAGCGTAACAGACAGACAGACAGAGTTACTTTCGCATTTATAATATTCGTAGGGATATATATTTTATCGATAGTACAAAAGTTGAATTACATACTTTTAAGTCACTTGAATAATTAATATGACAGTGAGTGTTCCACAAGGAAGAATTCCTGAACCTTGGACAAATCTATGTTAATTTATTCAACATGGTAATATCTAAGACAAGTATTAATGTAAATGAAACTAATATTTTCGTATACTACCCATTATTTTATTATTTTAATTACATACGACAACGTTTCGTTTATTTTACATTAATTACTAAGACGAGATGATTTTTTCTCATTTTTGGTGCAAAGTAACCCAACGTTGGGAGTATGTAGTTAAAATAACAAAAATTTCGATAATTATTAGTTTCATATGTCCACAATAAAACCTAATTTATATTATAGCAAGTTATTCCAATGTATTTCCTCACCCCTTTCCACAATGATCACAGAAGACACATTTCGTTTTTTCTTTATGTTGTAAACTATGTTTCTTCAGTCTATTTATTCTTGAAAATCGTTTCCCGCATTCAGAGCATTCGTGATGTTGTTCGGGATAATGTATTATTATATGCCTTTTAAGAGTACTCTGGAGTCAAAATAGTATATTTATGAGAAATTTGACAAGCAGATAGCCTACTTGTTAGGCAGTAACATAATTGTTGAGGAAAAGGGAGGGATGAGAATAGGGAAATAGCAGGAAAGGGAGGGAATATCGAAAATACAACCGTCTCTCTCACTCATCGGACGAAACGCAGCCATTAAAGACTACTTCACGCCGATCTTCTGTGAGAGGGTGGTACTTTAGGTCGAGACAACTCAATCAGTATTTCTTATAATGGTGAAGTATCAAGTAAATTTAAAGTAAAACTAACAAATTATTGTTAATCTCTTGTATCAGATTTAAATATATTTGTACTATATATAATTTTTAATATCAATATATTTCTGTAACTTTATTAAGTAATTTGCTGTCCGTACTAATTTGCATCAACAGCGCTATCGATGCCGATTAAGTGACAGAAGTTACTTTCAAAATATGAATTTTATATTTAAATGAGCAATTCTCGTATATATATTTATATAATATAATCGGAATCGGCTTCAACGATTTTCATGAAATTTAGTATATAGGTTTCGGGGGCGAAAAATCGATCTAGCTTGGAATCATTTTTAGAAAATGTCATGTTATAAAATAAAAAATTAAATGGAGTCTTTTAAAATATGACTCTTCCTGACATCTATTTTCGAATAGTAATACTACTTTTTGCTAATTACTTTTACTAATTGCTTTAACGACACAACAGCAGATGGCGTTATTAAGTAATATGAAGTCATTGAGTGTTTGTTTTGAGGTAAGACTAAGAAATTAATTGTTGATTTATATTGTTTTGTAAAAATACATAAACGAAATAAAAAATACACAAAATAAATACTAATAGTTCCTAAGTTTTGAGCAATTCTTGGTAACTAGATATTATATATATAAATAAAATCATACCTTATCTTTAAAGCGTTTCTTGCAGTTTCCAAAACTGCATAAAAACGGCTTGAAATCCGAGTGTGTTGTAAGATGAGTGGCCATCGTGTATTTATTACTTATCATCACACCACAAATATCGCATTTACACGAATATACACGATCGTGCACGTTCTTCTGTAGAAAAAAAGATTACAGATATTATATAAATTAATAATGCTTCTTAGATTGATTAATTTGATATAATATATATGATTATGATCAGTGGTGACCTAGTGGTTACAAGGCCCGCCTCTCATGCATGCGTGCGGGTTCAATCCTGGCTAGTACCAATGTAATTTTTCAGTCATATGTACTTTATAAGAGTATTTAGACATCACTGATTAATGCATTCCCAAAGAGTCGTAAAAACAATTAGCTAAAACTATAAACTTGTAAGGCAGAACCTGGCTATAGCTGGGAAATTGACAAGAAGATGCTTCGCATGTCATACTTACAATGTGTGTATTTCTTCGCTCCAAAGATTTATATTTCTTCCCGCAAATCGGACAAGGAGTGTTATTCAAATCCATTCCAAGATGAACTTCTGATATGTGTATTTTGAGAATGCGTTTTGTTTTATAACTGAAATTATATCTTAATTAATACATACACCAAGTATAATATACAGGGTGACTGGTGAATTACTATCAATATTTAAGGAGCATACTCGGTACATGATTCTCATTCGAATTATGTAAAAAAAATAGGTACTTAATTTTTGACCAAATTTCCGTATAAATAAATAAAGTGTGTACACGTTCCAAGTGTTCCGAGTGTGGGCGCGTGCGGCGGCGTGCTGATACAACACTACTCCGCCGCCGCGTCTGTGTGAGTGTGTGTGTATACCTAATCTGTAGGGTGTGCACACGATGCGTAATTAATTACATAACTTTTGGTTAACTTTACTAAGAAGTTTATTAATATTTATGTTATATTAATTTTTATTTTGTCATATATGATCGTCAAATATCACGTCCTCAAATATCGATAGTAATTCACCAGTCACCCTGTATACTTAAAATATTGCTAACTTAAAATATGAATAAAAAAAAAAATAAAATCCTACTAATATTGTAATTGCGAAAGTTTGTGAGAGTGTATGTTTGTTACTTCTTCACGCTCAAGCGGCTGAACCGATTTTGATGAAATTTTGAATAATACATAGGCTACTTTATATCCCGGAAATCCGCAGGTAACACCGAGCGATTATATTTATATAGAAAAAACAATGATTAGGCTATATGCAATAAATAAGGGCTTTGCTATGTACAAAATTGTTCTTGAGTTATTACTTAAATATATGAAAAGGAATATATTTTTGTAATTTGTCTTGATTCTCAATGTTCCTCGTTACTTCCAGTCATGTTACAGAATGTGTGTGTCCAGTATGTATAGTTTACAAACACAAGTTGATGCTCATGTTGATACATTACAATGGTTCAGTATTATCATTCATTATAATCACTCGTCATAATAATTGTAAGGATTATAGTAGGTTGTCATTAGTATAACACAGATGGCGCTATTTATAGTAATAAGATTCTTACCATTTATTACATATTTGGCATTCAAAACTCTTCTTGATGCCCATATGCCGTGCTTCGTGTTTACGCAGCGTAGATGAGTCTCTGCATGAGTAGTCGCAGAAAGAGCATTTGTACGGTTTTGAATCTAGGAGAAACAATGAGATTATTCGCGAGTATTCATTCAAATGAAACTAATATTACTGGATTACTACGCGTATTTTATTATTTTAACTACATACGACAAAGCGTCGGGTTACTTTTCAGCGATAGTGACTACTCGTCTGCCCGTGATTAATTTCGTTCTACGAGAAATTATCTTAAAGTTATTTCAATATAGAGGAAAAATTAATGCATTATGAAAAGTCTATAAAGCTATAGCTATTTTAATAACTAGATTAAAGAAACGTCATCATCATCATCCTATCATAGCCCACTGCTGAGCCTCTTCTCACATGAAGGTTAGGGCATTAATCACCACGCTCGCTCAAGACGGATTGGCGATTTCAAACTATACAAGTTTTTTGTCTATAAAGCGATATAATTCAGCAGTTCACTGATTTAAGATGATCTTAATATTAGTGGCGGTATTTAACTAGAAACAATATTATATTAATAATACTTATACTGTATATTATATAGTCATAACTATATTACATCATGAGAAGAATTTTATCGAGATGTATCGAATATTTTAATCGATAGAACCTTTTCTCGCGTGTGCCTTATCGATCTATCGACTTTAGTTAGTCATACACAATACGACATTCAATTAGCACTTAAATGGTCACGGGCAATCTATTTTAATTGCTTACATTGTTCAAGCCCAGGTAGTGTCCAAAAATTTATATAATTAAAAGTATACGTACAATCTTTGGTTAAACGAAAAGAATAAAGGAGAAATAAAACGTTCAAATCTAATAATAGTTATATTTTTAAGTTTACTTCAATAAGTCCTGTATGACATTAAAACAAACAAAAAATACATTACTTTCCTCTTTAAAATTGATCAAAAAATACATATATAGAAAAAAAGTATACAGAAACTACCTCATACAAAAACGAAATAAAACAAAATTTCTTTATCAAAGAAGAAAAAATTAATCACCATTGTAGATTAAGAAGGACTCTTTACAAACAGACATACTATTAATTGCTTGAAATTAATTTGCATACAAATGATGTCATTTGGCGTTGTTTAATTGCAAAATGACGCAAAGATTTACAGATAATGACAAGGAACGTATACTTCTCATTACTTGTAATATTGTCGCAATTGAAATATTTTGGTAAGACTATCCCTACTAATATTATAAATGCGAAAGTAACTCTGTCTGTCGTCTGTTACGCTTTCACGCCTAAACCACTGAAATGATTTTAATGAAATTTGGTACAGAGATAGAGTTGACCTTGAGAAAGAACATAGAATCGTTTTTATCCCAAACTTTTGAAAGATTCTTTTGAAAACGCGATATAACCGAACTCCACGCGGGCGAAGCTAGTGAAGTTATGAAAAACTTTTTGTGGTTATAAACTATTATTTATTATAATACGAATCTCTATATTCTTTCATATATTACCAATGTTATATATATATGAAAGTCGTGTTAGTTACACTATTTATAACTCTAACGACTGTACGGGTTTGGATGAAGATTGGTGGAGAGATAGATTAGAACATAGAAAGGACATAGGATACTTTACATACGATTGAAAAATAAAATATACTTAATAAATTCCAATATCTGGTTATTAATGCCTTTAAAGCGGAATAGAGTTTGTTCTATCAGCTATACATATATTACTAATTTTTAAATTAACGCGAACGAAGTCGCGGGCAAATAACTAGCTGTCTATACTTTATTGGTCTATCAAAATATATATGATTTTTTTGACATAGGTTGTGATTTTATTCACAGAAGCAAGAGTTTATTGTCAAGATTCCAATGCAAGAGAATGGATGTCCCTCGGATTTACTTGCCCTGTAGTGTGTGCTAGCATACGACGTGCTATAGACAGGTAGACACACAAACAAAAATGTTATTTATATATATATTTTTTTACGCGGTAGAAGTGGGAGCTAGAGGTATAACAGCTAAATCTCTCTACAACCTACTAAAAGACTTGGGCTTGTCCAGAACTCACATTAATGCATTCTTTGAACGTACTTCGAAGGCAGCCCTAGTAGGTTCTTTTCAAATTTGATAGAGAGAGGAGCTTGGTGTTTAACGCGCGTTAGATAAGGCGCAAATTAAACCTACACCTGGGTCACAAGTCCCAGGCACTGTTGAAGCTCCTCTCACTACAACGATGGACCCGACACACACCGTGAATACATGGAATGATGAGAGTTTTCATATATCTTTTCAGCTAAAACTAATATAATAATTCCTTTCAGCCTGATAATGTCAGATTACAAAAACTCATTACACAATAAATTCAGAACCGGCGAAAAATTAACCAATAAACTAGATGATACTTCATATATAGACGATGTGATAGTCAATAATAAGTATAGTAAAGATTTGAGAGTAATTAATAAACAAAATCAGTCTAAAATTGAAGCGAGGTGTGAGAAAGAGAGTAATGAAGATTTAAATAAAAATGATGCAAAAATACGAACTAATAATACGAAGCAATATGAGGCTATATTGAGAAACATCAAGAACGTCAAAGACATTTTACGCAGAAGCAGTACTTCGAAAGATAATAATAAAATAATAAACAAAATGATTGGAAAATGTTGGTATCTGGAGAAATTCACGCCCAAACTGCTGCTTGGAAAGATTGGTTATCGACCGTGTACTAGAAAGTCGAGTTTTGATAGGAAGTTCGTGCAAATAATCACGAACGTTCTAAATAAATACGCAGACTCATATTTCAAATTCACTGAAGAGATGACTGAGGTAAGAAAAATATATATGAAATAAAATATAATTAATTATTAAGAAATAAATAATACTGCAAATATAATATGAGGGCGCTGGTTCGATCCTGGCAAGTACCAATGTGATGTCCCGAGTCATGTGTACTTTATAAGAGTATTTAGACATCACTGATTAATGAAGGAAAACATCGTGAGGAAACATGGACTTACAATCCCTACTAATATTATAAATGCGAAAGTACCTCTGTGTGTCCGTCTGTTACGCTTTCACGCCTAAACCACTGAACTGATTTTAATGAAATTCGGTACAGACATAGAGTTGACCTTGAGAAAGAACATAGGATAGATTTTATCCCAGACTTTTGAAATGTTCTCTTGGAAACACGATATAACCGAACTCCACGCGGACGAAGCTGCGGTCGGAAAGCTAGTAGGCTTATAATGATGATTTTTTATGGTTGTTTTTTCCAGATACTCCTAGAAAGTATTTTCGGCAGCAACACCGACGTAAGGAACAATATATTCGATGTCAATAAACTATTGAAATATCTGAGGAAATCTGTTGACCTACACAAGAATCACGCTGACGGTAGCGTGGTCACTCTCACGTCAAAACGATGCCTGACTCTGTCATTACCGGGATGTTTTTGCAAGCCTGGGTAAGATGTAAAAGAATATAAAAAACATAATATCTTCTTCTTCCTGGCAGTTTCCCAGCTTCAGCCAGGGTCTGCCTTACATGTGCATAGTTTCGGCTAATTGTTTTTACGACCGGCCGCCTGCCTGATATCAATTTCTTGGGAATAACCCTCTAGTCTTAATGATTGGTGTAAAGTAACCGAAACGTTGTCGTATGTAGTTAAAATAATTACGCGGAGTATTGGAAAATATTAGTTTGACTTTACTAGTTTTGAAAATTTTAAGCTTTAAGAGTGAATTGAATCTATCATCAAAAGAATATGATATTGTTGAAGATTAATATATATCGTTTGAAAAACAATAAACTACGTATAAAATATACATTATTGAAAAATTGTTTTATATAAAACCTCTTTACAGATTCGTCGAAAGCTCCGGCCAGTGCGTCCTACCTTCGGATTGCGTCACAGCAGATTACAAACAATATTTGACTAGGATAATAGTAATGTGACTAAAATTTCAAATAAATAACTACTACAATAAAAAAGAATTAAAACTATCAAATCGGAATTATGAGAGAAGATTTTGGATTGTGAAATTAAAAAAACTATTGACATTGACTTTGACATTTGACATTGACAGCACACGTCAAACTTGACAGTGTCAAATCTGCAACACAAACGTCACTCACCCGAATGTATCAGCTCATGCGTTTTAAGGCTGTATGTCGTATTAAAGGACTTCTTGCATACATTACATTTGTGTGGCTTCTCGCCTGAAAATAAAATAACATTAAAAAATATGAACATTAATAATATAATATTAGTTCTTAATTCGTATTGAAAATGAGAAAAATGAATAAAAAGTTTAATAAAATTCCATCTAGACATAATTTAGACAATAATCATACTTTTACAATAGATTTTTATATATAGGACCAGTGGCGGCTGTACCTTAAGTGCACTCGTGCGCTGAACCACCAATTCAAAAGATTTAAAAATTACAAAATATTACTTCATCTTTATTTTTAAATTACCATTTTAATATTTATTTTTTAAACATACAAAAAGGTATAAAAAATTTAATTTCCAATTATGGTCAAAAAGTTTGAGCGCTTTACTTAACTCATATCGTGCGCTTCGGCGAGTGCACGAGGACTGCTAATACATCTTGTATGAGATACGCATTAATACGCCTGACGCGTGAAACAAAAGATAGTTCATAGAAATGTACCGAGTAACGAGTCGGTTCTCGAGCGCCGCACGAGCGGCCGAAGATTACCGAGAGCACCCGATGTATGACGAATTGAGCCATGATTGACATCTCGTTATGTTTTGTTGCATTTTCTAATTTAAATATTTTTGTAAAATGCACCACCAGTTCGATTACAGACCCGCCGCCACTGTATAGGACCAATTTTGGTACATCCATTTATTTGTTATTTCTTTATCTACACAAGATTCTCCCTCTCTCACACACACACACACACACACACAAACAAACCAACACATACATACATACACACATTCCTGTATACATCATTTCACAAGTTTCTTTCTCTCTCTCACACACATACACACATACCTACACGTATTATTCCATAACATTCCCTCTCTTTCACACACACACATACCTGTATGTATCAACATATGCTTCTTCAATATACATTTATAATGGAACTTCTTCCCACAAACGCCGCATTCCTCCGTTTTTTCTCCATGTACTTTCTTCACATGCCTACTAAGATACTTCTTACTCTTGCTTGTGTGTGTACATTGTGTACACGAGAACGGCCTTTCGTTTGTATGTGTGAGTGTGTGGCTTTTCAAGCCTGATTTATCTGAAAATCTCTGTTGGAAATTCATCATCCCATTAAGTGTTGCAAATGCAAAAAAATCGTCATAATTATAATGGCAGCACCGAATATAATCTTGATTTAATTTCTTATTTAATATATATTCTTTATCATCGTCTTAATTAGATGTTGCTATGTACTTTTAAATGCTTTATAAATCAGCAGTATAAAGCAGTTATTGCCATATTTATAACTCAAATCGCAATAATTATTTAATAAATATATTATAAAGATACATGTATCAGCATTTTAACAGGCTGATGAAATATGAACTTATTTTTTATATAAGAATAATGTAAAAAATTGTTTCTGCTAATTTATATTCCAAATAAAACTAATATTTTATTATACTATGCGTTTCTCATTATTTTAACTACATAGTACATACCGCCGACGTTTCGGTTACTTTGCATCAATGATTGAGGGCAGAAATTTTAATCGCAATCAAAACTTAAAAAATCCAAAAATATTAGTTTTATTTCAATAAAAACTCACGAAACTATATCTTTAAATATTATTTCGAAACACAAACCTTCAAACAAATTCCACATTTGTATTCCGTAAATAATTTTCGTTTCGTCGACCTAGTGGCGGTTTTTGGCGCCATTTTTATATACCAACTGACAATCGACTAATCTGTGAATTATTAATTAATTAATTTTTTACCTATATAAATATTACCTTGCTTGAAATAACAATGATAAGAAATTTAACAAAATCATTGATACACAATACATTTAATTTCTTAACTCTTTCTTTTATTATTACATGTAAATGTTCTTTAAGATATTTGTTGTAATATCAAGCAAAAAATGTTTAACAGATTTTGATGAAACTTTACAGTAATGTTGCTGAGATATCAGAATAAGATATAGGCTATAATTATCTCATAATTCCATGTATATCTTACTAGATAAAGGCTTATAGACATGGCTTGGCAAATATTTTTAAACACATTTTATTTCTCTGATTCAAATTTTCTAGTCTATTCAAACAAAGTTGGGGCAAAAGTAGTTAATATCAATGAGGGATTGACCAAAATGTATCAAATACTTCCATCTAGAATTATGTGACCATAAAGTAAGTATGAATGAAAAAATGTTCCAATATTGCAACTTTAATCAAAATTGGCACAGTCAGTCAGAAAGTAAAAATAACAAAATTTAATAAAAATAACTCTTTAAATGTAAGACTGAACATCTGCACGTAACATTAAAAATCATTGAAATTAATTTAAAAAAATGTAGAAATTAATATTATAAATCACACTTACTTAAGAAATCTTCCAATAAGAGGAATTATTCATATAGAGTTAAAACATTAAATAAAATATTATTTCTTCAAACTTTTTGATTATAAATTATTATTATAACTTTTTTCACTAAGCATAGACACTATTTCATTTATTGAACAATAGATTAATAATGTATTTTCTAACACATTGGCAGAGTAATGGAACTAATTTTGTTTAAAAGAGGTTTTAATCAACCTTTCCGGCGTCGGGACGTGACGACCCCATCGCCCACTGGTGTATTCCGGTGCAATCAGTCACGGGGGGGAGGGCTGGGGGTACAGCCCTGGGAGTAAGACGGTCACGGATCTGGCAGGAGGCCGTCCGTGGCTGTCTTGGGGGGGAGGGGATATTCGGGTCTCTCCGGAGGCCTGAGTTCGCTTGTGGTCGGTCGGTTTCCTCTCTGTCTGCCGTCAGGCGCTTGCGCTCGTCGGTGGGTGGTTGGAGACTGGCCGCGTGGGCTTGGGTGGGAGGGGTAAGGGGTTAACCCTCTCGCGATTAAGCAAGCCCGCCAGGCGGGGGGACACTCCTGGTCACTTGGAGTGAGCCCTCGGGGGGGGAGGTGGCCGTTCGCGGCCCGCCGCCGGATCGTCGCGGATGCATGCTTCGGCGTTTCCCGTGGCGATCCACTTGGCGGCAACGGAGAGTGACCGCTGGTGTTTTAGTGGGTAACATGGGCCCTTCTGGCCGTGAATCCCACATAACCGCCTCTGTCTCCCCTAGACGGAGGGGTAGGTATAAAACCTTTCACCGCGATAACAAAAAAAAAAAAAAAAAAGGTTTTAATCAACCTTTTTTCGTATGCAAGGAATACAAATCTATTTTTTATTTTTAATAACTATTGCTTGAAATAAGATATATACTCATGATTTAAAAAGTATTAAATTCTTCATAAAACTTATAAAATTGAAGGTAAAATTGACTTCTGCTTGTAACTTAAAATAAAATTGGTTCCTATATATGTCCTAGCGAAACGCCCGTTAGTGATGGTTTGCGATATAAAATTTATTATCTCACAGCTAATACCTTGTCTCTTTATTACTTATGTGTTTAATTAAAGTAATAACATCAAATTCTACATCATATTCGTGACTTATTCCTTAGAAAATTCCTTGGTAAGCGCAATCTAAAGCTTTTTAAATTACCTTATTTAAATAAATATATTATATATAAAAACTTACCATCAAATCAATTGTACAAACATTTATATGTTTCAGGTATTGTATTCTCTCAATTAAATGCTATTTTCTATGTAGGTATTTTAATAATTTTTTTTTGAATATATATCAGTACGATATTCCCGTCAAATGTCATAAAGTCGGTATTGACTATTGACAGTTTAATGTTTTTGTATGAGCTACTACAAAACTTAGCTAGTCTTAATAATTAATAAGTTTAATTTATATATTATACAAAGTATATATTTTTTTTTCTAAAAACTTAATTAAAGATTAACAAAAATAAACATTTCTTTAAAGTATGACAAATATGACATATATTAAAATCTCTCTATCTAACTGGATATACTAAAATTTATTGAATACAGAAATATCAAAAAATTTCTTCTACAATATAATACAAATATTTATTATTAATTTGAAGCATTATTCTTGTATTTAAATAAATAATTTTATATAACAATGACAATATCAGTATTTTGAATGTCAAATGTTATATTGTCAAGAATCAAGAACAGACTTCAAGTTGGTCATTAGTATATTAAATATTGGCGTTTGTGATTCGCGGCTTATTCGATTTTAATAATATTTTTATCAAGAAAATAACATATTTCTAGCCGAATTATTATTTAATATCTGTAATTTAATACGAAAGTTTAAATTTGATTACCAAAATGTATATATAATGTGTGTAGTTAGAAAAAAATATAATATTTTGGATAACCTTGCGGTATAAAAAAAATATTGTAAAAGTATTTTAATTACTTGTTTTTGTTTCCTATTACGTTGTCAAGGTCAGTAGAATACGCAACCTTTATTTTATTAATTATTTTAACGACATTCTTTAAGGTTAAAATTATGTCATAATGTTTTAAGAATCACGTTTGCAATCGCTGATTGAGCATTTCTGTATTAATTTAGTGTAAATTTCTTTTGAGAAACCTTTTTACATAGAAAAAGAGCTATAAATTACTTAATTTTATTCAACTGTATACAATTTGAGTAAACATATCAATATTACAGAGCTTCTGTATGTTTTTGGTTCGTAAATTCAAATTATCTATTTGTATATGAATAACAGTTAAAATATATACATTTCTATTTTCCAGATCTCATAAAAATGATTAAAACTAGCTTACAAAGCAGATTTTTAAACCTAAGTCATTTTATTAGACAATCTACATGCCCGAAAACTGTATTGTGTTTGTACAGACAGAATCAATTAAGAAATAAATATAGATATCGGAATGTAAGGATATATTCCACTCAAAGCGATCAGCATCGTCAGAAAGCCGTTATAGAGACGACAACACCGAAAATTGTTATAGACAAAATAAAAGTAGAGAAAATTTTGCCGGAGGAAAAAATACAGTCTGGGTTAACATTGCTGTATCAAGAGAAAATTACACCATACATACGTTTAGCAAGATGGGATCGGCCTATAGGTGAGAAGAAAAATCGACAAAATAATATCCATTGTTAAAAAAATATATTATGATTAAAATTATTGTTTAACGATACAAAAATCACTTGTTATTTAAATAAAACTAATATTTTTCGGATATAATACGCGAATTTATGTTTCAAAAACTACATACTCCCGATGTTTTGGGTAGTTTTCAGTAACTGTGATTATGATTAGTTTCATTTAAATGAATAGTTCTGAAAATCTTAGATTTAATTACTTGTAATACAATATTCAGTAACATAGACATTATACAATATTCAGTAACATTTTTATTATAGTAACGTAATTCAATATTACTAGATTTTTTCCATTTAGAACTAATTCTGGAATGGAATAATTTCCATTCGGAATGCTTGAATTCCAGGTGTGTATTTATTATACTGGCCATGTGCTTGGTCAATATCCTTGGCATCTTTATCGGGTACAGTGCCCCCAATAGCTACAGCGGGGACAGCCTTATTGTTCCTAGTTGGTGCCGGCCTGATGCGAGGTGCTGGTTGTACTATCAACGATTTATGGGATCGTGATGTTGATGCCCAGGTAATTTATCCAAAGCTTTAAAGTATAAATTTGGCAGAGAGAGGAGCTTGGACATTGGAGGTGAGTGTTGGCGTTAGATAGGGTCCCTTAAACCTACACCTGGGACACAAGTCACAGTCACTGTTGAAGCTCCTCTCACTACAATGATGGACCCGACACACGCACCGTGAATACATGGAATGATGAGAGGTTTCGTTAATATACATAAAGAACTACTAACTGTAGATTCACTGATAATAAAATATATGAGTTAAACTATGTATGCCAATATGTATATTAATTTATCTATATATGTCCCCCTCTACCTGGCAATTTCCCAGCTAAAGCCAGGGTCTGCCAATGTATGTATATATGTATGTTACAAATATCACTAAATTCCTATCAAATAAGAACATATCTCTATATTTGTCAACTAAGTTTCTTCCAAGCAACTAATCTTCATATTATTCATTTTAACTACCAACTATTTGTATTTAGTTTACAAAAAGACTCATACTAAGCTTATTTCTATTTCCAGGTTGAAAGAACAAAGGATAGGCCGTTGGTATCCGGAGCGATATCTCAAAGACAGGCGATTGGTTTCTTGGCTATGCAGTTGAGTTTGGCTCTCGGAGTTCTACTGCAGTTAAATTGCTACAGTGTTGTGCTCGGTGCTAGTAGCTTAGGTGAATATCTTTATATATATAATTCTTCTGTGAGTGTGTATGTCACTGAACTTCTCTCAAACGACTTGACCGATTTTGATGCATTTTTTGTGTGTGTTCAAGGGGATCTGGGAATGGTTTAGATTCACAATTTTGTCCGCTGGATAATGTTTTTTTAATTAATTTTTAATTTATTAGTAGTTGTTGATACAAACGTTTTTTTTACATTAGATTTGACAAGTAACTAATATATCAATCATTCTGTCGCACTTCAAAACACGGAGATTTATGGCTTTAAAAGGTAAACTCCAAAGATATTAATAAAGAAACGTAACAGATATTTCTTGATTATAGGGTGATACGAAGTTCGCCGGGTCTTCTAGTATTTTATATACTTACTAATAATTTTCATTGTAACTACATATGTAGCTAAACAGTTTATCATTCTGTAGTATTAAATAAGAGTATATTAAAGTCGTGTAAGTATAGTGGTAAGTATCAAACTGAATGGCAGTAACTAATATAATAAAGTGTTCTGCCTACATTACACTTGACATACTATTATTATAACAATACCAAGCAAGCATAACTAATACATAACATATATAACTCATTTATTATTATTAATGTGGATTGAATGAGAGATCTGAGATTTATTACTGTTTGTTTTGTTGTGTTTTCAATTGTGACACAATTTATATATTACATAATATATGTACATAATATATGTATATATTGGCAGCGATAAATATTCGTTAAAATAAGATATAATTTAAATTATTTACATAATTAAAAATTTTAAAAGTTGTGATATAGAAACATTAATTTTTCTGCATTTTAAGGATGCAGCTTATTTTTTTTCTCAAGCTTAAATTTTGGTCCTTTAATTAATCGAAATACTTTAACTTAACTTTTTTTTTGACTGTATATACAGGGTGACTGGTGAATTACTATCGATACTTGAGGACGTGATATTTGACGATCATATATGACAAAATAAAAATTAATATAACATAAATATTAATAAACTTCTAAGTAAAGCTAACCAAAAGTTATGTAATTAATTACGCATCGAGTGAACACCCTACAGATTAGGTATACACACACACTCACACATACGCGTTTGGCGGCGGAGTGTTGTATCAGCACGCCGCCGCACGCGTCCACACTTGGAACACTTGGAACGTGTCAACACTTTATTTATTTATACGGAAATTTTGTCAAAAATTAAGTGCCTATTTTTTTACATAATTCGAATGAGAATCGTGTACCGAGTATTCTCCTTAAATATTGATAGTAATTCACCAGTCACCCTGTATATTATACTTTTTTACATTAGCATGAATAATAGCAATGTTCTGGTAAACATATAGTTAATAATTTCGTCCACTCGCCACGAGCTGGCGCTGCTTATAAAGAACATTCTAGAATTTTCTATTCAGTCTTTAAGAAAATCTTTAAGGGAGCAAAATTATATATATTTATTTAGGATTGTAACAAAATCCTTATAAAAATATAGTTTTCTTATAAAGCCAGTACTTTTAAATAATAATAAAACCTTAACTAGAGCAAACTAATTATTATCTCATACCAAAACACCTTAAATGATTTAAATTCTATTTACAATAATACAAGTCGTGTTCACAACATACTTTCCCGCGTTAAAAGAGAATAAGCCAAGCGCCAAGCTTTAATATTACTTCGGATGCGTTCGGGAATATAAAGGTTCGGTTCGGATAAAAAAAGTGTGTTCCCTAAATATATATTAATGAATAATTTTATTTATTTTTCCAGTTCTAGTCATAATATATCCGTTGGCCAAACGTTTTACCAACTACCCACAACTGTTTCTTGGAGCTACTTTCAACTGGGGTGCTCTGCTTGGTTACTCAGCTATATGTGGTCACCTGGATTTGTCTGTGTGTTTGCCGCTCTATATATCAGCTATGGCTTGGACAGTGCTATACGACACTATATATGCACATCAGGTTAGTTTAACATATATATTCCACTCTCTATAATTCAAAGTCATCATGAGTTCAGTACAAAATCAATACTAATATTATAAACTAGCTTTTGCCGCGACTTCATCCGCGTGGAATAGCGACTTCCAGCAGATTTTTGGTTCTTCCCACATAGTTCCCATTCTTGCGGGGTTTTCGGAATGGTCGAGTTCCCGCAGAATTTTCAGGATAAAACCTGTTTTCTTTATTCACAAAGAAGTACTCTTAACCAACAACATATTTATTTGTTTATTTGAATAAAGATTAATATTATTATGTTGATACAACTTAAACAAATTATCTCGACCAAATTAGTTACCATAAAAACGGTTTTTGTGAGTTAATCTTAAAAGATAGACATATACTGTCGCGAACTGTTTTTTAGATCATTAAATGAGCTATTATTCTTTAATACATATTTTTTGTGTATCTTGAACCGTTTTCACGGCTCACGCAACGGAAGACTTCAAAGATGAAATAATTTCTCCCGTTTTTTACACATTTACCACTATATCTTTGCTCCTATTGGTCCTTCCTCGATAACTGGACTACCCAACACAAAAAGAATTATTAAATTCGAACCAGTAGTTTCGGAGATTAGCGCTTTCAAACAAACAAACAAACTCTTCAGCTTTATAATATTAGTATAGATTCGAAAGTAACTCTGTCTGTCTGTTTAGCTTTCAAGCCTAAACCACTGAACTGATTTTAATGAAATTTGGTACAGAGATAGAGTTGACCTTGAGAAAGAACATAGGATAGTATTTATCCCAGACTTTTGAGAGGTTCTCTCGGAAACGCGATATAACCGAACTCCACGCGAGCGAAGCTGCGGGCGGAAAGCTAATTTTTAAATTATTATTCATCAATACTTAATAATTCGAAGTTTACTTTTTCACAAATTTCGAACCATTTTATATTTCAATCATTCGAATTATTTAAAGAGTCCCTCGAATTTGTATAACAAAAAAATATAGTTGTCTTATAAAGCCAGTACATACTTTTAAATAAATCAAACCTTAACCAGAACAAACTAATTATTATCTTAAACCAAAACACAAGTCGAACAAACAGAGTGAACAAAACAAATGACATATATGTATATATGTATTATATATTAATTCCAGGATAAACAAGACGATGCACGACTAGGCATCAAATCCACTGCCCTTACATTCGGTGATCACACCAAGCAAGCTCTAACAGCGTCGCTAGCTGTTAGTTTATGTGGTCTAACTCTTGCCGGAGTGAATGCAGGATTAAACGGATGGTATTATATGGGGCTTGGAGTGTATATGATGCATGCTGGGAGACAGGTTAGTTGATATATATATATACTAGCTGCGCCCCGCGGTGTTACCGAGATTTCCGGGATGTAAAGTAGCCTATATATTATTCCTGGACGTCAGCTTCCTGTATACAAAATTATATCAATATCGCTTCAGCCGTTTGAGCGTGAAGAAGTAACAAACAAACATACACACACACTCAGAAACTTTCGCAATTATAGTATTAGTAGGATATATATATTATTATACTAGTTTTTGCCTACGACTGCATCCGTGTTAATTTAGGCATTAGTAATATATGTATAGCTGACTGATAACTCCATATCGCCATAGAGGGGATAAATAACCAGATATTGGAGTTTATTATTATTTTTTATTTTTCAATCCCATGTAAAGTACCCTATGTCCTTTCTATGTTCTAATCTATCTCCACCAATCTTCATCCAAACCCGTGCAGTTAGAGTTATAAATAGTGTAACTAACACGACTTGCTTTTATATATAAAGATAATTTAAATTAAACTATGATTCTCTGATACGTACTGTCTTTCATCCTTACAAATATAAATTAACATAAAAAATAATTGATCCAAAAAGCCTACTTTCATTTAAAATCTGTATCTTTTATATATAAAGCAAGATTACTATCAGTGATAAACATCTTATATGTCTGAATCTAGTGTTTATGTTAATGCAATAGCAAAAACTTAATAACACTTAAACAAATACTTCAAGAATAATGTTAAATGATTACCATCAAACTGACAGTTTGTTAGTTATATTTTGATAGTATGAAATATTTGTTTATACATATTATATCATATATGCATGGGTTTGTAATGAAAATAGGGTTTTCATTTAATTACTGTCACAGTTATGTAACTGGAACATGGTTTTATTGAGTATATACTTGAACTACAACCAGTGGCGGCTGGTGGGTAATCGAACTGGTGGTGCATTTTACAAAAATATTTAAATTAGAAAATGCAACAAAACATAAGGAGATGTCAATCATGGCTCAATTCGTCATACATCGGGTGCTCTCGGTAATCTTCGGCCGCTCGTGCGGCGCTCGAGAACCGACTCATTACTCGGTACATTTCTATGAACTATCTTTTGTTTCACGCGTCAGGCGTATTAATGCGTATCTCATACAAGATGTATAAGCAGTCCTCGTGCACTCGCCGAAGCGCACGATATGAGTTAAGTAAAGCGCTCAAACTTTTTCACCATAATTAGGAAATTTCATTTTTTATACGTTTTTATATGTTTAAAAAATAAATATTAAAATGGTTATTTCAAAATAAAGATGAAGTAATATTTTGTAATTTTTAAATCTTTTGAATTGGTGGTTCAGCGCACGAGTGCACTTAAGGTACAGCCGCCACTGACTACAACATAACATATATATAGTTCTAATTCTTGTGTCCATTTCTTATCTATACTTTCAAGGTGGTAGAGCCTAGCTGTGGTGAGTTACTGCAGCTCGAACATGGGCTGGCTCGACCGGGGAAGTACCACCCTCTCACAGAAGATCGGCGTGAAGTAGCCTTTACCGGCTGCGTTTCGTCTGATGAGTGAGAGAGCCGGTTGCCCTCTCCCTATTCCTACCCTTTCCCTTCATTTCCTTATTCCCTCCCCTCCCTATCGCCAAAAAACAAGGTTGGTAACGCATCCGCAACAAAATGTTGTGGATGTCCATGGGCGACGGTAACCACTTTCCATCAAGTGGGCCGTCTGCTCGTTTGCCTCCTTTAACATAAAAAAAAAAAAAAAAAAAAAATACTAATATTATAAAGCTGAAGAGTTTGTTTGTTTGTTTGTTTGAAAGCGCTAATCTCCGAAACTACTGGTTTGAATTGAATAATTCTTTTTGTGTTGAATAGTCCAGTTATCGAGGAAGGCTTTAGGCTATATAACATCACGCTACGACCAATAGGAGCAAAGATATAGTGGTAAATGTGTAAAAAACGGGAGAAATTATTTCATCTTTGAAGCCTTCCGTTGCGTGCGCCGTGAAAACGGTTCAGGATACACAAAAAATATGTGTTAAAGAATAATAGCTCTTTTAATGATCTAAAAAACACTCCGCGACAGTATATGTCTATCTTTTAAGATTAACTCACAAAAACCATTTTTATGGTACCTAATTTGGTCGAAATAATTTGTTTAAGTTGTATCAACATAATAATATTAATCTTTATTCAAATAAACAAATAAATATGTTATTGGTTAAGAGTACTTCATTATGAATAAAATAAAAACAAAGGTTTTATCCTGAAAACTCTACGGGAACTCGACCATTCCGAAAACCCCACAAGAACGGGAACTATGTTGGAAGAACCAAAAATCTGCCATAAGTCACTATTCCACGCGGACGGAGTCGCGGCAAAAGCTAGTATAAAAATAATAGTTTTTTATTAAATACATATAACAACATACTATAACTTACAATGTCTATCAATCTCTGTCTTCCAACAAATCTTTAAAAATAGATTAATAGTGATGCATTTTAATTAACAAATAGATATTATAAAAGTGTAATATATACTAATATTCTTTACAGATCTACACACTGAATCCAGATAATCCCGCTGACTGTGCTGACAAATTCAAATCAAATTCAATGGTTGGTCTCATAATACTACTCGGCATACTTGCTGGTGGCTATCAACAATATTTAGATAATAGAAAGAAGAATCAAGGCAAAGACACTATAGATGCTACCAGATCATGTGTTTTTGGCTAAGCCTGGCTGACTGCCAGCAAATACCAAATATTAACATACCTAAGTGAATATCAGTGTAGTGAAAAACTAGAATAGTGACAGTGTTGTGCTAATTTTTATTTTTTGTATATATATAATTATTTGAGAGATATTTCTCTCATATTTCGCTCGTCGCATAATCGGCATTATCTTCTACCTGGCAATTTCCCAGCTTCAGCCAGGGTCTGCCATAACAATCATATACATATTTGGAATTATATAGCATAAAAAGGTAAATAATTAAGAAAATCATTATGTATGTACAGAATTCTACAATTCTTTGTAAGTTTCTTATCTTTAGTTCCAGAACGCGTTCCTGAAAACCAATTAATGGTTGATTTTAAAATCGCATTAAGCGATTTTTTTGTGTTATAGTTTTGGTAGCCGTGTCTGTGGGGCCGGCTATCTTGTTGCCATATATAAGTCGATTTATTTATGTGTGTACAAACAGGCTGTGATTAATAATGTACAGTCTCAGAATGTATATACGGTAGTTAATATTTAATTTATTTTGATAATATGATTATCTTTATATATATGTATAAAAATGATTAATAGCATGTGGAGTCATTTCACACAAGTGAAACTTCGTTATGTTGGAATGAAAACAGGAATAGAAATAGATTTTTAAGGAATCTTTAGTCTTTATTTAAAACAAACTTTATTAACATTACTTACAAGTCTCTATTGATTGCCTTAGCGTTAGAGCTACACGCATTAACTATTGCTCTGTCTTTTATTAAAGTAGCGTTAAACGTTTAACGCAACCTTGTTGAAAGTTGCATAAGAAGTTTCACTTCATAACACAATTGTTCACGAAATTTTGTTTTAAATATACCATTATGTTTAAAAAAACGTCAAACTGGCGGTTTTTACTTCAACGAAGACGTTTATTAAGTGTCTTGTGCTATAAATATATATAAAATGCTTTGTTGCTACTTGTGAAATTAGTTACTAGTGTGTAACAGGCCTTATTTAAGAAAATGATCCAAATATTAGATTAATTCGTAATATAACTTAGATAATAATAGATTTTATATATTTAAAATATTTTGTTATTAATTTAATGTAAATATTACACGTTTGTTGTAAATAAATTGTTTTCTTGCCGTATTTACGTCTTATTTATACTTTTCCTAATAACACACACACACGCACGCTCGCGCACGCACATAAATATGTATACTTTGCTTGCTTAACCTTGACTCTTTGGATAATTAATTTGTGAAAACGAATTAATTATTATTATCGTGCTATAATTTGGTCTCTAGACTAATTATATCCGATTCAAACTATTAAAGTTTAGCCGTTAAGAGAATGCGTACCTGATATATGCGTACCTATCAGTAAGTCACAACATAACACTGAGTTCGTTACCTTTCCTATAAAACTAGCCTCCGCATTATTTTTAAGATTATTTTCGTTTTAAATTGGCGGAATCATTTAAACTTTATATTTTGTTTATTTAAGAATTAAGTGGAAACCAAAAAAAGGTATTCCCTACTAATATTATAAATGCGAAAGTAAGTCTGTCTGTCTGTTACGCTTTCACGCTAAACCACTGAACTGATTTTAATGAAATTTGGTAGACAGAGTTGACCTTGAGAAAGAACATAGAATAGTGTTTATCCCGGACTTTTGAAAGGTTCTCTTGGAAACGCGATATAACCGAACTCCAAGCGGGCGAAGCTGCGGGCGGAAAGCGAGTACTAATATAAAAAGTAAAACTGTATAAGAACAGAATACGATACTATCATTGCCTGTTATTTATTCTTTTTTCATTTTTCTTGGGTCAAATTAAGTAATTCAAATTTCACTCTCTTCCTGTCAACCGATTAATCTGAAATTTTGTTTACACTTCGGATTTTGGTGACAATACAATTATGTTTATTCATTATCATTATAAATTCAAGATGACCGCCGCTACATAATGGCGGATAATTTATGTTTTACCAATACCATCAATATGGGTATCAATTGAAAGTGCTCAACCAGTAGATTACAATGTACTATAAAAAATTGGTTGTTTGTAAAGTGGGTTTACGATCGAGATGTTTACGTGATAACGTCTTATTGGTAATATAAGTTTTTGGGAAGTAAGGAATTAATGAAGATAACAATTTTTTCAAATTTCAAATTACATCTATCGGTTTATTCACACTTTTGATGATAAATTTCGGGTGTAAAATGACAAGTTAAACGTTCTGTTAAACATTCAACGAAAACTTAACCGCACGAGAAAATCTCCATTCGTTTGTATGCCGCTAGAGTGAGAGAGACGGAAGATCGGTCCACTCACTCGAACGCTATGCCTACCTCCGCTCGTGAGGATTCCGCGTGACAAGTTTCACGGAATGTCTGGCAGCGCTCGAGATGAGACGGGAGATCGGTTCGTCTCTCTCTCGTTATACCTGCGATCGCGCTCGTAAGGTTTTGGTGTGACACAAGTTTCTGAACATGTCACCCGACTAAAACGATTTTAAAGACGTTATCACCTCAAAAATTGAAATCCAAGATGGCGGCCGCTACAAAATGGCGGATAACTTAGGTTTTATCAATCCCATCAACATGGGTATCAAATGAAAGGTTTCAACAAGTAGAATACAATTTACTATGCTAAATTGAAATCTAAGATGGCCGCCGCTACCAAATGGCTGATAACATTTTTTTAGAGGAGTTGGATTGCAATAAACTAACGGGCAAGAAACATTGCAATAACGAAGCATAAATGAATTAAACAGAATGCAAAATAAAAACTAAAAACTAGAAAATAAAAATAGGTAAAAAAACTTTTTAAGTTAAAAGGTTTTACGTGAAACATACATTGCAATGTTTAAGATAAATGAACTAAAAACCAAAAAATAATAAAATAGATACAGTCGTGGCAATTATAAACATATGGACAGACTAGACTAAAATAAAAGCGTGGGGCACATCAATTGTCTGCAATCGTTGATTAAAATGTTTGTTTTGTAATGTTACACTTTAATTAGGCAGTTGTAATTTCCATGAGCAAGAAAATAGTAAGTAATTTCCTCACCGTCTGCGGGCCAACTGCCTAACGACGAATTAAACGATTCTTCTATCGCACATTAAGTCGATAATTTATTATTTTTTGGTTTTTTGTATATTTATCTTATTTTATATAATTTTTCACTAAAGCAATTCCCGTGTTTCTCCTCTTGTCTATGCCTCAATCAATACTCACAACTCTAAGCTCGCAATGGCGTCCTTATGACAATGACTTATTTTAAAACCGTGTGAACGCTCAATAATTTTGTCTTTACATTAATATAATATATCTAAAATGTTTCGTACATCATACGAGTTGAGTAGCAGAACTGTGATTGATACGGGGAATCCATCGTACGACCCCGATCAGGTTTACGACTGTGATATGTGTTCGGACGGCGGCTGGTGTAGCGAGACAGAAGTGAATATTCATAAAAATAATAAACACAGCAAAGAACGCGACGCTATTACCACGGACGAGACGAAACACGCTTGCAAGGTAATATATTTAATTCCTCTTCTACCTGGCAGTTTCTCAGCTTTTAGTCAGTCTGCCTTACATGTTGTGAATAGTTTTGGCTAATTGTTTTTACGACCGGCCGCCTGCCTGATATCAACCCTCTTTTGGGAATAATATATTTAATTATATAGCAAATATATTTATATTATAGGTAAAATTAGTATTTTTCGGTTTTACTACGCGACTTTATTTAAAAAAAATCCATATACTCCCAACGTTTCAGCTACTTTAAAGTAACCGTGATCATGGGCAGACGAGATTTGTAGAGAGACTTACTTTGAGTTGAGCCTAAAAATTGTTCAATTCTTGTCGAAATATACTGAGCTGTAAATACGGCTCATAAATGAATTAATCGCGAAATACTACAAATTTTTGATACTTTAAGGTAACTCAAAATGCATCTCTTTTCTTCTTCTACCTGGCAATTACCCAGCTTTAGCCAGGGTCTGCCATAAATAGTCATCTCTTTTGTCGGGATAATATTATGTAGAACTGACGTTACTCTATAGCAATGCTTTTCAATTTTTTTGATATCTCGACCCCTTTAAGAAAAATTTTGGCCACACCCTTGTGTTGTAGACAGGCAAGGAAATTAATAAATTGAAATTCGAAAGACATTAAAGTTAAAAACATTTTCTGCCATAGTGGATATAAAAACAAAGAGGAAAAAAAAATCAATTACAAGCTGATTTAATAGTTAATACTTCAAAAATATCACCACAATTTGACCTGCTTTTGAAAAATAAACAAGTTGCAATGACAGCGACATGAATTCTCATATTTGTGTATATATTTAATTATAATCCATTTATGTCTATTGATAATCTCTTAAATCTTCTAAAATTTATATACACACAATGTGTAACATCTCAGCTTTAAATTTAACAAAAATATATACTTCCCATCGATATATCTAAATAAACAATTTGTTAAAAGTATAATTGATAAATATTGGTGGCATCTACTCCAAGGTAAATAAATATTAATAAGGATTTTCGTTAAAAGCCTCATAGATAGCATCTGTCTTCATATGTCAGTTAAAGAAACAAAACGTCTCATCATTCAATGTATTCACGGTGCATGTGTCGGGTCCATCGTTGTAGTGAGAGGAGCTTCACCAGTGACTGGTACTTGCGACCCAGGTGTAGGTTTAAGGGACCCCTGTCTAACGTTAAACGCTCACCTCCACCATACAAGCTCATCTCTCTAATTAACCAAAAATTGGTATATACTATAATATAATATTGCAAACATACCGTTGATGAGGGTAGGTTTGAGTCCTACTTATGTCTATGACTTTTTATTACATATAATCTTATTTAAATTTTAATTTACTTCATATACTTTTCAATATATTTTAATAACTATTATACTAATTTTAATGTTTCTTTCTTATATATATTTTACTGAAAAAGCGGGAACTATGGTAAATCTTAAGATTTACATTAAAACTATGGATTTTCATAATAAATAAACTAGTATCAATGGTTTGGCAATTTAAAATATGCAGAATTTTATTTCATTATATGCCAGGTGTCATCTAGCATATAATATTAGATGTTGGTTTTAAGAATAAATAAATGAGGAATTCTTTATTATTTACTACTATAAACTTAATATAACCTTTTTGGATATTTACCACTGCTTATTTTCCATACAAATATTCTCAAGGACGATCTACAAATCTCGTGTATGTATACTAGAATGTTTGTGTATGTGTGTGTAAAAATAACACATGCATAGTGTTTAAGAAGCACTTATTATTTTGTATTGTTTAAAATCTCGTAGAAAGTCCGTTAATTGTCAAATGAAATGCGGCTCTCTGATTGGTCGGTAAACTGTTCATATATTTTTTTCCGCCATTTTATTATTATTGAATATTGTCATTTGTCTTTCTAAGCGCAAGTTTATAAGTTTTAATTAGTAAATAGTGGATTAATTTATTAACAAATTATGGGAAATTATAGCTGTAAGCTGGTGATATGTGTTTATTGAAATTAGTTACGAGTAGATCTTCAATATTGTCGTTTGATAATAAAATTAAAATACCTAAGTCTAAAGTCAAGGTGTGCGACCAGTTGAGATTGAACTAAAAGAAAGGTAATATTAATCGTTTTAATAAAAAGTATAACGATAGTTTTAATTAGTTAGCAGGTTGTGTACACACGAATAAGTTATTTTGTTTGCCTTGTTCGTTATTTTCAAATGATAATATTAAGAATGTTTGAATCTCCACTGGATTTAAATAACTTTTATAAAGCTGTTATGAACAGATCGTAATCGTTTTAAGATACTTTCGTGGCTCAGAGGTAGTTGAGAGATTCATAAAGTATATAGATGTTCGTTCTGATCGGACTGCTGTAACATTATGCGCGAATATTATAAATGTTTAAATGAAACTAATATTTTCAGATTACTTCGCGTATTTTATTATGTTTAAAAACTACAAACTCCCGACGTGTCGATTAGTTTGCAGCAACCGTTATCATGGCAGACATCTTGTCTACCCGTTAAAAATAATAAAAATATTAGTTTAGATTATAATATTGATACAATCTTTGCATTTATTATATTGTATAGTTTCAATTACAAATTAACAATATATGAAAGTATATATGATACTTATATCAAAGTAGTTCTTCAAAAGTAGTCCTAGTAGGTTCGTCTTAAATTGTGTTAGGTAGAGAGAGGAGCTTGTACGGTGGAGGTGAGCGTTTAACGTTAGATAGGGTCCCTTAAACCTACACCTGGGTCACAAGTCCCAGTTACTGTTGAAGCTCCTCTCACTACAACAATGGACCCGACACACGCACCGTGAATACATGGAATGATGATCTCTAAAATACAATAAATCATTCAATGTGTCTCAAGTAATTTAAATTAATATTTTGCTCTCTATTTTTCTCATCACTTTTTTCTGTATCAAAAGGCTTCTTAAAATTAATTTATTTGTAGGTAAAGAGTAAAAGTGATTGTCACTCACAAATATTATAAGTTTAATTAGATTTTACCTTTTATTATTTTAAGAACTATTGAATATTATAAAACTGGTGACTAATTATGTAAAGCTTAATATATATTATGTATATATGCAAATTTACATGATACAAAAGCATAACATCATAACTTAGAAAGTTTAAAAATACTTCTTTTAAATGAAACTAAAATTTCTGATACAACACATTTTTATTTTATTAAAACTACAAACTGCCTATGTTTTACAAATATAAAGTGTTGTATTTTAGTGTTATTCTTAGTTTTTCTTTAAATTTTTCTATGTTCTTACCTATCACTTATTTTTTTCCAGATCTGTGTCATACCTCACAAAAACGAAGAGGAATTACTGAAGCATATAAAAACACAACATCTACTAAGTTTCGAGGATGCATACAGAGTTGAACGTGATATATTCATATGCAATTACTGTTCACAAATATTCTTCAATAAACTTCAATTGGCCGTTCATATAACTTATTGTCATATCGACAAGGAAAACGGTGTTGTGACCTGCCCGCGTTGTTTTAAAAGTATTCGTATAAAATCTATATGGATACATTATGAGAAACACAATATACAGAGTGTGTCTTCATGCAAGATATGTTTGGACAAATGCAAAAATAGAGAACATTTGAAAGAACACATAAAATCACACCTACCCTACTATAAGTGTGAAATGTGCGGGTACATGGCGAAGAAACACGATTTATTCCAGCAGCACATAAAGACGTTGCACAAAGACGACGAGGTTGTGGTTAAGGAGGGTAGATATAAAAAATATTTTGCTCCCCAAGTGTTGCATTGGAGCAGAAAATTACAAGGGATATCAGCATTCAGAGGTCTCTATTTACAAGATTATATACGTGTTTGTGTGCTCTGTAGGGAAATATGTACAAGCACAGAATCAATGAAGCATCATATACTGGTTGAACATAATAAATATAAAATTATGAAGACAGTGTTTTTGTGTAATTGTGGTGAGAGTTTCACAAATAAAGTGCTGTTTAAACATCATCTTTTCAAAATGAAAGGTCATAGAGAAGTGAGTGGTGGGTGAATAAGTTTTTTTGGACAGTTAGACATTTACACGATATGTATTTAATTGTAATATAAGTTTTTTGCATGATCGACAGAAAAATTGGACTTGTAAGTTATTAAAATTATGCTTATTTTCTAACTCCATAGCTCTCGAAGCGAGAATTTATAATATTTTTCTGATTTTTATTTAATATAATGTCAAATGTAAAAAATATTTTGTGAATATAATTTCATCAAAATCAAATGCCTGATACCTACCATTTTTTTCGGACAGTTAGACATTCACATGCTATGTATTTAATTGTAATATTAAATGAAAATCAATGACTAAGTTTTTTGCATGAGCGTCAGAAAAATTGGACTTGTAAGTTATTGAAATTATGCTTATTTTCTAATTCCATAGTTCTCAAAGTGAGAATTTATATATATTTTTGATTTTCATTTAATATTATGTCAAATATAAAAAATATTTTGTGAATATAATTTCAGTCAAATCAAATGCCTGATACCTACCATTTTTTTCGGACAGTTAGACATTCACATGATATGTATTTAATTGTAATGTTAAATGAAAATCAATGACTAAGTTTTTTGCATGATCGTCAGATAAACTGGACTTGTAAGTTATTAAAATTATGCTTTTGTTTTATCTCCATAGCTCTCGAAGTGAGAATTTGTATATTGTTTTGATTTTTGTTTAATATAATGTCAAATGTAAAAATATATTTTGTGAATATAATTTCAGTCAAATCAAATGCCTGATACCTACCATTTTTTTCGGACAGTTAGACATTCACATGCTATGTATTTAATTGTAATATTAAATGAAAATCAATGACTAAGTTTTTTGCATGATCGTCAGAAAAAATGGACTTGTAAGTTATTGAAATTATGCTTTTTTCTAATTCCATAGTTCTCGAAGTGAGAATTTATATTTTTTTTTTTATTTTTGTTTAATATAATGTCAAATGTAAAAAAATATTTTATGAATATAATTTCATCAAAATCAAATGCCTGATATATAATTAAAGAATTAATAAATATATTCAATATATAAATAAGATTTTTTGTCACCAATTTCCGATGTAACATTTGTTTTAATTGTAAAATTTAAGCTAGTACATAAGTATTTTTAATATAATGTTATTTTTTTAATGTTATGCTGTGTATAAGTAATATAAATGTAACATAGGTACAGTAAACTCCTAAATCTAGTCTATTTTTCTTTCATAGAGGTTTTTTCAATACTCACTAACCCCAAACAAAATGGTTCAGTCTTACTTATGAAGATCTATAATAATATAGTAAATGAGTTTCAAGTAGAGACAAAATACATAAGAAATTGTGTTGGTAGTTCATAATACACATGTACCTATTTGTGAAATAATAACTTAATATATAAATTTAAATTTATTATAATATGTTCATTGAGACCAGTTGAATTTATATACCAAAAATGTTCCAATTGTTGTGGGCTTAAATATGTCAAGTTTATAAATTAAGCTTTAAAATTATACTTGTCTCATTTATTAAGGCAATTTTATGGTGGACATGTTAAAAAAATGCAATATACTTGTAAGTAGATATACAGAATGTATTAAATAGGAAAAGGTAATACAATCATGTTTAGGAGTTAGTCATTATTGTAACCGATTGGTTATTCGTTTGTAGTGGTTGAGGGCAGGGAGGGGTAACGTGATATTTTGTCATAAAAGAGGCATTATTCATAAAATAATATTGAATTCACAATTTAATTTAAATTAGTTGTTTTGTGTGTAATACCATTATTAGGGTCTGTCTGTTTCGTTTCGGTAGCGACATTAAATGTTTAGATGAATTCAAAAAATTGTATTGATTGGGCTAACATCTCGTAAAAGAATACTCGGGTTGAGGTGAGCTTTTCATAGCAAAGTCTGTGGTGTTTCTGCGTTGTTTAGTTTGTTTAGTCTCGATGGTAGGTGAGATTTTTACATGCGGTCTAGTTTTCATGATATTTTGATGGCTATCATTTGTAAGGGAATTAGTCTTTATAAAGGAATTAGTGGGTAAAGGGAAATTAATGGTTAAAGGGGAGATTAATGGGTAAAGGAGAAATTAATGGGTAAAGGGGAAATAAATAGGTGAAGTTGTCCTTCATTAAATGGGTGAATGGGTAGGATTTCTGGATTATTTGTGGTTTCTGCAAGCGCAAAATCTTCATCAGTTAATACATTTTGAACTATTGGCCGGATACAGTCGCTCTATATGTAATCTATAACAGTTGTCATTGTGGCTTCTCGTAAAAGCTTGTCTGAACAAGTCTTAAAGCCATTTCTTAATTTCATTTCTATACTACGTGCTGAGAGGTTTCATGATTCTTATTCAGTGTCTCTTTCTGGTGAGTGCAATGCTACGGAAAACAATAAAGTCACTCCGTTTTCTCTAGTCACTTCTATCACCTGAAAACATTTGACACAAGTTGCGTGCCAGTCGAGCAGTAAAAGAACTAGTTTTTTCGATGCATTTGATCACTCTATAGATATTTTAGACCTGAGTAAAAACGGATTACCCTGGATCCAACTTGATTGATGACATTCTCAGCGTGATCCGGCTGGTAATCGAGTGCTTGTTTCATAAGCCGTCTGGGGAATATGAAAAGTGGAAGCGTATAATTACAGACATCGTTGAAACAAACAATCGCTGTCTTTAATTCTCCCCTTTTAGTTGTGGTAATGCAGCCTTGGTGTTTCAGATTATTTCTGGTGGGTTTATATTTTCTTTGACCCATTGAGCAATCCAAAGCATGGATGTTTCATCTCCCTCTTTTGTCTCTTAGATAGCGTGTGTCGAAGCTGTGTCTTAGCTTTATGAGTTGTGGGTCTATCATTCTGAAAGTATATACTACATAGATACATTTGCAATAGATACTTGTTGCAACAGTACAAAAAATTTGTTTATTATGTCAATATACCGCTCGATAGTCACTGTGAGTGTTGCACCCTTAGCCCAAAGCAAAGAAAAATGGATCAGTGATTTTGTTTACCGATATTGCAAACTATTTAGTTTCTCGTGATGGTAGAGCCTAGCTGCGGTCAAGTAACTACAGCTCGAACATGAGCTGGCTCGTCCGGGGAAGTACCACCCTCCCACAGAATATCTGCGTGAAGTAAAATAAATATTATCCATCTTATTTCCTTCTGAGAAAATCTGTAAGATTTTTCGTAAAAAAAACTTTTCCCTTGTCGTCTGGTCTGATTTTGTAAAGAATTTGAATCTTATGACGTTGTTATTTTAAGTCAAAAAATAAAATTCATTGAATACTTGAACTAAGGAGGTTTATAGAGGCACCACGTTTTAGAAAATAATTTGCGTGGGTGCTGTATTACCGCAGATCTCAGTGTGGTATATCAATTGAGTAGCCATCTTCTCTTAAAAAATAAGTTGTAAATTGTTTTGGCTAGTCTTTTTACGCCCTGCCTCCTGCATGACGTCAACCCTCTTAAGGAATGCTTTTCTTGAAGCTATCTTTATTCTAATAGAGGTTCTGAAGAATCTATTTCCATTCGCCTTTTGCAATAACCACGGGATGAGTAGGGTGACCCTTTCTACTCGTCGTCACCCGGCTAACCAGGGCTATATGATTCCAACAAATTATTTTCCAGCACAGTTTTCTATTTACAACACCTCTTTGTATTGCAATAAACTCGACAACTACTGCTATTCTACCTGACCTACCTACCAATCATTCTGTCTCACAAAGATCATTTTCTTATAAGTTTCAACCGTATCGGCAAGATGTTGCAGTAAAGTTTATGATTAGCAATCTTTACAAAATGATTTCTGAAAGTGTTGTCGGTATTTTTCACTCTTAAAGTTGTATACTCGTATAAGGTGATTAGTGGCTGAGTGGACGTAACAAAATGTACTCAATGAGAGTAAAAACAGTCGTACATACGATAATTTTCTTTTGACCCAATGGTATCATTTAACCCAGATAAGCCTGAAACTAACATTTTCTAAAAATTTTGAAAAAAGTTACATTATTTAGTTTATTAGATCTTATGCAACATAAAAAAAATTATGAAAAAAATATTAAGTGTAAGGCTTTCAGGGAAACAGCCGTCCTATATGTAGGACAGTAGGATAATAAGAGGAAATAAAAGACTATTTATGACAAAACAGAATGTAATCAAAAAGTGTAGTTTATAAGATAACTATTGATTATATTACCCATTGTTATATGTAATTTACCAGATTAACACTATTTATGAATGATATGTTTCAAAACACTTGACACACACTCCAACATCACATTTCTTGCAACGTGTCAAACATTTTTTGTGACATTGACGACAGCGTGTTTGCTTCGATTGAGGAATAACCAGATGATTCATTTGGTATTTACGACTATCAGCATGATCATGATGGCATTTTTTCTGTTTGATTCAATCAAAGCAATTGCTACCCTTCTGCGAAAGCCAAGATGATCCAGTTTTCCATGATTTATTTTATATAACTGCCATGCATTATGTTCGGCAAGATCAATCATGTATGTGAGCAACAGCATGTACCATTTCTTACCTCGTATACCAATTCGGTAATGTGAAATATTTTCATCAGACCGATCCACTCCTCCCATATATTTGTTATAGATGGACACCATATGTGGTTCTTCTATGACAATGTTTCTCTTTTCACTTTGTGAGAAGCGTTTGGCAGATTGTTTAGGATTTATTCCTACAGCATTAGATGCAATACTGAATACATTATTGTCATGCCATTTAGCAATAATGAACGTGTTGTCATGTGTCGTTCTGTAATCGACAGCACCACGTTCCTTTTTTTTCAGTAACTTCGATGTAATCAGAGGACAACTAGATGTCCTGTTTTCTCGAACTGTCCCAGTGCAACGAAGGCCTTTCTTTGTTATCTCTTCCAGCAAGGGCGTCCCAGTAAAAAAATTATCAAAAACTACGTGGTAAGGAAGGTCGAAGCCTTGAACATCTGGCCAATTCACGGGATTTTTTGCCAAGTCCCGTT